CCACTTGTGCGCCTGGACATGTAGAAGTGTGTGTACAAATATGGAGGCAACTTTGTTCGCCTATCTTACATTAAGTTGTGTAAAGGGACTGACACCTATGAGCAGGGGGGTATATTCACTTAGCTAACACAGACACCCCCCGAACTCGTAATAGAACTAAAATAAGGAAAATCAGAATAAAGTTATGGCATAACCCTAACCTAGTACATACACTACGGGAGTACCGGAAAAAGTGTGTTTAAAAGAGAATAAGTGTGCAACAAAATGTTTTTGAGGAACCTATTTTCCTATGCGCCAATGGGCGCTTGCATAAGACTGTGTTCTGAGCGATTATGAGAAATATAATGTGAATCAATTCAACTAAAAATTGCAATAAATAGTTCTATGACAACATCTGATAACAGCATCTTCATTGTACATATTCATAGTTTATGACGTCATATTGCCTCTGGGTTCGTCAGTATAAATTTTGTGTTGACAAAATACACCGGAGATTTTAATCTGTTATTAGGATATTATTGGTGGAAATATTTTAGTTTTAATGCAAATTTTAGGAAGTTGACAGACATAAACACGGAAATAAATCATTCGCGATTAAGGTACACTTAAGAGGGTAAAATTTTTGTATCGATATTGAGATATTACATTCGGTTCGTCTCTGTGGGTTTCGCAGATTTGCTCTCCACAAGTTTCTTGACAAGTGGCACTTGATTAGAGTTCTATATTCATGAGAGGTCGGGATTTCTCTGGGTTCAAATTCAACCATTTCCAACCGCAGATGGCCCATATAGATTCTGGAAAATTTCTGTGCTCTGACTATTATTCGTTTGGGTCAAGAGTTACAAGTTATTCATTTGTGTATATTATCATTAAGCCTTGTATTGTAGCAAATAATTTGTAACATACGCAAATTGTGAGGATCATAGATATCCGACATGCTTTATCGTAACATGAGTCTTGTTCCAGTAATTTCCCATATCGGCGAAAATTAGGTAATTTGGCCTGCAACACATTCATGATTCACAATAGACATTTGTTGTCTGGAAAGGATGTTTTTCAAACTGGCAAAACTCAAAAAAATTGTCTAAAATTAAAGATCTGTGTTAGACAAGTTATACTTTGTCAAAAATAGAAAAAACAGGAAATTACTTAAAAAATCTTGGCTCTCAAATTGGTGACTCATCAATTATGATCAGCAATCTGAGTCATCACACGCCTGACCGCATTTCCTGCAGAATATTTATGTTCGGGGAAGTTGAAGTTAATTTTAAGTCCTACTAACAATTCTCCTTTAAATTAGAAGAGGGAAATTCATAAATGAAAAATGGCATCAGGGTATTTCCGATTAAAATGAAAGTTTGGACAAATATGAATAGAATAACAAAGCAATCGCCAATACTCACTAGTACAGATTTAATCTCGTCGTGCCTGAGTACAATGAATTTTAAAAACTTGCCTTCGCAACGTAATATGACGTCATAATATCATACATGCATAAACGAATTTGAAACACTTCTGCTTACAACTGTATTGCGACGTAAGCAGTTTTATGATGCTACTTGTGCTGTTGCCACTGTCACGCCATTTTTGTTGTATATTTTTATATTTTGAGTGATTGCCGCACATTTATTGAAATCTCAAAAAACAGATTTGTGTCATTGTCAAGGTTGAAGCTTTTACTTGAACTTTCCTGACATCGTAACTTTGCAAACATTTACAGAAATGAACTAAGCACATTACAAACAGCAACTCACTAATAAAAATAATAAATGAATGCTATTGTTTGCTGCACTTGGGGTAGTTTTCTTGGAAGAAACTTTTAGTTCTTAACACCAGTGCTTTGATTCAACCCGAAGCTTTTTGTTTGTGGTTTGACCACGAAACCTTACACCTACCTAATGTGACTTTAAAGGCGGATCATTTTACCAAAACACGAAATATAAAAATAAACACAATTACTCCAACCAAGTTAGAAATTCTACGCTACCATGAATACACAATTGAAAGTGTTCATCGTAGTCGAAATATATACATATATGTATTTAAATGTTTGTTCAAAAATACGTTGAGGATTTAATTTAAAATAAATTTTAACTGTGACATCATAGTGGATTTCGCAAATACATTATGGCGTCATAATAAATTTCTCGTAACGTGATTTATAACGTCAAAAACGGATTTTACAAAATATTAATACTAATTGAATCGAAAGATTTTGTTGTAATGTGGCTACTAAGTTGATTATCGATGTATAATGTCATTCAAATAATTGGCACTCATTTTGTTGATTTACTCAATAATAATGAAGAATCCCTCTAAGAAACAGTTTCTGTAATCAGATATGTTTTCGCTTACAACAAAACAGAGACAGTTATTTGTATTTAATGATGATCTATAAAGGCCAAACCGTAACCCCAGTGTCATAATTTGGACACGCAAAACCTCGTTTTCGTCAAGCTTTAGAGCGGTTTCGATGTATTAGAGGAGTATTTCCCCATTTAGGACAATGGCCTATGGTTAAATACAGAGTAAAGGACCCAAATGCGACGTAATTCGACGCTGTTAGAGTTTCAAATTCGTGACTCAAAGTGACCTTGGTGCCGCGGCAGAGTCACGTGATGTCGAACAAGTCATAATTATGATATTTGATACCATAACAATCGGAGTTTTGTCCAGTACGGGTTCAAAACTAGGTAGATTTCGACTTGGGTGGTCTATCTTAGTCTGAACTGAATATTTCGAGGGGCCTGCTCTTGCATTAAATACTGGTATGCTGAATTCAAATTTATTGACTTAAGGATAGCGGGAGACACAGAGAGAGAATCTAACAAACAACTGAATTGCAAAATGTTGTCATTTTTTGAAATGACGGTATGTGGTTCAACTACCATCCGTATTTCAACTTTGAACCGTAAACTTCGGTGTCTAAAACTTTAATCTATGACAAACAATAGCATTGAGCTTTTATGACGTTGACAAACGGGCTGAAAATTTTCGCGCCATATGAGTCATGTCAGATTTATTACCAAACAAAAGGGTTTCAGACGTTAAATCAACAATATTCCCTGTGTATCTATCAAATATGAGTAGCCCTTATGAAAGAAAATGTGCGGTTGATTCAAAATACACATTAATTCAAACTGATCCGAATTTCAAGGAGACTTTTTGACTACAAACACAAAATTTCGTTATTTTGTATGAGGTGGTTTAATAGATTACCCGCGATACCAGCTCTTTAAACTTTGGACACCATGTTTGAGGCTTCATCGTCAATGCCCTGTCGTTTCCGGGGTTGCTCACTTGACCCTTTCACCCTGGAGTTGATGACCCCGTGACCCTGCGTAAGGTTATACCCGACCACGACGCCAGATCGCGTGTTTAGCCAACAAGTCGTAGGATGTGTCATTGTTTTTGGCACAATTTTATCTCCAACAAAAGGTGATTAAGTGTATCTTTGGGAATACATGTAAGGTATATAAAACCGTATTTTATCCATCGAATCAAGAACGGGCTAAAACGGCAATATGTGTTTCCAAAAACATTTTTTCTCTGTTTCTGGCAACAGTGATTTTATTGTGAAGTGGGTTTTTTCGCGCGAATTTGTGTTTTATGTCAACTTGCGCTATCGTTGTTCCCCGCGAAAGAATTTTTTCGTAATTTATACATCTGTTCTAGTTTCCTTCTCAGTCATTTAACTGCGCCTACTACTAAGACTTATTGTAATATAGTAAAAAAAAATTAACGCGACGTTTGCAAATTTGCATATGAATTTAGACATATGTTTCTATTTGCACGATTATACTCTCAGACAAATGTGGATAATATTATATACAATTGTCTCTTCCATACAGATGTAACTGTATTTAGTATGCGCACATCCAAGCTAGAGAAACCATTAAAATTGATTTTTGTGGAATTATGGACAAAGCAAACAATTTGACCGTGCTTCACAGTGAAAACATATGCATTACAAATAAACCTGAAATTAACTGGTGTTGGAAAAATTGTCAATTGACCTGGATGCGAGTTTGTCTGGGTGATGTTGGGTATTACGGTCTAAGTTTGCCTACTACTGGACAAAAGAGTATATAAATGACTAGACAGGAGAATAAACATTTTTATTGCAGCTTTAGTTGCCCGACACAAAGGCACATTTTGTTGCTTTCGCAATTCCGATTCCGAAGTCCGAACTGCTGATCATTATGTGCGACACAATTATCGTGTGCATTCAAGCGTAGAGTTTAAAGAATGCCTCAACTACTTTTAGATGTCTTTGATATAACCCGACTTGGCGCTACATACAACTGTTTTGAGTTCGTTGAGTAATTTAATTAATGACTTATCTCTTTATCAAAAAATGAAATGGTTATAATTTACAACAAGAAATAGGGATTTCAGGAGGGTCCTTTAGTTGCACTCGAGCGTCCTCAAGTGTTTATTGTACTACTTTGAAAACCACAGGTTTCCTTTTCAAGCTCTGGTGTTCATATGAGGTCATATTACCTATCTCTCGTGTATATGACGTAATTGATTTGAGAATATAGAGTATTACGTCATTGTCGAACGAACCCACTCCACCTCATAATCGTAGTACGAAACCGGAAAAGTGATTCCTCGACTATTACCAACGGTTTACCGTACGAATGGTTGGATACTCTCGTTTACTTTGGGTGTTTGTGTCCACTTATGGGTTCGAAATATTATTCATCATCGAAACTAGCATACGTGGATCATATTGGACTCCGGGTCGTTTTGAAATTAATTGTTCACCTCAATATTAATGTGCTTTTCTCCATAGCATTATTTTTCCGCAAAAATCCTGGAAAATACGTTGCGATCAGTAACATACTTCCATGTTTTAGTGTTTGTTGAACTTCTACTAGCGCAATAAACGCACTCGTGGTATGCTTTTAGCATATATCAACTTTTTCTTTAAATTTTGTGATGTCTCGGGTTGTTTAATGTTGGAAAAATAACCTGGTTCTCGCTTTTTATTTCAGGTTGTTACAACTGCACGACGATGACAGATTTAACAGATAGAATTTCACAATTGGAAGAACAGGTTATTTTTTTTAAATATCCTTTACTTACGAGGTTCTAGTACTGTCTCTCTAAACAAGGCAATATAAAGCAGCTAGGATAACTAGAGAAAGCGAATGCGCGCACGATTGATGAAAAGATGGATAAAGTAGTAGGCATGGTCGATCGGTTAGACTTAGTACGGTTTCTACCTATGTGTTTTAAGATGCAATACAAACGTCGGCATACTGTTTTGCTGCCTATTTTTTGAAGAATTAAGATGATTTTGTTTTATTCAAACAAAATTATTGACCAGAAACGGTGATATTTTAGAATATAATCATTTCAATTACTAAATGCTTATAAACTTAGTTTTTTCATGTATTCATAATGGGGATGTCGTCGCATTCAATACCTGAATGATGCCAACTCAATACTACTTTGTCTGTATATAACTAAATTCTATGGAAAATAATGAATTTTACATACCTATTCCGAGCGTTGAAATCAGTAAAGATGGTGGATTCGAGCGATTACCTGAAACGAACAAAAATGATTAGTTCAAAAATTTGTCATAACTGCACTTGTGCAGGAATGAAAATTCTTCTACGATACGAGAGAGTAATTTGATATGAACATGGGGCTATTTAATAAGAGATTCGCTAAATATAATCAGCCCTGTAAGACGAAAGTCACAAGATCGAAATATATATAGTACGGTAATTCAAATTCCTGCTTTACATTGCCCAGATGCTATCTGGTATCCCGAGTACCGGAAACAAAGGCTCAGTTGTCATTCGACCTGGCGCTAAGGGGGAACAAGGTGATCCTGGACCAGCTGGAGAGGAGGGTCCAAGGGGACCATCAGGAGAGACCGGACCAGCTGGGCCACCGGGCCAAAATGGAGAAAGGGGACCTGTTGGCCCATCTGGGAGACCAGGCATTGCGGGGTTGCCTGGGCCTTCTGGGCCCCCAGGAGGAAGAGGGGAGAAGGGTATTGATGGTGAGCCAGGAAAACAAGGATCTACAGGACCAAAGGGAGACACAGGAGAAAGTGGAAAAGATGGTCTTCCGGGACCTACAGGTATGAGATAATTTGAATGAAATATGCTTCGATAGGAAAATAAAATGATTTTGAAATCATGCTTATATTGGTAAAATTTTTCCCAATTTGACACGAGAAACAATAAAGCACACAAAACAGTCTCAGAGCTTATCTTTGAGTCGATAAGTGCGTGTATTTTTAGTCATGCTGTAACAAATCCAGATGGTATAACAGAAGTGCAAATGGTAATCATAATCTGGACAAAACCTCTTTGATAAACTGTGGCTAATTCTATAAATGTTTTAATGTATTTTTGATATTAGTATGAACAATGAATAAAACTCTTTCATTTATAGTTTATATTTTACTTGTACTTAAAGTTTTATTTATTGATTCAAAGGTGAACAAGGAGGAATTGGATTGCCAGGTCCATCAGGAGAAACAGGTCCATCTGGCCCAAGAGGTAAATATGTTTTCTGTAATATACTTTGTGGGCAGAGACTGAACAGGATTATTGGTTAATTTTTTTAACCACAGTGACATAACTACAAATACCTAACAGTAGTCATTGTAAAAAAATTGATAAAAATAAAAATAAACTTAGATGGAATTAATTTGGCATATTAACTAAGCAAACGAAAATTATTTTTGATTTAAAATTAATTTTAGGGTTTTGATTGGTCTTCGAAAATCTCTATTTTGTATTGTTGTGTGAAAATTTGAAAAACACTATGCTCAAATGCTTATATGAAAATTAAAAAGGGTTACTACACATATTGTAGCATAAACTGTAAATCATTGTAGGTGAGCAGGGAGCACCTGGTGAAGAAGGTCCTCGGGGTCAAATTGGACTTCCTGGTTCATCGGGAGCTAAAGGAGACACTGGTTCTAAAGGTGATCAAGGGCTACCGGGTCCTCCTGGGCAGTGCGGATGCAAAGGAAGTGTTGACCCAGGGGATCAGACTGAAAAAGGCTCCGGAGGTAAGAATATCATGGCATGGATTTTAGATTACAGTTAAAATTCTCAAAAAAAGTTAAATCATGAATTATGAAGCTCAAAATTTTTCCAATTTTTTCCATCAATATTGTCTATTCACTCTATTGAATACCATGAACAAAAGGTCTTGACTATTTTCACTTGACATTGATATTTTTAAAAAACTTTTGTGCAACCTTGCTATTTGAACCTCAGCAAGATATTTTCTCACATATTTATAGATTAAATTCCATAAGCTTTGTATCAAAATTATATGCAACTTAACTTATACCCCTTTTGGAATATACAATGTATTATCAGTGATAATTAAGGACTAATTCTTGCAGTATTTGAGCATCATAGTAGCCATTTTTTGTTAGGTTAGCTATTAATTGAAGGTTTCAGTATATTAGGGTTTTGCAAAATCCTACAATTAAATTTAAAAAGTATTAAGCATTTTTTTATGCAATATAATTTTCATTTTCATGGCTGGAGCATGGTGCCAAATCAATCTAGATATACTATGAAATATTAAGTGATTTTTCAACATAATTGAAGCTAAATGCAGGCTTGCTTGTCTAACACCTAACCCTCACTGCCCATGCACAAACAGGCTGAATATACAGCATGTTTGAGGTGGATATTTTGATCATTTAACATAGTGACATTTAATTTGAAATTGGATAGCAAAGGAAAAAGGGCATCTTCACTCACACAGGTTAAGTTGTCCATGCAAGAATAGCAATAAGTTAATTTACGAATTGTATTTCTATGAGATCTGCCTGTTCTTACATTAAACCCCACTATATATATATACATATATATATAGGTAAGATATGTGCATTTTTCTGAAGCTTCATAAAAACTCATCTAATCTAGACCGACCAATGGACATAACATCTGAGCTTAGCATATGAGAATATCACATGTTTTCCATTTTAGTCTCTACTGGAATATATTGAAAACCCTATCAAGAATAATCCTCTAAAACATCCCATTATTTGTCGGTATGAATTTTGTCCAAGTTGAGGGGCATTGGAACATTTTATAGACTTGCTACTACAGCTCGCTATTTAATGGCAACTTGGTGTGTGAAGTGAAAGTGTCACTCTCCTAGTTATTTCAGTATATTAAATTTTTTCAAACAAATAAAATATATGGAAACCGTGAGGGTTTGGTGTTAGGGAAACAATATCAGACATACATAAATTGCTCATTTTGCTGACAATGGCCATAATGAACAACATATCGCTTAAATCAAACAAATATATGCCTAGGAGGCTTATTTCCATGCTGAATAAAATACAATTTTAGTGCCATTTTGACAGATAATAGTCTGAACCAATGAGGATATATATTCTCATTGATCTGAACATGAGATGGTTTAAAATCATTTCAATTTTGTTATCCTCCATAAAATCTGGAACAATATTATAGTCTAACCATACTTCTTTTGAATTTCGTTTTTACAGTAAATTTTGCAATGAACTCAATTAGACTTTTTGTCCACCATTTATTTTTGTTACAGGCTCACGCAATTACTTATTGTAATTTCAATTTATCAAAAAGTCCACACAGACAGTGTACTGCTATTTTTCTGCAATATTCAAAAGTCCCCATCATAATTGGGTTACTAATTAATTAATTAGCAATCATAGTTCAAGTAATTATAACTTAGTTTATATACCTTTAGAATTTTTCATCAGCCACTGGAAGTTAATTGAATTGAAACTAGAAAAATAATTCAGAACTTGTTTTAAAGTCAATTTTTTCGAATATAATCAAGTTGCACTTATTTGTTGCTATTAGTGAAAAAACAAATTATCTCACATTACAATTATCTTGTTTTCCTAATACTGCAGATTGACAGCTTTAACCCAAAAAGGCAAAACTCAAAAAAATTGATTCGGAAATAATCAGGAAAATGTATATTTTTGTTTTTTAAACTACTGTAACTTTTTATTGGAACAATTTGGCATACATTGCGTCAAACTATGATTAGAAACCAGTTTGAAGAGTGCCTATTTATTTGTAATATTTTCAAATAAGAATTTCCCAAAATTCCAATTATCGTCCTTTTGTCATTATACCCTCGTCTGTTTTGTTATTTCTATAATTTCACAAACAACGAGGATGATTTTTACTTAAATTAAAATTAGCGACAATCGATCCTGGCGGCCTATTTCCTGGAGAGGAGGAAGGAGACGGGAATTCCCCGGATGGTATCGCGAACGAAAGAGAAATAGAATATTGCGACAATACAAGTATAATATGGAACCAAGCATTAGCAAATCTTAGTTGTGATTTTGGACCAATCGAACGATCAAAACTAAGTCACATGATCAAAAAACGATCTTTGGAACAGAAAAGGATAAAGAAAAATATTCATGTGAGGAAAAAACGTCAAAGAGGGGACAGAGGTTCATATTATACTGATGATGATCTACATCACCCAGAATATGACGATTTCTCAGATTTGGGAGGTGGATTAGGGGATTACCCTGATCTAGGAGAAGAAGATATGGGGGAATTCCCTGATTTTGAAGATATTTTGACAATGGATTCAGGAGGAACGTTGTGTCTTTGGAAATCATCCCCTGGGCCTACAAGTGACTCTACCACCCCATCAAGTGCCTGGGTAACAAGACGGTTATTTGGGTCTACACTTGATACAGATTATTACTCCTTTTTTACTGAAATAACTGGAAGTCCTGACTATCATCAAGGAGGAAAAGATACCCCAGGGTTTGTGTACGATGATGCGAACCCAGCCCCATTACTTTCATCAACACATCGAAAAAAGCGACAAGAGGTTGATTTTTTGTGGAATGGGCCTCCTTTTGACGCTACAACAGCAAGCACCACTGGTGATGGGTACTATGTCATTTTCAATGCATCTGCTTGGACGGAGACTGAACCTCAAACCCCAACTCCACGGGGTCAATTTCGCAGTCCATTTTTTACTAATCCCCATACAGACATTTGTCTTAATTTTCGTTACTTTATCCATACGGATGTCCAACTAAACAGAGAAACACAGATTGACGGTGGACTACTTGTCTATTTATTACCATGCAGACCTCCATATAAAATTCCAGTTTTAAATTTAACTGGAATTGCTATAGCGAATAAAACTGACCAATGGGTCAGTGGTACTACCCCTCTACCAAATCACATGAATCCGTATCAAGTTATATTTGAAGCATTTGGGCCGACACAAAAACCTTTTCCACTTTCACGATCTGATTCAACGACAAGTGAGAGCACTGCACGAGTATTGTATGTTGCACTTGATGACATCGTATTCACTGAATGTGGTAAGTGTATTGTGACACCCGTATGCTGTGTTTGTGACATAACAAAGGTTTTAAAACTAGATTATTGTAGTTTCTAGCGAAATTTGAAACTCGCATGTCGCTGTGTGGTAGTATGGGGTGACTTCGTAGTTCTCAACTAGATAGATTTAACTCAATCTCCAAAACATTCCAGAAACAAAAATAGACCAAAATGTGTAGTTTCAAGTCATTTTGCATGCCATTTAACAAGACAAAATTAGGGAAATATATTCTATTTCATCCCCCAGTCACATACAGGTAGTAAGACATTCATTCCAATCTGTCATTTCACACCAACAAACTATTATTTGTTCCCAACGGTATCCGGTTCGAAACTAGAGCTTTTTCCCAACTTTTGCACTTTTTCCTACTCAGAAAAAACACGGACTAATGTAATGAGCACATATAGTTTGAGCACGGATTAATTTGAAGCATGGTTCTTGTGCACGACGGCACATGGAGACTGTTTTGTGTGATTTTATTGTGATTCAATGCATGGTTTGACGTAAGTAATTTATCCTAAGCCTAATTTGCGGAATAATATTTAATAAATATCCATTCAGACAGGATAAATTTCGGTCCAATGTATTTGTTATACAATTTGAATAAAATGTCAACATATGCACCTTCTTGTCAAATTGGCAATACAAATTGCTTAACTGAAAAAAAATATCACAAAAAAGGATTACAAAATCCTTCCCGCACAAAAGATGTTCAGGGTAGATCAAGATTCTAGTAATTTCCAATAATTAAGTTGATATTCAAAAAACCTTTATGAACAGTTTTCATCAAACTTTTTTTTCGATATTTGTAACAATGTGCTTTTTGATATCTTAGGTTCCACTTGACGTTAAAAAATAGAATGATTCTCAGCAGCTGTCCCAGCCATATATCAATCTATTTTATACAGGATAGTTGATCATAAATCATTTAAGTCAGGCGTGTGCAACCTTTCATACAGAAGGGACAGAAACAAATAACTGAGTGGAACTGCGGGCCACACCTTTATTTAACATAAGCACACTCTTCAAAATTGGCACTTCTCTGCGGGCCGCACAATTTTTCTTTGAGGGCCACATTTGGCCTGCAGGTACAGGTTGGACATCCCCGATTTAAATTATTAAGACACAAATAACTGAGTGAAACTGCGGGCCACACCTTTACTTAACATAAGCACATCCTTCCAAAATTGGCACTTCTCTGCGGGTCGCACAATTTTTCTTTGAGGGCCGCATTTGGCCTGCAGGTACAGGTTGGACATCCTCGATTTAGATTATTAAGACACAAATAACTGAGTGAAACTGCGGGCCACACCTTTATTTAACGTAAGCACATCCTTCCAAAATTGGCACTTCTCTGCGGGCCGCACAATTTTTCTTTGAGGGCCGCATTTGGCCTGCAGGTACAGGTTGGACATCCCCGATTTAAATTATTAAGACACAAATAACTGAGTGAAACTGCGGGCCACACCTTTATTTAACGTAAGCACATCCTTCCAAAATTGGCACTTCTCTGCGGGCCGCACAATTTTTCTTTGAGGGCCGCATTTGGCCTGCAGGTACAGGTTGGACATTCCCGATTTAAATTATTAAGACACAAATAACTGAGTGAAACTGCGGGCCACACCTTTATTTAACATAAGCACATCCTTCCAAAATTGGCACTTCTCTGCGGGCCGCACAATTTTTCTTTGAGGGCCGCATTTGGCCTGCAGGTACAGGTTGGACATCCCCGATTCAAATTATTAAGACACAAATAACTGAGTAAAACTGCGGGCCACACCTTTATTCAACATAAGCACACTCTTCAAAATTGGCACTTCTCTTCGGGCCGCACAATTTTTCTTTGAGGGCCACATTTGGCCTGCAGGTACAGGTTGGACATCCCTGATTTAAATTATTAAGACACAAATAACTGAGTAAAACTGCAGGCCACACTATTATGTAACATAAGCACATTCTTCCAAAATTGGCACTTCTTTGCGGGTTGCACAATTTTTCTTTGAGGGCCACATTTGGCCTGCAGGTACAGGTTGGACATCCCCGATTCAAATTATTAAGACACAAATAACTGAGTAAAACTGCGGGCCACACCTTTATTTAACATAAGCACATCCTTCCAAAATTGGCACTTCTCTGCGGGCCGCACAATTTTTCTTTGAGGGCCACATTTGGCCTGCAGGTACAGGTTGGACATCCCTGATTTAAATTATTAAGACACAAATAACTGAGTAAAACTGCAGGCCACACTATTATGTAACATAAGCACATTCTTCCAAAATTGGCACTTCTTTGCGGGTTGCACAATTTTTCTTTGAGGGCCACATTTGGCCTGCAGGTACAGGTTGGACATCCCCGATTTAAATTATTACCCAAACTACTATTGTCATATGTCATTAATTCTTATCAAACTATAGTAATTCATAGTCAGCGTATGTTGATAAAAAGTATTTCATACAATTTTGTATTTTTTTGAAAATTGATTTTGCAGTACTTTGTCACAAATCTAAATTTTTGTGCATGAATTGAACTTTAATGTCTGTTATTTCATAATCATTTAATTTGTTCAATCATTGGCACTGTAGTGTATATTATGCTCAATTTCTAGTATATTTTATTTCATCAAATAATATAATGAACAATATAATCTTCATATTTTGATATATGACAAATAGTTGTTTGCATATATCAGCATTGAGTTTATATTTTCAAGTTAACGTATGGTCTTCTACTTAATCAAATACATGATGATAGAGAAAATCACAAAACATAGAAAAATTGTGAATTAATATCTCATGGAGAGAACTGAATACAAGGCATTGCATATCACATCTTTCATTTTATTTGATATTAGAAATTGAGCATAAATATTTTTGATCATTTTGTAGTGAATTAACAATAAAAACGCTTGTTTTGTTAGTTTTTAATTGTGCTTTTTTGCAGTGATTGTAGTCTGTTTTAATTTGCATTTTTCTTTGCAATAATTGTGCTTTATCACTGTTACTCGTTTAATTTTATTTTCCGAAAACTGGCGATTTTGTTCTTTTGCACTGATATTGAAACAAATCCTTTTATGCAGTGAATGTTCTTATTCTGTTAAACGATTAAAAAATTAATCAAACATAAATGTCTGTAATTTAATAATTACTTTACCTGTATCTTTCTTTTCAAATATACAGTCCAGAAATGGCTGATCTTGATTTAATAATGATATGGTGTTGAAAGATACATCATTAGCATGGTGTGGAATTTTAATGGTGATTCGAACCAATGTTAGAGGTAGTTTGAAGGTTTCTCCAAATTGTCGTGTCGCACTGGTCCTAATTGTGTGAATCTTAATTCTGCCCATGTCCCACTTTTGTCACAGTTGTCCAAATTATTTCAATCTCACCTATATGAATAATCTAATTAAACCTTTTGCCAAAGTTTTATATTTATCCTAACCCAGAACATATTGTGAATCCCAATTCATATGAATACTCTATCTTACTGACAAAGTATTTATTTAACTATCCTACTCCAAAACATAGCACAAACCCCGCTCCATATGCTTACTTCAATTATTTTCTTTGCAATACGTCACTACCACCCTAACTCAGAACCATGGGACAAGTGTGTTAAAAGGGGGACAAGTTGAGGAGACGACATTTTTGAGAAACCAGTAATTTGACATCCATTCTGTCACAGAGACTTTCAAATAAAGTCCACTTTAAAATATTTGATTCCTAAATAAATACCAACAAAAATAGGTTCGTAAAATCTTATTATCAAAAAAAAAAAGGTTTGCTGATAGACTACCGTAATTTGAGGTAGAACGTCTCACTACCTGTTTTCTTTCAGGCTCATCAGCGTGCACATACGAAGGAAAATATTACACAGAAGATGAGATGTGGACAAACTCTGATTGTAGTGAATGTTTCTGCACTGGTGGAACTGTAACTTGTCTTCCTATAACTTGCCCAATTTCAGAATGTCAATATACTTACAGACCTGAAGGATATTGTTGTGATATCTGCTGTCCAAATCAAGTCCCGCCAATTGGAGGTAAGTTTAGAAATAGTATAGCCAAATATTGTCTCAGGTCTTGAACATTAGCAAATTATAAAATACTTGTCTATGTCTTGCTTGGCATAAGTTTGATTTATACAATTTGAACTGATTGCACCATTTCCATCAATGTTGTGCATATTGGTGCAACAGGTACAAGTTTGACACTTAGAAATCAGCAAAAAGAACATAAGTGTGAGACAACAATTTCTTCTTGTCATTGAAGCGGCAGATTTTATTTTGCAAAAAATCTTTAAATTTCAGCAAGTGGAGACTCTGGAGATTATGACGATGGTGCAATGGAAACAATACATACTGAAGTTGAAGATTCATTGATGAATGCAACTTATGATGCATATGGGTGAATATATTAAAGTAGACAATATATTTTTACAATGTACTTATATGCTCTTCCTTCTGAACGAGGCTTTGAAAAAGCGTTCACAGCTAAGGAAAAAAATATCAAGTGAACCGCCCACATCTGGAGCACAATGGATGAATTAGGTTGGGATAGAAGTTTGATATTTATCCCAAAGATGGGATCTGCCTACAAAAGGATATAGTAATTTGAAAGCGGTGATGGTGAAAGACATAACCACCCTTTGATGAAGAGGAGTCCAGCGATTCACATTTTTCTCACACATAATTTTCTCCAACAGAATTCGACCACAGAGGGTAATTAGAGGAGCAATGAAGCATTTGTACCATTCCCGCCAATCAACCAACTGTTGATTAAATTTTGTAATTTCTCTGAGTTACAAAACAACAGAGTCTGTTTATAGCAGATATCTGTTCTGCATCTGTATCTGCAAATTTTTGTTTATGCTTTTGCCAAACTCATTCCACTTTATACCAGGTTTCAACTTGTAGATTCAACTTGTTTTAAGATATGAATATGAAGTTCATGAGATTCCTGATACCAGTGATGCTTTCGATCCTCTCGGATGCCCAATTGCAGACACATCAGCTCTTCGATCAGGTAAGTTAAATTATGTAGACTGGAGCAGTGACAGTAACTAGTGTAAATGTAATGAGTATTAATACCTAATTAACTAAGCAATGAAACAAATTGAATTAGCTTAAATTTAGCTGGAAATTTGAACTATATAATTTTTCCTATTGAGTACTAACTGATCATGCCCATTGAATATCAGTATTAATCATGATCATTGTGACAATATCTATTGTTATTATGGAAAACAATTATACTGAACTATGCAGTGAACCAGATGAGGAACTAGAGGTGAGGTGATTGTATGTTTTTGCTGTATTATCACCTTTCCTCTTTTTCAAAGTGAATACAAAATTCACATTTTAGCCTCTTTTGACATCCTTGTCATAATAGGGTTTTCTCACTAATTTTTTGTTTGCTAAACCTACGAGCTAGAAAATGAGAGGGATCATGGTGACCGAATTGACGTTACATGATGTAACACTACCAAAATGGAATAAAGATACCAATATTTATACATAATTCAACAACTTTTCAATTCGCTGGCTTCTAATTTAAAATTTTCTATTCATCACCAGCGACTACAGTTCATAAATGCACTCTCAATAAAGATCCCGGGCCTTGCTCAGGACAGTTTCAAAGATATTATTTCGATAAAATCCGAGGTCGCTGTAGTCTCTTCAAATATGGCGGTTGTGAAGGAAATGCAAACACGTTCGTGACATTGAATGAATGTGAAAAGACATGCATGGCCCATGCTTCATCATCAGAAGTGCAATCAGATCCACCTGGTGAACTTCAGGGTATGTATAGTGACATTTATTTAATAGTATTATTTTTCTGGTAGTTTTTGGAAACTTAGTGTGAAACAAATATTTAATAAATGAGGCTTGTTGTTTGTGCCAAACCTATTTACCATACAGCTTAGTAGGATTTGACTGAGAGTTGCCGAAGTTATTATATTCTGAGCTTCAGTTGCCTATTTTAACATTTTTGGTGACTAGCAGTGTTTGAAACAATTAATGTCTTGTTGTTTATTGATATTAGAGTTGATATCACATAACACTACTTGGTGAAAATATTGTGAGCAAAGTTATATTTGAATCACCAATGGGCAAAATATGTCTGGCTGAGAGTTTCTAATTGATACTAGGTCACAGAATATGGAATCCTATCGACTTTTTGCAAAATTTTTATATCGCAACAAATCAATGATACCAAGTGGGCAATGGCGAATCAAGAAGGTGTCAGTCTTTTAAATAAAATAGAAGCAATATCTGTTTGCACAGATCTTTATTTCGAGTGAATGTATGGAACACCCGATAAAAAGTCCTCGATAATATGCTCATAAGTTATATTCACACTTATGCCTTCTCACTAGTAAACAGCAGTGTCTGTGGAGAACCTCCTATGTACAAAGGGCCTTGTAAAGCCAATCAGCCACGTTTCTCATACGACCTGGGCACTGGCCGATGTCATCTATTTCTTTATGGTGGATGCAGCGGCAATGGAAACAATTTTCCTTCTCCTGGGGAGTGCACAGTTACTTGTAAAGCAGGACAACCTGTGTACCCTGGACTGAGTACAACGCAACCCGCACTTATAAATGATGACCCCGGCGCTCCATCTGCTTTAACTGGTACTTATACGGCATCCCGCATGTTTTATCTCAAAGATGAGTTTAAGTTTTAATCAAAGACATCTTTGTGTTCTTCAACTTTAGACCATCGACTGTTCTTTGATTTTCTTTTGGGAGAAATTATTTTCTAGTTTTCCAGATTTTTTTTGGTTATTCATTCTTTCATTTGGAATAATCATCGTAGCCTATGTTGCTAGTTTTCTTACTATAAGGTGAATAGTATGTTGGACAACCTTTTCAACAGCTATTTGGGTCTACTAACACTCACCTTTTTGTTAATACAATTAGTTGGTCATTTTCCATTCTTGCCTTTGTTATTGTTTCAGTTTTGTTCTTCATACTTCAATTCAGAATCAGGAATGCTTCCTACTTCTTTTTGCAATGGTGACTTGTTCCTGGGTTATCTGCTTTGTATGAAATTGTTCTAGTGAAGCTTATTGTTCCATAATGACTTGCAAGAATGACTAATACAGCGTATTTATGAAATTGAAAAACAGAAAAAATAGCCTTTTTAAAATAGTTACTTGATGTCAAAATTATCTTCGGAATTGGTTGAAAGGTTGAAACAGAGTTAATTTCCATTTGGTTGCGGTGCTTGAAGCTTTTCAGCTTATCAATTTTCTTCCAAGAAATCTAACCAAACCACGCTTCGAAATTCCATATCCATTGGCGAATGCCAGATGAATGTCAATTACTTATAAATAGGTGTGTACTTTATTTTGAAACAAAACAGATTCAAGACTAGACATAACTATGGAAAGAATTTCTTAATCTTGAGTGAATCTAAAGAGAATGACGCAGTCAGCCAAGATTAATAATAACAGATAAACACTTAAAGGCTGCCAAGCTCCTATGGATTAATCGGTATATTTAGATTATGAATTCAAGTCCATGAATCTGAAACAAATAAACGGCCGAATATTCCCATACCCAGCATGGATCGGTGACCAGGCAAGAGGTCGTAGTTCACCATATTATTAAACGGTTTTATTGGCTTACTTTTCTCTCGGGATTAATATAAAAAACCTTTTTTTTTTCCTATGCAAAGTAAAGCTTTAATATAACAACCCCAAAGTCACAGGAAATTCAGCAACTACAACTGAACTTTGTGGAAGCCACAGTTCATCTATCTATTTATATTCCTAATATCATTAACAAGCCCATTCAAATGAAGTATATATATCTCCATATAGAAGAAGATTGATGGACCTTTACTTTAATATCTATGTGGCCTGGTGATAAACTCAATTAAGTTCAAACACATAATTTGTCCTAAATTCTCATAGAATTTGAAAATGCACTTTAATAGAAAACTAAGAGTCTAAAGTCAAGTCTAAAGAGTCTAAAAACGGTAAACTAAGAGACATAGTTTCCATATCTTGAATAATTTCATTTATCACAAACACTGTCTGTTTGTTATCAGTAGTGTCAAGTATGATTTTATAAATAGGTTTTCTTATCAGTAATATAATCAGCTTATCAACCAACTTTGAAGAGTCAACACACCTAATTATTTTGTCCCTTATATCTGTTTTACTATGGACCGTCTATCCACATATATAAAATCAATGTAAAAACTGTATCCGTTTTTTTTTATACATCCAAAAAGATTTTCAATAAATGAACCATTACGTAACTTCTATAGCAAAGTAAAGAAGTTCTAATTTACAATATATAGTGAGGGAAATAGGATTTTAGTGAGGGGTGTTATATACACTAAATGGGGCTATAATAAAAATATATGCACCCGTTATGTCGAAAAATGCTAGTAGGAATAAAGTGAATGTTGATACACCATTCTACTAAATATGCCGACTAGAATGCGAGCATGCATGAGTCACACTTAGCTTTGGATTAGAGCACCGGTGTATTTTGACTAGCAGTAAATAATCTATATTTTTACATCCGGATTCAATATTTTTCTTCCATGCTTATATTAACCATGAATATGTTGTAATATAACTTCGCTATTCCAACAATGCCATTATATACTGTGGTTAATTATGTCCCAATAACAGGATTTCAAAGCTAAATTGTGACAGCACAATGTCTCATAGCAAAACACTTAGAATTGGAATTTGAAATTTTTCTTATCAGTTCAAGTTATGATGTATACATTCTTCATCTAAGAGGGCTGGCTATCTTGTATATCCAATCATCATAAACACTCCCCCAATGTCTTGTTTATATGTATTGACTTAGTAACAGTCCAAACTTGGAGGCTTATAGAATGGCTTGATTTTGTCCAAACTGACGTTGGGTGCAATCTCAAAAATATGTGACAAGCGAGAATGCTGAACTTGTTTAAACAAAACATCCAAATTAAGGATTTTTAAATAATAGATTTTTGAAAATGAACTTACGAGCGAATACCTCAATGCTCTCATATCAAAGGTTGATGAACAGCAGAGTTTAAAATGTTATGACATCTTTAAAAAAATGCCTTAGTTTGTATCTAACTGTTATATTATATTAATATGATATTAAATAATGTATCATTAGTTTTGTTGGTTTATTTTCATTAATCGTCATCATTTTATTTTTCAATTAACAACTCAGTTGTTTTGAAAATAATTGTACTTAGATAGCTCAGAAATCTTCAGATGCCTTTTCAAAGTTAATTGTGACTAGTAATACACGAAGTAGCATTTGGATATTCTAGAGAAAATGTATAATTGTCATTTGTTTGATTGGTATAAATATATTTATTATATCATATATACCCTGAAATTTTATAATTTCAGTTATTTAACCGCTAAAACCAAATTTATTTGAGCATGTATTTGGGGTGTTCTGAGACTTCCAATTGCCAAGTTAAACCGTATTCTCTAGTGGGTCCGGCTGGAGGCAAGGAGTCTTCAAGGGAATGTGGTGTTTTTAGGGCCTAAAAATTTCAATGTTTTATTAATCTTCAATAGAAAAATGTTTTTTTCTACATTAAAAAAAGGGGGGGGGGGTGATGGAAATGACCCTGAAATCCTCACACTGCTGTGAACCATTAGATATGTATGCATATATTCAGTAACTACTATGACCAGATTAAAAAAATTTTGAACAAATTCTATGTGGTTAAAGAAGACATCTTACACAAAACAAACTTTGGGATAAAACATAACTTAACTTATAAAATAATTTAATTGCAAAATCAGATCCACCGTTCAAAGATAATTTACCGAGGCGTTGTCGTCAACCGAAATACGTCGGAAATTGTCGCGCTAAGTATTCAAGGTTCTACTACAATGCGGATGAAGACGTTTGCATGTTATTCATTTTTGGTGGGTGCAATGAAAATGGAAATAATTTTGTCACTCCGTGGGAATGCAGAGATCTTTGTGGGGGAGGAGAACCAGTTTATGAGAATGTTTTAGGTGAGAATTTATTGTATGCATTATATATGAATGAAAAAGTTTGGTGGTAGGATGAAATAATATAATTCAGAGTGAGACAACTTTAAAGTAATTTTGTTATTCATGATTCTATGTTGTTCTATTCTATGTTGGCATTGTAATAAGGAATATTGAGTAAACCGGAAATATTCCAGTTTTTTCAGAAATACTCTTCACTGCTTGTATTCACTGCCCTATTCAGAGTGAAAAGCGCCTAATTTGTTGAATAAAACTCTGACATTTACATGTCGCAAACAATTTGTCAAGCTTTTTGCTTGGAATTCAGAACTTGATTTTTCATATAAAATCAAAAAATAATGTTTTTTCTATCAATAATTATATCATACAGGTATAAAAAATTTTTTTACTCATCTCAGGACCAGAAAGATGTTCGCAACCCTTAGACACTGGTTCTTGTCGAGCGAGTATGCAACGTTATTACTACGACAGTGAAACAAAATCCTGTCAAAAGTTTGTTTACGGTGGCTGCAAAGGAAATCGAAATAATTTCTACACTCAAGAAGATTGTTCGGTCACTTGTGAAGATCAAGATTTACAGCTGAAAGCTAGAACAGTTGGTATGTATCAAAAAAGGAAAAAAGCCAAAAATTATCTCAAGGTTAAATGCCATGCCCATGACTTTCATCCAGGGTGAAATAAAATGAATAGATGGACAATGCTGAACCAGATTACAAGATTATAAAAAAATGGCGTGAAAAAAACCTTAACAGTATTTTGTTAAACATAGGCAAAGGACAGTAAATTTTTAATGCATGTACTAATACTGAGAAGAATGTTAAAAAAAATTGTATTCACAGTCTGGTATGATATTGATATTCTAATCTTTCGGATTATGCTCGATATTTTTAATATTGAGTTATTTTGGAGGCGACAATTTTTCAAATAATTACAATGAAGAGATCAAAAATTTCTTCATCTTACCATGATTTTTCTCTTTTCAGCTACGTCACCCGAGTACTGTTTGGAGCCAGTAGATACAGGTCCATGTCGAGCTTCAATCTATCGATTTTTCTACGATCCCACCACTGAGAGGTGCTCAACATTTACTTATGGTGGTTGCCTGGGAAACAAAAATAATTTTCACACACCAGAAGCATGTCGGAAAACATGTGGTGGCGGAGTTGTAAATTATACTATCACAATTCCGCACCCTGTTGTGCCACCGAGTGGTAAGTTGAAGAAATGGACAATGAGATTTTTTGACACTACATTTCATTAAAACTAATTATTTTAATTATTATTAATTGAACTAATAATTAGCAATATGATGTGAAGATTGTCGAAATAAGTCTTGCAACTAAGGATGTTAGATTTTTTATGGTTAATAGATTACATGGAAATAATATATAATTTATTTTTTCCGCTTATTTATTTGCTCTTTGCTCATCTGTTTTCTTTTCTGTATGTCTTAACTGTGCATGCTTGTTTAACATTTTATTCATTCGCTAAATAAATCTTCTCACTCTCTCATCTTGTCTTTTCTATCTTCGATATTCATATTATTTGGGTTGCCGTCACATTTCATTACATGCTTGAATGCTTTATACATGGTACATATGGTAGAAAAACATAGTCTATGCAAATTGATGCATTCTTTTTATGAAACTCGACTAATTCATGAAGGTCCTTAGTCACATATTTTAATGAAACATCTTGTGTTCATTTTAATTAATTACCTTGAGTCGGTTGAGTGAAGCAGAACAACTTAATCAGGCTTGAGTAATAGAGAGATTATACATTTCATCATCATTCATTAATACATAGATGTGTAGATTAGAAAAATCATGTAATATTTAACATAAAATTTCATGTTATTTTTATCATTAAAACACATTGTTTCTCTAATCTGAATGGCATGGGTGGCTGTGGAGCAGTCCAGAACATAGGTCTGTTCTTGTTACGAAGTTGTATATGTTTCATTATTCATAATTTGATTTAATATCGTGAGTGGTTTAGAAAATCATCAAACTATTCTCATTTAACAGTTCCAACAGCCTAAAAAAGCTTCAAAGCTTGTCACAGACATGTGTTTACAACATCATTTTTCTGACTTTATTGCTCAGATTCAATAACTACCTTTTGAACAATATTTTTTCTTTCTATTATTACCAATATTTATACTTTTAGTTGTTGGAGCTGTGGGTCCACCTGGGCCATCTGGTACTGAAGGGCCAAGAGGAGCAATGGGGCCACCCGGACCACCAGGGCTTCCCGGTTTACCTGGAACACCTGCTATGGGATTTCCAGTGAGTTGAAATGAACTCTCTGAGCCACAAATCTCACAATGTTCGATTTATTTTGAAATACTCAAAACAAGCATCTTTCTTTAAGTTCACCTTGAATTAGAGTTGAACTGAATTTACTCAAATGTGTTATATTTTATATTGTCCCTCATAATCAATCCAAACAAGGCTTCAGACAGACAGTTATCAACTTAATACTATATATTTACTATGTCTTTATGGTTTGGGATTCTTTCAAAGCAATTTAAGAAGTGGGGTTTGAACAATTTGGGAATCTAAAATGTGTGATCAAAACGAAACGAATGGGCAGTGGCATATCTGCGTAAAATGGCGCCAATGTCAAAGTTTAAAAATGCCCCCCTTTTGAAAATTGGTTGACAATTTAGAATATCTAATATTGAAATGAGATACTTGTGCCTTATTATTTGAGTAAAAATATGAGTTTCGGTTATTTCCAACTATTATTTAATTGAAATTAAAATAAATTTTTAAACTTTTCGCCATTTTTGCACCCCTTTCCAAAGGGTGCCCATGGCAGGCACACCCTAGACACATCACTGCGAATGGGCAATCATATCAAGGGGGTAGCTGCATTATTAATTCTCACTTACTATCTTCTGAAAATGTGTATGTAAATAATTTCATTACTTGGCCATGTCATTCTATAATGTCGAATAACCTTATAAAGCATAAAGAACATTGTTTGTTCAAATTCTTCAAACTAAATATTAAAATTATATTTTCCAGGGTGTCAGAGGTCCACCAGGCCCACCGGTATGTATGCTAAATAGTTTGTTTGTGTGATAAATTTACATGTGAAATGGTTGACTAGTTGGCTTTTCTCACTTCTGATCTGGATTAGTAATTGGATGAGATACTTGTTTCAAATCTTGACGCCTGACTCATTTATCTGTTGGTGGCGGAAGCCAAAACTGGCCAACAGTTTCATGAAATGTCTCACAACTAGGGCCACATCATTAAATTTGTTGTACTCTGCCTCAAGATGAACATAAAAAATCTTATAAAATTTTATGACATATAAAAGGTTAAAACAGTGAAAATTTGGATGAAAGTAGAAGTATAACAGAGAAGTTATATTTGTTTGCCTGTTATTTACGATATCAATAACATTCAAATCTTTCCATACATTGTAGAAATTGATTAATGAGCAATGCATATCTATTTCCCCTAAGCGTAACTTTTAATTCAATCTGATACTGCACCATGTTTTGGTAAAAGGCTTACATATTATTTCTTTATATTCAGGGACCCCCAGGTGCTGATGCCTCAGTGGTAAGTGAACATTTTTTGTAATACTAAACTATTTACTGATTTCTACAAATATTTGACAGAGGGTGCCACAATGTTAGATGCTATAATAACAGCATGATATTAATTTGTATTTATGTGCAATGAATAAGAAATAAGTTGAAATTACCAAACTGTGATGTCACAAATAAAATTTTGATGCCATAAAACATAATTGTGACATTATAATACATTTTTTAAACCAATAATATGCGTTCACGCTGACCCCTTCAGCATTCTAGAGCTAAGTATTAGCCCAAGGTGTTTATCAACATTGATATCACAAAGATAAAAATACTTCACATTATTCCAACGTAGCGAGGGGTGAAAAAATTCACCAGAAAACTCCAGGACAAATTGAAAAAGTTTGACGAGCAACTTGAAGACTTTAAAGCTCGAATCTTAATTGTTGAGTCAGCTCAACATCATCTTGGTACCAAAACCACCAAACGTTGGGCTATCGATTGGGGTGAGAAAAACCCACAAAAAATTTCACAAGATTAGGGTGGCTGACGCTTTTTTTGCCACATATGCACTAGATGTATTGAATGTAATAGTCTGACATCACATATGTATTGTGTCAGCATGGCAGCATGGATTGTTCCACTCAAAATGAGCAAATGTTTTGAATATGAGTTCTGATCAATGTTAGTCAATTGAAAAAAAACCGAAGTGACTCGAGTCATTTAAATCTGGGTTTCCCAAACTGGGGTGCAAGGACCGCCGGGTGTCCGTGATGGCTGCAACCGTGTCCGTAACGGTATATAGAGTCTGATTGAATAATATTCATCAGGAAGTTATAGCGGTATTTTAGTTGAGCATTTCGTATGAATACCGGTATTCATTGCTGTCAGAAAGGGCAATTAAAATTATATTGCCTCTTGCAACGACATACATGTGTGAAGCAGCATTGTTAGCTCTTACCCATATGATGACAAAATTCAGGTCGAGAGTTGGGGGTTCGTCAAAACTAAGATTAACAAACAGGGGTGCACGGCCCCAGAAGCTTTGGAAACCCTGATCTAAATAGAAGGACTTCCAAATTTTAGGATCTTGACCCCTTTCCAATATATTAAAATTTTACGCGACTCCCTGTTTTGAGAAACGCTTTTTATGAACGAAATCGACATTGTTATGCAAGCTCGCCGCTTCTCTGATCTAATGTAAATTCTTTCGTGAGAATCATGTTTTGTACTATCTTTAATAGCCTATAGTACTTTGCATGAAATTGGTGCACTCTATGCGACCCCTACAATTTGTGCACAGCCCCTGGGCAGGGTCACAACAGTTTGGGAACCTTGAGGGACTTCTCATAACACTGCTTTCAAAGTACCAAAATCGTTTTATATGTCCTCCAAGTCATCCAATTTATTACCTCTTGGTGATAAGGACCTGTTAAGGACTTGATTCTTAACAACATGTATGTATCAAAGCACTAACTATGACTGTTCCACCTTTTTCACTTGCTTTTACACTGTTTCACATTCGCGTTGTTCTCACTGCACATTCACAGGAGGAATATAAAGCTGAAATTGCAGCATTAAGAAAAGAAGTTCAATCGCTAGCTTCAATGGTTCTAACTCATTTAGGTGAAACAGACCGACATTTAGGTAAGTTGGGAAAAATGCTCCCCGATTTACATATTTAAGGGAGTGGAAAGCAGATACTACTGCTTAATCATATGGCGAACGAACGATGACCTAAATGAGATTAAATTTAACAAATATTTTTATTTTTAATTAGCTTCACACCCCCTCAAAACGCCCTCTCCCCCTTTGCCGGGTGCGGCCCATCGTTTTAGAACCATTGATCTTTGAAATTTCCACAGTATTCTGGTCCTAAATTTAATTTTTTGACATCAATAAGTAATATTATTTCTTGTATGTTAGATCCATCAAAGAAATCTGAGGAAGAAGACTTCAGTGATCTTTTCCCAAACGATGAGGTCAGATTTCTTTTCGACTTTAAATAGGAAACTTGTGCTATCGATCGGGTTTCTACAAGACTAACTACTTCTCTGTCTTTTATGCTTTTGCACATGTGGATCCGTATGCATATAATGCAAAGATGCTGTAGCAAGGGCGCGCCAGAAGTATGGTACTAAGATAACGCACAACCTGAATCCTAATCTGGTACACATACTATGTTCAGGTTGTGCGCCATCTTGGTACGAATACTTCGGGAGCACTAAAGCAAGAGTCAATCACTTTCAATAGGAAATCCTTGAAATATATAAATGGAATATGGACATAAAATCCTATTGGCCTTAAAACTTCAATTTTAATAAAAAGATGGCAGTCAAGTGTGAAGAATAAAAAGTGTTCCCCTTTAAGTGTACTTAATAGAAGGGCAAATTTTTCTAGATGATCGGGTCCTATATTAGTGGAATTGATTATTTCACTGATTGTGCAAGAAAAGCATCATCTTTCACAACAATAATGAGCCAGAGATGGAAGTATTTTTGCACAACGCTTAATCAGTCCTATAACTCCAAACAAAGATTCCAGCAAACCACTACTGGAATGAGAGCGTCCACTATTTTTGACATCGGTTACCAAATTTATTACACCCGAGTCAGGCAGTGAGCATGGCATCTGTAACCCAATTAAATAACTGCTCGCAAGAAGCGTCTGCTTATATTGAGCCTTGTTCACAGTAAATGTGTGAAACAAATTACAATCAACATTCATATTTTATTTTAATTTTTTTTACAGACAAATAGTGAGGACTACAGTTATGGGTTCGGTGGTTTACTTAATGACTATAGCCTGTATACAGATGACGAAGAAGGCCGGAAATAACGAAATAATGACTCAGCCGTCGTAAAAAAAATGAGTCAGCATTTCATATGTATTTTACACCTCGCAAAATTGCATGACACCAGTTCTTTCAGAATTGTCATGGTTCAGTGATAAAGGACACGCATCATCGCACTACCTCCACTCCTTATCATAAAAAAGAAAAAGCGCAAAACACCTAATTGTTCCGAAAGTTATGTGTGCACTCTACTCTCTGGACTAGTTAGTGACACCCACAAAATCCACAAAGATAAAATGTGTATATTCACATCAAATTAACTAGAAAAGAGCTACAACTATCAGCTGTATTTCTATGTTTAGATCCCCTTAAAGCTCGTTATTGAAATACTCGTTCCTGCTATATACTATCCATTATCAATCAATCCAAAATTTCAATCTCAAAAGACAGGTATGACTTGAAATAGATTGTGCTCCTTTCTTATTGCAACAGAATCAGAAGAGAAAAATAACAAAAATTTATATCAAAATCATATTTGTGTGCCTTCAGTCTTTTACTATTATTAATGTTCCCAGATTATGCATCCTAAAAATCAATTCTGTAGCGTTTTGCGTAACCTGTTTGAATTTTACTGCTAATATGATTATACCAACAAAACAAGAAATACCCAATACCTTCACAAAATTCATCTAAGTTTTTGATCGATCAGAACGAAAAACACTCAACAGCATACTCTGGACCAAAATATTCATAAAAATACCTTAATATTTAAGTTTTAATATTATCTTCTCTCTTTTGTCAATAATTTTATGTTGCCAAATTATTGTTCCATCTTCTTCCATATTGAGCCACTAGGTGGTGTTTTCTGTTTAACCATAAATTTTTATATTTATGATCTAATTGAATGACGCAAATTATTGATGTGTTATCATAATACTTTTGTTAACCGCTCAGCATATTATTACTATTTTATACATGTTTTTGTTTGTTTATTATTTTGTTTTCTTTTGTCTAACTTTTGCTAGAAAATTGTTCGCAAAATCATTTTAAGTTCTTACTTGAAACATATTATATCCAAGTTTTCATCTTATGAAAACAAGTGTAATTAAAAATTCTTCGTTGGAGGATCATTGATTCAAAATGCGGCAGCACCATACAACAATGTGATGTCATAATATTGTTTCAGGACAGACATAATATCGTTTCAGGACAGAAATAAAGTGTAAATGACCCATTTTGTATTACCCACAGATTGGACAGATAATTTTTTATGTGCCTTTTATACTTTGTTCTGTCCATTTTTTGATATACTGGTGTAGTTTCTACAGAATTGTTCGTTAAAATTTTCAAGTGCAGAAAGGTAAAGTCTCGTTGCCATAAAAAAATATTCCTTCCCCACAGAAATCCTGCAATACACGCCTAAATTCGACAATTATTTGGTCTCCTTTCTACACTGTTTTTCCACGACAGATAAACACGTTTTTCCACTTTTTTATTTTTAAGTTACTGAAAATTTTTGCATGCTGCAAATTTCATTAAACACCGCCGCAACCGAAAGTGTTTTCAATTTATCAATAGAGGAATTGCATCCACATTGTTATATTAATGTAAATGGATCTTGAGGTTAGAGACATTGTCAGGCAAAAATCATACAAAAAAAAAAGATCTAATGGACTGAAATTATTTTTATACTAACTACAGATATCACATTGGACTTAAACCCCAGCATTGATCAACAAAAATTATGTTCATCAAGTTTTATTTGAAAAGTTAGATTTTGAAAAATATGTAATTTAAATCTGAGGAGATCGTAATTTTGACTCCACCTCTGTGGAATTCGAGTTAAAATAATATCCACTCGGTCAAGCGTAGAAGAACATTGATAATACAATGTGAATTATATTTCAATAAAAATTTTGTTGTGTGGATGTATTTTTTTTCCTTGAATCTTTTTTACACCACAAAAGTATATTCTTACTGTATCTACAAAAATATATGCTTGTGGAGCAACACAAATATAGAAGTTGCATTTCTCTTAAATGAGTTTTTACCAGAACTATCGTAGGAGTATATGTTGAGACAATTGTATGCAGATCCTAACCATTTCATGCAGTGGAGAAAGCCTGTCTGGATGATAGGATTTTTGTACCTAATTTGAGGGAGGACAGTCGATAAAACGACTTAATGATATGTGGAACCATGACCCTTCGTTCGGTTGTCATTTCATGATGAGTGTAGGTAGGATAGGATTTACATATTTATCCCGGGGGAAAGCCGATAAGACAGCTCAATCATATGGCAAACCACAGCCTCTCGTCCGGTTACCAGTCCAGGTTGGGTATGGGATTAGATAGCCAGTTATTTGTTTTAGCATAGCGAGGAGTCTAGCAGTCCTCTCGCACATGATCATCCTCGCACGGGATTCGGACCTGCGATCCCACGAAGAGTGATCAGAGATGCGGTGGCGAGCGTATTCTTAACGCTTAGCACGATGCGCCACACCACTGAGCCAAGGTGGGTGTAGTTTACGAGTTACCCAGTCCAGATGCATGGAATTGTTAGTGAAAGGAATCACAGCTAACATCCCAGATTGAGATGCAAAATATTTGGTAGGTTGGGAATTTATGATAAATTAGAATTTGCACGACTACAATACAACTGTCATAGTTTCAACAAACATTTTCATGCACAGCAATCCTCACAAGATTAACATGAGAACCAATCCAGATTTATCAGCCATCCATTGTCTAGGATTGTTTGTACCAACACTTAACTAGTCAAGCAATTGTAAAACAAACATAAACCATGGTATCACATCACAAGCATATGTTCTCTATCAAAGTCATTCTGGACTTCTACGAGACCAAGCACAGTTTTGAAAATATTAACGCAAAAAATCACTCAAATTACGGTAGCTCGGGAATATAGTTCAAGTGAGGCTATTACAGTTTGTACTCATGGCTCACATGTAGTTTTCAAAGTGTAATTATTATATACTGTGAAGATACTCTGGCAAGCGAGTTAACACAAGCGTATAGTTGGCAATTCAAAGCAAAATTATATTCTGACAAATGGCTAATAATATACCCAAAAATGTTGCAGAGTACAAGTCACCATGGTGATTAACTTTACATATAAAATAGTATATGCGAATACCACAGATTTTATGGAATATGTACGAGACTTGGTTTTAATATTCGTACATTAATCTTACTTAATAGTTATAAACTGCTTCATTTTTGCCACATATGAAAGAAAGCTCGATTATCATTCCACAGGATTCATTTTATTGTGTGATAAAAAGTTGAGAAAGAAAATAAAACGTAGTGGGAAAAAGAAATGATTGGGTTTATCACAGTATTCAGAACTGATGCCTATGTGTATGTTAATGCCCAAATACATTCTAAATAAGGATGGTGATTTTTTCAAAAAAAATTTCAAAGCCAAAGCAAGGTTTTTCAAACAAACGTAAAAGAGACTCATCTTTCGAAGAAATTTATGATTAACCACTGTAATTATATAAAGTTTTGATGGTGAACAAGCCAATATGACACATTAGAAAACCTATCAGCATTAGATCTGGAATTGCATTTTCCCCTCATTTTTTTAATCGATCAGACTTGTTTTTCTGATGTGTGAGTGATAGGATAGAGCGTTTGTATGTACTGTCACACAGAAGATTGTTTGTGTTATGTATTTCAATATTTCCAAGATCATTTCATTCATCAATAATGTTTAGAAGCAAGGTTGAATAAATAGTATATACTAATCCATTTTGTATCTAACGTAATATATTTTCAATCAATGCTAATATCTCAACTTAGCATGACAAATATTAATGCACCAGATATTTGAAAAAAAAAAAACGCCGAGCAAAAGGCTGCAGGTGCAGGGTGAAAAGAATGAACAAAGTGAAAGGCAACTCCAACTTCAACAATATCCACCTTCTAAGTTCTTCGAATTTGATCTTTAAGCTGTTGAGCATGATAGGCAGTGACTGGCAGTTTCAGATGAGCTTCATGGAGCAGTTTTTCTACATGGTGATAGAAACTGAAATTGTAATTTATTTTAAAATTAGCAATAAGTAGCAATTTGTCAAAAAAAAGTTTAAACCAAACCAGTTCACCCTGTATAGTTGGGAATAGTCAATTCTTGATTCAACAAGAATTTAAAATGTAGGCGTTAAATTTTGTTGATTCTAGCATGTTTGAATAGCTCGGCAAAAAGAGTTTTGATCTCTTGAGGAATTGTCACATCGACTTAACCGTAGGGTATGTGGGCTCACTGAGCCATCCCAGTCTATTGCCGCACTTCCCAGCAAAGCAGCTCAACTACAACTTAAGACTATTGAACTGGAGCTATTGAGATTCATAAGCTTCCTGCTCAATATGTGTTCTTTCTTGCCATGCACACAATTTTCTTCGGTACTGTGGCATTACGCTGTTACAATCTAATATAAGGAGTTGAAAATCGCTAAACTCAGTGATGCACAAAGAAAGGCGTAATCATTGCAACATTTTGTTATAGATTTCATTTCTTTTGCAAGAAAAACACAGAATTCTCAGAGTGTTGCTTGTTACTTGTAGCCATCTTTATGTGTGAGAAAATCATCGGTACCGGATTACTTTTAGGAAACTATCGGTATCGGTTTAAGAGGGCAGTATCGCCCAGGTTCTACTCGTAATAGAACTAAATAAAAGGAAAATCAGAATAAAATTATAACCTAACCCTAACCTGGTACACACACTAAAGGAGTACCGCTGTTTTCGTTCTATAGTTGGAATTGTAAACTGAAAAGAAGCTACAGTTTGCCAGGTTTGCAATTTGCTTGTCAAAACATAAAAACTCATTACCAATCTCATCATCCAACTGATGCTTTATCTAAAGCAGCTGATAAACCCAGAGGTAGAAATGCATCTCCTTCCTTCATGTATATTACACTTCTATCAATATACACTGCTCTGGAACCAAGCCTGAGAATACAAAAGAATTAAATTGTGAATGCAATGGTTTAGAACAGGGGTGGGGCAAGGACGAAGGTATTTATAGTGTTAGAAAAGAAAAGGGGAAAACAATAAGCCTCATGCCAAAACTTATTTTAATTGCAATCTGAACAAATTCCATGAGGTATTTTTCCAGAGAAACATTAAAATTTGGTTTTAGTTTGGTTGTGGCATCATTACAATTGAAGTACTAAATGGGCCGTATCGGGCTCGCGGGCCACTGTTTGCCCATATAGGGTATTGCACCTCATTGCTAAGTTTCTGATTGCATAGAGTCTTATGCAGAGCAAAGGGTATATGTGTCCCTACGGTATTAATCTGAAATTGTAGCAGATAGTTTGGTTTTGACTGCCCAGAGAGGTATCCAAGCTGTAGCAGGATTTCAAATTTCTTTGAAGTTAAGAATTGAACGAAACTCATTCTTTGTCCAACAACTAAGTAAGTAGCACAGTAGATAGTAAACAAACAAAAAGTTCAATAACTGCTATTGAATAGAAGTAAAAGTATTCAAATACGCATACCTGTATACAGTTTTCCCGTCTGGATTAGACTTGAGTGGCACGAATACAAGCCCTCTCTCTTCTGCCCTCTGTTGGATAAGATCTCGAAAATTCATCGGGACGGATGATGATTGCACTGACTGAGATAAAGGATGGCTGGGACGCGCTGGTGCTGCTGCTCTATTAGGCTCAAACTGCAAAATAAGAAAGTATGAAAATTGTCAAAAAAAGAAGTCAAAGATATCACTTTATCAAGGTAAAACTATCTATGAATTTGCTTTGATGTGAAGTCAGAAATTGAAAGGCTTGCTTGACTCCTCGTCGACATAAGGTTATGTAACCTCTGCTTAGTAGTAATTCCTTTCACTATCAATGGCATGCGTCTGTAATGGATAACTGGTAAACCACACTCATCATGACCCATCTATGAATGTGCTTTGATGAGAAGTCAAAAATTGAATAGCTTGCTTGACTCTTCGTCGGCATAAAGTGGTTTAAAGTAATTGCTGGTTAGCTGCGATTCCATACACCAACAAGTCGATAAATCTGGAATTGATAACTGATGAAATATATCACCCCACACCCATCTATAAATATGCTTCGATGTGGAGTCAGAAATTTAGAGGATTGCTGGAATCATTGTTAGGTGGTTCATATAACCGCTTGTTAGTTGCAACTCCTCCCACCACCAGGTCCACGAATCTAGTCTGGATGATGGCTTTTTGACATGGACTGGCAATCAGAGAAGAGGTTGTTTACCATATGGTTGAGTTTTGTCGTATTTCCTCTCTTAAAAGAAATATGAAAATCCTATCCTATCATCCAGACAGTAAAACTTACATCTTCTGCATCCATGTCTACATTCCTAGGTGGCCGTCCAGTTACTGCTCTGTTCATCATTTCTAATGCTTGTTTGAATCTGTCCTGCAATACAACAACAAAATGAATGAGAAATGCTGAAAGCTCATGTAAAGTAAAACCCCTAAATTGCGGAATATGTGGCGCTCCAGAAGTATGTGTACCAATATGGAGGTAACTAATTTGTTCGTCTACTTGTGTAAAGGGACTGAAACCTATGGGCAGGAGGTATATTCCACTTGGCTAACAAAGACAGTCCCCGACCCGTAATAGAACTAGAACAGGGAAATCAGAATAAAATTATGGCCTAACCCTAACCTTGTACACAGATTACGGGAGTACCAAAATATCCATATTACACCAATTTTGAGAGATAATATCAAAAAACAAATCCATTTTCTACATTCATTTCAGTATTATTTAAAATTACTAAAACATGAGGTAACCACTGTGCATTTCCACACTTACTTTAACAAATGAGTTTGTCATCAATCCTTCTGGCAAAGTTTTTTTCCATCCAGTATACCAACGTGAAACCTCTTCATAATCAACATTAGACGAATTTAGCCAAGAGCTCAGCGCTCGGAGCCATTTCGGGAAAAAATTTGTCTCGAGCATTGAGACGAGAGAAGGCCGAGGTATGAGAGATTCCCATTCCATTACGCACTGGAAATCAGCTAGAGATTGATCGTGAGGATTGACAATAAAATCTCGAAGACATTTTTCTGAAAATTATACAATAAGACAATGGAATAATATAAAAAAAAGTTGAGTAAACATAATAAGTGAGGCTGGTTTGAATCCATAATCAGCATAAAGCCGATGAAATAAAACATATACAGTAATTCAATTTAGATCGTGTATATCACAATCCCGAATTTGAAAAGTGTTATGTCCTAGTTCTTTAGCGACCACTTGTACATTACAGTATAAATAGGCTTGTTGTTGAAGGGCCCGCAAATAAATGAAACAAAAATTAGCAAAATGGCTCAGTGTGGTGAGATTGTGAACCCCCTAGCCTAGGGTTTAAAATTAATTACATAACATGTTGGAACACTTCTGCTCCTAAACAATTTAGATCAAATAAATATTACTCCTACAAAAAAAGGTATTCCCGTAATGTGCGTGCCGGGTTAGGGCATAATTTTATTCAAATTTTCCTCATTTTAGTTCTAATACGAGATCGGGGACTGTCTGTGTTAGAAATTAGAATATACCCCATGCCATGCCCATAGGTTTCAGTCTCTTTACACAACTCGATGTAAAGTAGACGAACAAAATTAGTTACCTCCATATTGGTACATACACTTCTGAAGCGCCCAATAATATACAAACTTTTTGTGAAAAATATCATAAATAAAATACTAATATAAAAACTACAGACAATATATCAATGTTATATATCAATGTATCAATTTCAACGAAAAAATAGTCAATTTTATTCTAGTAATATTCGGGTAACCAACCTAATTTTGGAACAATATTTTTTATTATAAAAGCATCCCAACTTCCTCGAGAAAAGACTTCATGCCATGGTTCCAGGATTACTTTGGCTGATGGATCTCTGGGATGCCACATTTGTAATGCATTACCCAACTTCTGTCTGATTGGCGCATACCTGAAAATTAATACAGATAAGAAGAGATGTTCAACACTCTATAAATTTCGAAAAAACAATCGAAAAATAAATCTATAGGTCAGAACTCTTATCTGTTAGGGAGAATCTCTAAAAATGTCGCTACTTGATAACTGGTATTGTTTTTTCAGAATTGTGAAGTCGGAGTTTGGCATATTGCAGTATCGGAGTCCAAGCTGGGAGTCTAGGATTCATATTTTTACACTCAGAATACCACACTTCACCTGGTGATCGAACTAGAAGGCAGACATAGTTCACCCTATGATCAGGCTATTTTTCAGTTTCCCTCTCCCAAAGTATCTTTCTATTATCAAGTCTGTAGCGATGGATAATAAAAGAGAAATTTACTTACAAAGGTTCCATTTTTTGTTCTAACAGCGGCAACCAGGGATGAATCCACGAATGTAACGGAACAGGATCTGTCAAAGGATTCCATGATTCAACTTCTTGTTGAAGACGAGGCAGAATCTAGAAGAAAGTATTGGATGATTGACCATAACCACAATATAATTATCTAACTAACCATATTTTTCCAATTGCAGAGTTATACTGCAACAGTTAGTGGGTCTGGCCAATGACCGCAACCCCCTTCCTTCGCGTACAACATGCCTGGGTGAGCTGGAAACCGGAAATCGTGAGATGCAAAACAAGAGATCTTTGAAGAAGCAATGTACAAATATATGGTCATGTTTTTGAAGTATTGTTAGCGAAACATCAGTGCGCGGCTCTCATACATATAAAAATACAATTTTATAACAAAAACAACCAACGATCTAAAGTTTAGCGAGCTGAATAAACATGAGGGGAACAAAGTAAAAGTGGGAAAAAAATGAAGGATTAGTCTGATGAATTGCCACAAGGTCGCCCAATATAACCTTTTTAAATATCCTACTGTTGCAACATAAGTAATAAACAACATCTACGTGAATAGAACTAACCAATTGCATTAACAGATTCTCCAGTATCCATGAAGGTAGTAAGGGCATCCATTGCTCAACCAGTTCAACCATTGAATCGCAATCTCTGACGTTCCACTGATAAGTTGCAGTTCGAACACGAGGCATCCATACTTCCCATACAAGGTATTGATACATGTCACTGTTGCTTGTATTGGACATGGAATTCTATAACAATTACGGTATAAATTAGCATTTTATTACTTTTCGGACCAGTGGTTCCCAAAGTTGATCGACTGCGGACCAAAATTAGAAGCTGAAGAACATTCGCGGGCCAGAAGAGGGGAGTGCCTGCAAGGGTCTGATACAGATATGTATAATTAAGATACCGAATTGTTTAGATACTAAATTGAAGTGTTACGAGTATACACATGCTGAAACTGTGATAATGACGTAACAATTGGCGGTATCAAGAACACAAAAAGAAATGAACATCAAGTGTTAAACATTATTCACTCAAGTTTGGTTTCAGTTAAGTTTCACTTTACGCGGTCGTTACGCGGACCGTAACTGACACGCGAGACGTGGTTTAGGAACCACTGTTTTAGAACAGTTTGTTGAGTATGTCAATGTATGTTTGATAAGTATGTCATTGCATTCTACAATGTCACCAATTACTTTTGAAAATCAGGACAGATAGTATCACCTTATTTAATTAACTTTAATTTCAATTCAGGCCTTGTGTGATTTTTTGTGTATTCTGGTGCACCATGTTACAGACTTTATTCAAAGTTCGATTTCATCAGCTCTGAGTTTTTTCTTATGATCATATTTTATAGAAAATTCAACTATTATCATATTGATGACTTCAAATTTACCTATCTTTTCCTTGCGCAATTTACCTATCTTTTCCTTGCACAAGCATAAGTTGTTATGTTACTGAGACAAAAAATATCATGCATGTTCAACAACTTGCCGAAGAAAGTTTATTTTTTAAGCATTATCGCTACCATGGTAGCCGATGTCATATTTAACGATTTTTTCAAGAATCAATAAATATTTCAACTTGGGACTGAGCAAAAAATTAAATCCGACACCGAAAACCATGGCCAAAGCTAATACTCACCTGTAAAGAATACGACGCAGCATCCAGTTCCAACAGTGTTTTCCATCTTTTCATTTCAGATGTTCCATGAGACGGTGATTTGAGAGGATTCCAACTGTTGGCAAAAAATATATATTTTATCTCCGACAATTTACATAAATGTACAAGGATTAGGTAGAAGCCCTAAAACCTAGTCAGTCAGTAGTCAATGATGTCAATCACTAAATTAAGACTCACTAGTGATTAGTCTATTTCAGTGGTTCCCGACCTTTTTTTCAAGCAACCGAAAAAAAATTTAAAAACAAATTTTGCTCAAATACTAAACGACATGAAGTACTTTTATGGATGCAAACTTAACAACTAATATAAGAGTCATCTTTACATAACATTTATTCTGACAAAAAATTACCCCCAAAGTTAGAAGGCAGCGCTTGTCAGCCATCAGCGATTTTCTGAAATGGTGAAAATTTCCTACCTTGCAAAATATTTCTTCATCTGAGGAATTACAAAAGCAGTGGCAAGATCAGATAATTCAAACATCTTGTACTCAGCAAAATATTTCTCCTGAAAAAATAATTCAAAGACTCAATAATGGAGATGCATATAATATTGAAGTTTATATTTTTGTTTTATACGAAGCTTTGCTCCAAACGAGGCCCCGTAAAGCAGCCACTGATATTTGAGAAGCTACTGTTTCTGTAAGGAATAAAATCTTTCTGGTTCGGCATTGCTTACCCCATTTTTTACCCCCAGGGTAAGATGGTGGGAACAGGATTTGCACCCAAGATATGTAATCTGCGACGCCAACACAGTTAAGTCTGACAGATATTCAGGCTGCCAAGCAAATCAATGGTGAATGCTCATTTTTGATGAAAATTAAAAATAGCAAATTGAAATTTGACGTCTCAAGTTTCTATTCCAGGTAAAATTTGTCCCCAATTGATGCTAAAAATATTCTGCCAAATTGAAATGATAATCTGATAAATTTTCAGTTTAATTTACCTGTAATTCAGCAAATACTTCCGCTAATTCATCAAGGAACGATTCACATTCAACATCTGAGTTTGATCGATCTTCACATTGACAAACTACTTGAAGTAACCTCTGTGATAAAATAAAGGTCAATTTTAATGAGAGCTATGGAGTACGAGCGGAGTTTGGCATGTTATATCTTATATAAGAGTCAAAATTTTCTCTTCTCCAGACTTCAGAGTCCGAGATAAAATATTTTTCAAGCTAGGGTCGGGAGTCAGGGCTCAGGTTAATTTTTGGATAGTTCGAAGTTTAGACTCCACGAAGTCACAAGTTTTATAATTTTCCTGGATTCCAACTCAGTAGCCTAAATATTAGGATACAAGAAAACAACTATACTATTATCTTTAGGAGTTGGCGATAGGAAAGAAAATTTCTCATTCAAAAAGTTTCATTTCGATTTCTTTTAAAATGTATTTGAGATATAAATTAATTAAATTGTCTAGTCTTATTTTATCACCTCTAGTTTCTGTATTTCTTCTTCTTCTTGCTGTAATGTTGTTCTTAATTGATCTTGTTGATGTTTTAAACTCACAACTCTATCTTTTTCATAGTCGTGTTGGCGATCATTCTGTAAGAACAATTACTATAATTACTCCATATTGGTACACAAACTTCTGGAGCACATATTCGATGTAGTAAATTAGTGATTTCAGGCATAATTACTATTTTCTATTCTATGTGTAAACACTCACATGTAATATTTTTTGCTCCGTAGATTCGAGCAACATATTGAGATTATGTTCGAGCTCAGGACAAGAGAATCCTCCTTCCTTTCCAGCCCTTTGTCGATCGTTATCGTAGTCTTCATCACTACTGCTACTGGCATCTGGGTCAACCGCATGTCGTCCTGCTATTGCATGGTACCTGAGGAATGAGGGATTCAGAGTTGTTATTAAGGAAGTTAAGTATCTGGAAATATATAAATCTGTTTATCTTTTATATCTGCGCCCCCTTTTAGAATTTGTCAAGTTTCGTGCCCCATTTCAAAATTAACCAGCTAACAGTAATCTACAAATAACAGATAATAAGACAAAAGTATGTTCCACTCGAAAAACACATTGACAATATGTGGACGAAACGTGAATGTTCAAAATAAAGAAAAGTGAAAATCCAAAATAAGACAGGTAAGATCAAATCTTAACAAAAATATTTATTTTTAATTAGCTTCACGCCCCTTCGAAAAATTGTCTAAGCACCCCTTTGAAAACCACTGAACTAGATACAATAATGCTGGGTGTAACCGCACATGAAAGAAATGGATCATCTCAGTTTCACCTACTTCATGCGCCTATTTTCTGCTCATAATCATGATTTCTTTATTTTTCGGCAACTTCTTGTGGAAGTTGGCAATTTGGATTATTTTTTTTGCTTGGTTTTTACTTCGTTTTGGCGAATTTTTGTCCCAATCCTATGGCAAGTGTTGGAATAAGTGAACAAACTTACGACACTCCTTGATTTTTTTCAATATTAGGTTTTTGAAATTGAAAACTTGATAATTTGACTGTGATCGCAAAATGGGTGAACCATCCTATCTTTGTACAAACTCCCAAAATTTTACTCACCCTGAAAAGACTTTTTGTTCTCGTCCAGTCATATCGATAACTTTCACATTGGCAAGAGCGCTAGAAAGCGCAGTTTCACTCCCTGAATTTCCATCTTTTTTCTTTTTAATTTTCTTCCCAGATTTTTTCAATTCATCAACAGTTTTATAAACATATTTCTTCTGGTTGCGATCAACACCATCTTTCCTCCATCGAGATATTTGTTCCTGTAAATTTATTTTGTAATTGTTACTTAAATACAATCTTCTAGAATCCACTCACTGAACAAGCCACTGTGCAAGCAGTTGAAAAACAAAATTGAAAAATTTCAGATAAAATATTGGTCTTCAAAAAGTTTTTTTTCAAAATTTTTTTTGAAGTACTGGATAATTTGAAAACAATTGGTCCATTACTTTTAAAAAAATTCTTCTCCAATAACAAAGATAATTCCAACAACAATAGCAATTGAGCAAACAGCACACATCCATTTTGTGTTCAATAAATGGAGTTGCTTGTGAAGCAGTAGATTTTTATACCTGTGAAGCAAACCTCAAATACAAAAAAATCCATTTAATTCACAATTCAAGATAAATTCACCTTAAAATCCTTTTCTTCTTCTTCCTCTGAATCCTGTGTTGGAAAATGAATGTACGATTGTTTAGTTCTTTCAGTTCCTGCCGCTCCTAATCCGGCTTTCTTTGTTCTTTTCATCGCTTCGATTGGATTCACGATACCTTGATTATCTCGACCCAAACCTTTACCAACTTTGTAACCCATTTTTTTCATCAGTTTCATACCTAAAAAGAAGTTAATTAGTTGAAAAAAAGGGACATGACAGAGATGCTAACGAAGAAATTTTTAATGTTTAGGATGTATCAGTATAGCCCATGGGTTCCCAAAGTGCCACATACAGAGCCCCAGGGCTCCCTGAGAAAAAACCCAAGGGCTCCGCGAGCTATTGTTTACTTATTAGAATACTGAATATTTTATAAATATGAATTCATCCAAATCATTTAACAAAGCAATTTTGGTTTAATCAAGGACATTAAACGGTAAATATTAATGGGCTCCTGACAACCCCTGGTATAGTAAACCAACTTATCAAAGAGGGAGGGTTTAATTTGGTTCAAAATAGTCTGTGGTCCTAAAAAGGTTAAGAATCCCTATTCTAGGTGTCTGACAATATCTTCTGTTTAGGAATCATAGGATAACCACTTTAGGGGAAAAACAGTGGTCTGATGGTCACACAAACGGGATTCATGTAAGCAACATCTACCCAAACAAAAAGTTGTGTTCGCCCCAGTTTTACTCTCTCATTTAAATAGTAGTAATGCAGACAAAATGTTTGTTCCCCCAAGTTTTAAGCTTTCATTTGTTAAAGAAAGACTGAAATTAATAATGGAAGAATCTCAAATTACCTATTCCCTTTGTATGCCTCTCAAATGAACCAAATTGTGTCGCCATTTTTTCTTTCTGTTTTTGTTTCGCTGTTAAACTATATGCATGACCACCAGATCCACTGGTACCAACTGCTGAGGTCGAAGGCTTAGGCTTTGGTTTCTGGACTGAGTGTAGAGTTACAGGTTTGCTGAAATAAATATTAGTATTGAATATATTATAAGTTCTTACTCTAATACAGAGGTGGGCAACACTATTTGCTGATGGTCCATAAAACCCATTTCAGACATCTAGCTGGGCCACAAAAAAATTAGCGGAAAAGGCGAGTGAATTTGTAACTTAATTAATTAGCTTCATGTCCCCTTAAAAAATTGTCTACGTTCCCCACCGTTTGAAAACCACTGCTCTAATAAAAACAAACATAATTATTTTATAAGAATTAAAAAAAACAATATACGTTTCTTTAGTCTGTCTTCCTTCAACATCATAATCATCCATATTCTCTTCCTCTTCTGGATCGTATCGTTGACGCTTTTCTCCTTCTTTTAAACCTCCACTGATAAAGGTTACTGGTGCAGAGAAATCGCGTTTCTTTTTGCTGTGAAAATCAGAATGCGAAGTAGATAATTAAAAAAAATTGTTTTGTCACTCAAATCTGTCATAAAATTTGAAAACACAAATTATCAATACTTTACTTAATGTTCATTTTATACTAAAAAGATTAATTTATCCTGATAACTTTTGGAGCATTATCAATGAGCTTATAACAAATTTCTCAATAATTTCAGTCTTGAATAAATTTTTGAATTGATGCTCATTACGATAGATCAGATATACATTGATTCCACATGTCTTTGAACAAGTTGGATGCGTTCGAACTCTTGTTTATCATTCCAGTTCAAACAATTCATGCCTAAAAAAGTGATGACACCCTGTGAAATAACTTTCTCGAGCAATGAAACTAGAAAGAAAGGGGAGTTTTCTTGTAAACTGAAAAGTTAATTTTGCAGCCAGCATTGCATCCCCCTCCAACTGCTCCATGAACACTGTAGAGGGCAACGGCCCCTGGTTGGAAATCGCTGCTTCAAACAATGATTGTGATGCCATAATGGTTATAGTGTTGGCATTGCGCATTAAATATCTCAGATCCAAGCCTACACTTCACCCAGGGCATAATAAACTGGAAAGAGAAAAGGTCAAAGATATTCCGGGTCATAAAAAATAGTAGTGCATACTAATGGTTGCCTTGTTTGGAGGAAATCTCACATAAAAAACAAACTAAGAATCGATTTTTCAATTTGACAGTCTTGAATAACTAACCCATAATTGTTCTCAGATGATTTTGCCCAGATTCCATAAAGAGCTTGTTCCTTTGTTTGCTTGAATTGTGGTCGATCTGGATTGAATTCGTTAGCGATGTCATCATTCGTTAATTCGAATTTCTCCATCTCATTCTCTTCTTCACTATCAGCGGCAAACATGGCCGCTATTTTTCTTTGACGGTTCGACATTTTGGGAGGCATCTGAAGACAGAATTAAAATGGTAAAAATGAATAGCCTATATTAATGAGCAGGAGTAGGTTCGAATTTTTTTAATTTATCGCAGGGATGAGGATAAGATGGCTTAATCATAAGACAACCAATTGTCAGGGTGAGCATGTTGCGTATCGGGATAGTAAACAAGTCTAGTAATTAGTTTCACATCCATAGACTTGGTGGATGCGGTAACTGACCAAACAAGAGCTACGAGTACAGCAATTCCCTAGAACAGTGCTTCCCAGCCAGTGGGTACCATATTCTTAATGCCTAGCATAGCACTATGCAACAGACAGCATTTGACGATCAGCAATAAAAAACATAAAGATAATATATTAAATAAAATAATATATATAATATGTATATAGGGTACATATGTAGATTAGATATGCTTTTACAAATTTCCTCATTTTAAACATTCGCAAATTCATTCAATCATCCTAACGAATTCAGATATTGCAATATTAAAGCAAGGAAATGCCTGAATGAGGTCTTTTGATTGTTTAAAAATATAGTTTTATAAGCCCAGATACCGTACCTACTGAGATATGCTGCCATCTGACATGTATAATTAATTACAGCTTACCGTACCTTCAGCAAGAAGAAAATCCAGTATTATTTCTCCTCACGCAGTCACCAGGTCACAGACACATAGATATCCACAAATTTTTTGTCCTTTCTCCGTTTTTTGGTGACAAATGATATCAAAAGCGTCATAAATCCCGTAAAAATAATTAATAGTATCGTAATAATTAATTAATAGTAAGGGAGATGCGAAAAAAACTCTGCAAAACAAAAAACAAACGACATTACATTTCAGCCTTCAGTTTTTAGATATTGCAAGAAGAGATGAAATAAAATAGAGAACATAACTGTGAAATCCATATTACGGTACAGAAATACGATCTGGCAACCTTACTATTTACCAAATTGGTACTGTATTTACTAAAACTTAATGGAATCGCTAGAAGGAAATTACCGACATGCATGAACAGTTACGTTTCCAACAACGCTGACAGTACCGACAGCAACAGCGGCTTGGTTAAAGCCTTCAGTTTTTTAACCAAGATATAAACAACCTACGACGAATATGGAAGAAAACGAAGATGCAGAAGAGAAAGAAGATGACAATATTTACCCACCAGTTAGATATCCAGAAATACAGGTGCCGGTATCGGCACAAGCGTCAACTAGACAGACTAGAAGTGATGAAGAAAGTCTGTTTCGGGTAAAGATAGACAATACAATCTCAATCCAATTGCAAAGAAAATCATGGGCAGAAAGGGATGAAGTGATCGAAATTTTAAGAAATAACGTACCACTAAATGAGATAGCAGCTGTGTATAAATTCTATCAAAGGTGGATAATCACGACCAAAACAAAAGAAACTTTTGAAAAGCTGATGAAAGGTATTTCATATAAACTTGATAACAATGAAGAATGCATATGTATACCACAAGAAGTAGATCCAAATGTGACCGAACTAACAATGGAAAAAACTCCATATCAAGTTCCGAATAAAGAGATTGTCAAATTCATGTCAAAATATGGTGAATGTATTAACATAGAAAGAAAATGTGATAAAGATGGAATAGATACCGGGGAAAGATTCATGAAAATGCGTTTGTGTTTGTATATTCCAACCAAATTAAAACTCCCGGTTAACCTCAGTGGAATGGAAACAAAAATTCATTATCACACTAAACCTAGGGTGACAAGAAGAGAATGTTATATATGTAAAAAAACAGATCATCAACCGGAAAGTTGTCCGGACAAATTACTGTGTGAAATATGTGGAGATAAAGGTCGACCTCATCTTACGAAAAACTGCAGAAATGCAAAACACAAAGAATCAAGACCACATAGGTTACAAAACACAGTGAAGGAAGTCCTTGCAGCAATACAAGATGAAATTGGAGAGGGTGGAGCAATGCAAGGTATTGAAACTCCTAGCAATGAAAATTCAACCAGTGTACAAACACTGCATGAGGATCAAAATGTTGTGGAGACACAAACACAAAGAGGAAATGATATGAGAGGAAGAACAAACGAAAATGCTAGAACCGTCTCATTAGAGTCTGCAAATAATGAAAAGATAACTGTTGAAGGAAACGATTATGAATCAGACGAAAATAATGATCCAGATATCAAAAATACTCTACTTCTTGGAGACTCTCAAGTTAGCAGAATGCGGATGAATTGTTGGAATGAGTCTGTCATGCAGGTACAAGTTCCAGGAGGTAAATTTGGAAATGGTTCAAAATGGTTGGAAGAGAACAAACCTAATTTCAATAATATATTTTTGTACTTTGGTACAAATCATGCGAATCAGCTTGACAGGACAATAAAAGCTGCAAGTGATCATATATGTGCTGTTGCAAAAAATTATGCAAAAAATGTGTTCCTCGTTGGCGTCCCACCTATATCAATGGTAAAAAATGGTGAAAATGGATCTATGAGAATAAATAAACTGTTGAAAGAAAGTGCAAAAAGACAGGGAGTAGCATACGTTCCGTGCCCAAAAGAATTTTTAGAAAGGGAGGATATTACAGACTTATATGGAAATGACAGAAGACATCTAAGTCAAAAAGGAGCAGACTTAATATCTGCCACAATTGCCGCAAAGATACCAGTAGCTAGAAAAAGACGCAAATGGGAGAGTCCAGATCCGCTGAAAGGATGTGAGAAAGAAAGAAAACAACATCTGGTGAGGAATCAACTGAAACAGAGAAATGAAGTTCTTTGTGTTATATACATACAGACTAAGTAAGTCAAAACTATGACAATAAACCTTACCAACTTGAAATTAATTTCAAGTCTAGTATTTGTTTTGCAACATATAATGTTAATGGACTAAGGGATTTGACGAAAAGGGAGGCGATATTTACTTTTTTGAAAAAACGGGGAGCTAATATAGTGTTTCTGCAAGAGACTCACTGTTCTAGTAAAATTGAAAATGAATCATGGTCAAAAGAGTGGGGTAGTCAATGTTTATGGACTGAATATTCCAATACCTGCAATGGGGTAGGGATCTTGATTTCTTCAAATTTAGATATATCTTTAGGAAATATAGATATAGATGAAAATGGCCAATATATTATATGTTCATTTGAATACGATAGTTTTTTAACAATAGTAGTGAACGTTTATGCTCCAAACCTTGATTCTCAAAGGGTCAAGTTGTTCAAACTTATATATGAAAAACTAGAAACCCTGAAAGCTTCAAATTATGCATACACATGCAATTTTATATGTGGTGGTGATTTTAATTGTATTTTGGAAGATAGGGATAGGGATTCCGTCAAATGTAGAAGAAATAATAAATCCAAAAGTGAAAAAATGCTCCAAAATATTGTTACTAAATTGGATTTGATTGATATTTGGCGTGAAAGGCACTCATCCCTTTTACAATTTTCATTTCATCGCCCAGCAACCAGAAACGGGCAAAAACAATCCAAAAGCAGAATAGACAGATGGTATCTTTCGCGATTATATACTGTCAATGTAGAAAAAGTTGAAATAATTGTAGCAGCATTATCGGATCACTTACCTGTCTTTATGTGGACAGATATAGGCGAGAATATCAAACGTGGGAAAGGTTATTGGAAATTTAATAGCAACTTATTAAATTATGATTTATTTGTCACAGGGGTAGAAGTTATATCAAAGAAATGGCTAAAGCAATTAAATGAAGGACATGAAATTGATGTTCTTAAATTTTGGGAAAATTGTAAAAGAAAAATTAAGGAGTGGTCTATATATAGTGGAGAAAAGTTAGCTAAGGAAAATAGGAATATAGAAAAACAATTAATAAAAACTTATGAAGAAGCATTGTTCAAATATGAGGAAGATCAATACGATATAGAAAAAAGTCACAAGTTAATGCAGGCAAAACAAAATTTGAAAGATTTTCAAACGAATCAAGTAAAAGGAAACGCTATAAGGGCACGCATACAGTGGGCAGAATCGGGAGAAATCTCATCAAAGTATTTCTTCAATTTGGAGAAGTATCGAGGGAAATTGAAATTGATACAAGAAATTAAAAACGAAAGTGGAGAGATTGTGAGAGGTTTGAGAAACATACAAAAAGTACAACAATCTTTTTACCAAAAATTATACTCAAAAACACCAAATCTAGATGAAAATTCCCAAGATGATTTGATTTTGAAATTAAATAAAGAAGTTGATAGATTAGATAAGGAGGACATAGAACAACCAATTAAATTTGAAGAATTAGAAAACGCATTCAAAGGTATGAAATTAAACAAAGCGCCGGGCTCAGATGGTATTACAAAAAATTTTTATGCGAAATTCTGGAAAATATTTGGAAGTATATTGAAAATTGTTTTTGACAAAATAGTAATATCAGGACATATGTCAGAGTCAATGAAAACAGCTATTATCACCCTATTGTATAAAAAAGGAAATAAAAATGACCTGAATAATTGGCGACCTATATCGCTGTTAAACTTTGATTATAAGCTTTTGGCAAAAATTTTAGCTAACAGAATTAGAAACTTACTTCCAAAAATAATTCACTGTGACCAGACTGGTTTTATTCAGGGTCGTTCTATACATGAAAACATCTCATGTATTAGAGACGACATATTTTATGCTAACAGATTTGGAAAAGAATTAGTAGTGTTTTCAATAGACTGGGCCAAAGCCTATGATACTGTTGATAGAGAATTCCTTTTTAAAGTTATGAAGAAGTTTAATTTAGGTCCAAATTTTATCAATTATATAAGAATTTTATATACTAATACAAAAGCAAAAATATTAACAAATGGATATGTAGGAGAGAGTTTTGAAATGACACGTGGATTAAAACAAGGCTGTCCTCTGTCCCCATTTTTATACACTATGGTTGCGGAGGTTTTTGCAACTAATATTAGAGTAAATAGCAACATAATAGGTTTTAAGAACATTTCAGGGAATGAAGAAAAATACAAAGGGTTTGCGGATGATGCAACATTAACAGTTAGAGATTTAAAATCAGTTGGAGAGGCATTGAAAATAGTCGAAAAATTTGAAATAGCTGTAGGTACCAGGATAAATAAGGAAAAATCTCAAATATTGTTATGTGGAGATTGTCTTAAGATAAATGAAACACAGTTTCAAGGTATAGCATTAAAAAGGGATAGTTTATGTGTCCTTGGTGTCTGGATCGGCAACAATGACACGACGCAACAAAACTGGAATCCAATTATAGAAAAAATCAAAAGAGTAGTGAATATATGGAGAGCTCGAACTATGAGCATGCAAGGGAGAATACTGATTACTAAAAGTCTATTATTATCTAAATTGTGGTATCTTGCGGCTGTAATAACAATTCCAAATGAAATCATTAAAACAATTGAGACCCTAGTATGGGATTTTGTATGGAACAACAAACAACCCACGGTAGAGAGGAGAGTCTGCTGTGCAAGGAAAGTTGAAGGAGGTCTGAAGGCCATGGATCTGTGTAGTCAGATTAAAAGTCTACAAGTTAGATGGATTTGGAAATTATTAAAAAGTGATGAGGCTCCTTGGGCAAAGAGAGCGAAACAATTTATAAATAGATACCATCCTAAAATAACAGTGACAAATTTAGAAATACTACATCTCTCTTTGAAAATTTTAAGAAATAATAACATTCCTAAGTTTTATATAAATTCGGTCAACATATTCAAGGAACTTGATGTAAAAACGAAACAAATCACCACTAAACAACAAATATATGATCAATACATATGGTGGAATCCAGCCTTAACATGGTTGAATCAACCAGAATTTATAAATAATTGGATAAGAGGAAACATTTTAACATTTGGCCATCTGTTCCAATATGACTGTCTTGAAATAGCAATCAAAATTTGGGGCATAAACAAATGGAGTAGTATGCGTGAAAATAAAAAACTTGATTGTTATAGGAAAGTAGTAAAAGATTCTGTACAAATTTTAAAAGCCATACCATCAGGATGGGCTAATGTGTTGAATAGTCAAAGTAATGTTCAAACAGATTCCAGTTCAATATATTCATTTGAAAAACTTCCAACCACGAAATATATGTATAATCAAATTATAAGTAAAAAGATAATGGAAGTGACAAAACAAAAAGGTTTATCAATTAAGGAATATTATGGACTGGAATTTGATATTGATTGGAATAACATTTGGGTTCATGGAATATCTAAAATTGTACAAGTTTTATGTTGGAAAATAATTCATATGGCATTACCTACTGGAAATAGAACAAGGCATTGGACAGAATATGATGATGGTCACTGTGTGTTGTGCAATATTAATATCATTGAAGACTGTAAACATCTATTTTTTGAATGCTATTATGTTAAAATATTTTGGGATTGGTGCGAGTTGCATTTTAGTGAAAATAATATTGATACCATTATTGCACAAAATACATGTGACCTGTCAGTTATTATGATAGTTGCATGTGGAAAGGCAGCTATTTGGGAATTCAGGAATCAGATAATATTTGAAGATTTGGATAATTTCCAATCAGTTATGAGAATAATTTTTAAATGTAAAATTAGAGGGATGCTGAAAAATATGGCATCAAATATGAAAAATAGCTTTTTGGAGGATGGAAGAATTGAAAACTTGTTAGAAAAGTCGGTAATGTCATAGCTTTTGATAGTACATTTTTAAGATTGACTAGTATTGATAATATTGACTGTTTTTATAAAAAAAAAAAAAAAGTTAGGAAGTCTCTAACGTTAGATCAAAAAAAAAAAAAAAAAAGTTTTGGGAAGGTTAACTGCATTGCATTGCATAACATAGACAGATTAAATGAAAATCTAGTAGCATGATAGGTTTTTGAATTTTCTGTCTAATTTTTTGAAACCTTCTCTTTTTCCATGCTAAAATAAAATAATTAATTATATATGTACATAAAAATGCTATATTTATGACGAAATATGGACAATCTTCAATACAAACGGATATATGACGAAAAATGGATTATCATCACTGGGTTTGATATGTATTAATAATTGTTTATCCAACTGTTTTAATTTTCCTCAAGTACCGTAATTGGAACGCAATACATGCAATTGGTTTCCAAAAAACAAAAAAAAAATAAAATTATATAAAACAAAAACTGAAAATTTAATTGGCTTCAAAAACATAATTAAATAATTCCATATTGACTCTGGAATTGAATTTGGCAAAAAAAAAAATTTTTTAAAAAAAAAAAATAAAAAAAAAAAAAAAAAAAAAGACATTTCGTGGATTTTGCGTTATCAAAATCTCCCGGAAAAAACACGGAAAGATTGCGAAGTTATGTCCGATAACGGTTACGACGGTACAGTCGTTGTTAGAAGGTATGTGCTGAATTATTTTTTTTATATACGAAGTAATATAACCTTGTTATGAAGACAGAATGCAAATGTTTCCAAATTTTATTGCTGTTATTTATAGGTGACAAGACGCGTGTTTGTTCCGTTTGTGGTACCCTTGATTTATGACCATAAAGTTATATTTTATTTACTTTTCATGCTGTAGATCTATAGGAATATGATTGGCGATATTCAAATTTTTGTAAACCAGACATAACTTAAGTTTATGTCATATTTTAGTATTTGAAGTTAGGCACAATATCCAGATATGTTTTTTTCTGATTTCTATTGCGTGGCAAGGTTATATATACATGATTAGACATGGGTAGTAGAAGTAGCTATTAGCGATTACATAAACCACTATTTTGCAGTATTAATTTAAAAACAATGACTTCCAAGATTGGCTTTCATGAAATTTAAGTTTTTATGTCTAAATGAAAATAACTTCTTGACATATTTAGATCTGATCGTCGGGGTAATCGTAGATTAAATCATTTGGAGGACAGATTGTTAGAACAGGAAAGAGCAACTAAATCATTGATTGAAAAAGCATTTGAAGTAAGTTTTAACAATCGTTTCTTTTATAATTACTATTTGTTCGATTTGAATATATTTTCAATCTTCTTTTTGCTGTGCACTCTGTTATTAATAACATTGTTTTACTGCTTCTATCAATATGATATTTAACTCAAATTTGTCTTAATTGCGGACTGGAGGTTTTGATCTAATTAAAGCTTCCCAGCTTATCTATAATGTAAAAAGTCAGATGATCAATGTAAAGGGCAAATAGTGTCCTCCTGCACATGACAGAGCCTTGTTTGCAGTTTTTTAGGTTCAAAAAAAGTTAGGCTACTCGAAGCAAAGTGACACAAACTTACTCCGAAATTAAAGAGACTGATCTCCAAATGAAATTTTCGGACGACCACTAAATGTGAATAGCTACTTTGACTATACTAATACTTAGGCTATATAGTAAAATTTCTTTATTTTTTTCTCCTCAGTTCAAAGAAGCTTTATCCAGTGATATTCGACCATCAAGTATGGATGATGCATTGCAGCAATTATGGCACGAGCATATCAGAAGCGTAACAAGCTCTGTTAAAAAGTTGAGTCGAGATGTTGAAGAACTTAAATTTGAGGTAACTTTTTAACTCAGAGTTTATCGGCATAAAGCCCTAGCTTTCTGTCTCCGTGGGCTCGTATGGAGCGCTTCGATAACATATAATTTAGAGTTATACTATGATGAATCCCTGCTATCTAAATTTTTTATCTAACGATATTATATGACTTTTCTCTGAACAAGACTCTGCACAAGTCGCCACTGCTAGATAAGGAGATACCATAGTTTGGAAGCGCCGAAATCTTATCAGTTTGATACCGCCTACCTAATTCATCAAATCCAGGGTAAGGCGGTGGTTGTGGAATTCGAACCCAAGATTTCATTTAGTTATGCCATCGCCGTTAAGTCAAGTGCTTTACCCATGTATGTATGTATGTATGTTTATTCGTCTCATAAAAGCAATATAAAAGAGTAAGTACTTATAAATACTGAAGACGGGATGTATGCACAAGACCATATTGGCCTAAAACACAGATGTGCGGCATACACCCCTTTGATTTATATAAATTATAATAGGGTAAATCAAATATGTACAATATGGTCCTTTATACAGGCAGTTGTGCGAGGAGGGTGGGTGGATGCGGTAACAGGGATATGGGTGGAGTGTACAAAACTGTTTGTACAAAGGAGTTTGTTAGACAAAACAACATCTATAAATAGAGACACAACACAACATGAAACACAATGCATATGAATATAGTAAAAAAAAAATTTTTAAAAAAAAAAAAAAGAAATTAAGAATTTGGATGAATGTACAATACCATTGAGTGATGATACCACATACTATAAAACGCGGGAATGGTCAAGTTTAAAGGGTGTGTACATATATGGTATGCACCACTCAAGGGCGACAGTGTTATAAGTGGTCTATGGCTGTTCTGGCCAAAATGTGACCCTACAGGTTTTGGCGAAATATGATAAAAAGGTATGTATCACATGACTCACTATTATAAGGTTTTTTTGAAATTCTGGATTCAGCCAAAAACAATGAAGTTTAAAAAAAAAATAACAAAAATTAATGAAAAGCATTTCCACAAAACCTATTATGGTTGCATTTCAGCCAGAAGATTATAAAGGTACAGTGGGATAGGGAATGATAAGTTATAAAGAGAAGCCATTTTACCATGTCATGGATTTTCCAATGTAAATTAAAATAATAAAATTATATGGTATCCTGGGATGAGCAGAAGAAAAAGTGTGACTCGGTGATAGGTAGCAACAATGGAAATAAATTGAACAGCATGCTACTCAAACAAAAACCATTGTCCCTACTCCCTACTATTTGAGCATTCTATCTATAACCTAAATTGCTGTGCTTTTGTTGTTGTCTAATTACGCATGATAATGAAATTAGAATGGTGTGCTAGTTATTAATTCAGTCCATTGTTCTATATTGAATCCGGGTGAAGTATCCTGTGGAGTTATTGAAATTGTCAGCTGGTCTATGGTGACTGAAGAGGAGGACAGTTTCCTGATAGTTCATTCAATCCAAATAATCAACAGCTCGCCCTTTCAGTGTTGAACTGAAGGCACATTAATCAGCCCCCCATATCTGATTGTTTTTGAAATGATTGCATTGTCAGATTTCATCCAGAGATCGTGGAATAGTGGATGCTTCCTATCAAGCCAAGAATGTTGAACAATTTGCTCATGCTGGGGTTGCCGATCTGAGAGGTCGTGTGGCAAGGTACGATTACTATTGTTTATTCTATCAATTCCACTTCATTTTTGTCTCATCCAAAATTTAGTTGCTTTTAAAGCTAAAGCATTAATAATAAGTGTGTAGAAGCGTCGCTGTTGGCTAAATATCTGGAATGATATCGTACAGTATTCCCGTATTCTTTATGAACAGACGAACCTTTTCTAGTTTTCAAATTTGGTATTGGAGAAAATAAGGAAAAAATATGTAGAGGTTGAAAATTGATTATGAAAAATTACCACGTTTTTTGAGGGCAGGAAATAAGATGGGGACATAGACGAAGTAGATTTATTTATTTTTATGTGCTGTAGTTACATTGATAGCAACTATAAATTACCCATTGATTTCTATGATTAGACAAAAAATATTTTTAAATTGATTGCATGCTCCATGGCTACTCAGTTGATTTTTATTGTTTTTAAAGTTAGTAATAGATAATCTCTGGCTAAATTTGGAAATGATTCGGTGAATGTGTTGACCAGCTGCCATTTACATATTAAATGTATTCTCGTATAAATTGGTATTTCAATTGATTCTTGCATAAGTTTTTTTGGATATTTTCTCAATTTAGCATTTGGTCCATCTATATGAGTTTTGCTTTTAGAGTTACTTCAAGATAATTTTGTTAAACAAGAGTTTTTTATTTTAGATGTGATGCTCTGATTGCCAGACTTGCTCAAGATGTAAGGTCGGCAACATCAGCCAATGAACTAGATAAAAAACATGTTGATCAAAGCACAGACACAAATAAACATAAGATAGATCATCTTGAAAGAGAGGTTTGTAGCTTGTATATCTATAAAAGTATGCAAGAGTAGAACGCTTTTTTGATTTGTTTTACTATATTGACATTTTGGCAAAATTTTCTTGGTTGTGTTCAATTCAAACCTCCTATGCAATACTCACTTTCAACTTTTATATTTTTGTATGCAACGAGTTGTTATACCTTCCTGGGCTAATATTGATTTTAAATTAAGAAATTTATATTAGGTATTTGTTATTAATATTTATTGTTAGACAATCATGGTCCAGACATAAATGTGATAAGCATGTCCTACCTGAATGTGTGAATGCCAGATGGATGTTTCATGTCTTCAGTTCTGTACACCTTACGTCTTTCGCATTATCTTATATTGTTCATTATCTAGTACTGAGAAAAACAGGCTTTCCAATACGTTTGCCAAAATCCTTTCATTTAAATTTGGTAGTCTACTGCCATTTGACTTTGAAATTTTAGTCTTCGGTGGCTAATACTGCCTTCTTCCTCAATTTTGCTTCAGATTTCTGAATTGACCAGACGGCTTGATATTGTTATGACTCAGCAAGAAGGGAAAATAGAAGTTATAAAAGGAACAAGCTCTTCCCAACTTCAAGCTATGGATTCGAGAATGAGGGTGAGTTTGCACTCAAAATTTTTTTAAATTATTACCTGCAATGAAATCGATTGAACTTTTTAAAACATGTTCAAAATGATTAAATGTTCAGCGAGCGTTATTATGACAGATCTGAAGCCTCTTAAATGCAAAAGTTGAGCCATGATATGCTATAACTTTAATGACGGTTTCTACTTTCTATAAACCTTGTTTGTACAGTTTTAACCAAGCACTGTAAAATCATAACATTAGCCGAATGAATATACAATAAAGATCGTAATGTTTGACAACTTTCACTTTGACGAAAGAATATGTTAGCAAACGAGATATATTTTGATACAAAGCTTATTAATAAAACTCATACCCTGAATTAAGCAGCCAATGATATCCAAGGACAAAGGTGCTACTATTTTTGGAAGGACCTGAATTTTTAGGTTCAGCATTTACTACTCCATCCAATACAACCTGGGTGAAGCCATATTGCCAAGTGGGTAATAGGATAACAATTGAATTTACGATTTTTCTTTGCAGCAAGTCTTAGAAGACATCAGACTTTCCATAGATAGTAATCGGAAATGGTCTGAGAGTGAACGAACCAGGATTGAACATCAAATTTCACAAATTATGGAACTGAATGCATCTTTGGCTCAAAGCAAACAGGTGAATATATGTCATTGTTTTTAAAGGGCCAAAATATATAAGAGAGCTTTGATAGCTGTTCCGCAACTAATATATAGGAAGTTATATGTTATATGTATAAAATCTTTCCTGTCTGGCATGAAAGGAAGCTCCTGAATGTAAACTTTTCTCATGTGTTTCACTCTGAATAAAAGGCAAGACAAGCAGCCAATCTCTTTGATTTGGCTTTATTAATCCCGAGCCAAGGTTAGAACATCAAGATTATTAACCTTCATGTTACTGCAACATCATCACAGTTAGCTCCACCGGACTAACTGTTAGGCTGAACACAAAGCATAAATTTCCACATCCTAAAACTATTTATATCGGAGTTGATAATTCAAAATATCTTATTTATTATCATGTCAGGATGCAATGGAAACAAGATTGCTGGAAAAGATGGATTCCTTGCAAAGATCAGTTGAGGAATGCAAACTAGACATAAGTAAAGTCAGAGAAGAAATGACTACAACATTGGATAGCAGATCAAGAATTGGATCCATGTAAGTTCTCTCGTAGTTATTTTTATTTTAGAAGAGCTAGCGTATGTATCCTGTTTGTCAATAAAGACCAGGAAACCCTTTTTTTGTCCCTATGAACAGAATTGTTACATTTTCGGTTTTGTTGCACATGATACCACTTTAATTAAAAATTTTACATTTATTTAACACATAGCTACCCAAAGGCAATCTCATATTTTTAATTATGTGCCAGGGGGTCAAAGGTCGGGGAAACGTCCATTAAACCTTGTTGTTTCTGCTCATTTCTAAGATCAATTTTATGAAATGTTAAGTTGAATGGGTTTGTCTATCAAGAGTTGATATTCAAATACATACTTCAAGCTGTATAAAGAATTATAATACATAGAAACTATTCATTTCAGAAAAAAGAACTTATTTATCTATTTCATAGTAATCAACTATTTTCAGAATATGATTCTTATTTTAGGGTAAAAGACCTCGGTGACAGATTAGATCAAGATATCTCAAAACTAAAATCCGAATATCGAGAATCATTTGCATCAGTGAAAGAAAGTATCGATACAACAAACCGATTAATCAATGGGAAAATAAAGCTGGTGAAAGATGAAATGACCAGAGATATAAATAATATCAGAAAAATGGTTGTTCTGATTTAATATGATTAATAACTTCCTTGTGTATAAATGAGTACTCCCGTGATGTGTGTACCAGGTTAGGATTAGGGCATAATTTTATTCAGATTTTCCTCATTTTAATTCTATTCTGAGTTCGTGGACTGTCGGTGTTAGCCAAATGAATATACATCCTGCCCATAGGTTTCAGTCACTTTATACAATGTAAAGTAGGCGAACAAAATTAGTTACCTCCATATTGGTGCACACACTTCTGGAGCGCCCTTTTCGATATAGTGTAACCTTATATTGTCTTATGAAAACAACAGTGTCCAACCCAGCACAATATGATGACTGTACACGAACTTAGCACATTACACAGGTGAGTCACCGGCACCACAACCTATGACAATCTGATTCAATTACTACGAATTTTATTTTTTTCCACCTTTTACTTTAAATAGGGATCTTTACAACTGGCCACTTTTTTGTAAGGGCTGCTAGGACTTTGATTTTTTGGTCCAGCATTGTGATATGGTACTTGTATTAGATTTTTTTAACCTAAGATTAAGATTATATGATGAAGCAAATATCTGCACCAAATAAAGTCAAACTTTCACACTGTATATATATATTTTATTATATTTTTATACTGATTATGATAATGCAGTTTCTGCACTGATTTCATTCAATAAAATAATCTTGTTTTAAACGCTTTACTTATTATACAACTTTGTATCAGTTTGGGTTTCTTCCCTTAGTTGCTTCTGCCTATACCATTATGTCCATACTTACTCAGGTAATTTTCAAATCTTTGAGCACCAAATAGAGAACTATAGATGTGATCAGGCTTACTATACTGACAGAAAAATATTCGACTTGTAAAAATACTGTAGATCTTCAGATGTCCCTGTATATTAGCAAAGTAATATAGCGACTTGATTATGTGACTGTGTGATTGGACGTGGTGAACTGTGATGCTAGACCTATCTGTTAACGTTAATTCAATCTCTGTCAGACTTTATCCAACCCTTCAAACATCAACTATGCTTAGACAAATCCGGGGGGCTGACATGACTAGTGATTATTCACTATTCAAAGATGACGCTAGTCCCGATTCGGACAGTTGAATAGTAGAGTATAGAATATCAGGGAGTGTTTAGGACTAAAAATTGAACTTGGTTACACTTTTTTACAAGTGTCTAGCTGCAAATGCAAATCAGAGGCCAAAAGATGGCTCAAGACCCTGGAGTAGGTAAATGTTTCTAACATTTGGCACGTTCTGTTGAGCGGGGAGTAAAAGTCAATCAGACTCAAGGTCAGCAAATGAGCAGAGTCAAAAAAACTTCAACAATAAATATACTCGAAAATAAAGATGATTTTGACTGCAAAAACCGGGCTTTTTTAATAATTTTTATAATTATATTAGGAAAAATATTGCAAAGAGGTATAGCTGTTTTATTTCATGTATTTTGTCAATGCAAACAAAAGTTAAGGTCAGCTTTATCATCCGGGCTTACAAGAATGTCAATTAGCATGATAATACTGCCGACCGTTTCTAAACTTTATACAATTATATATATTTACACAAACAAGCGAAACCACACCACTGGAAATACTGAAATATGGCTCTGTTAATTCTGTAATTCCATTATTCTAACTATTATATTCAGATATTACGGTAATTCATCAAAAATATAATTTCTTTGTCTGATCCTTCCTAATCATGTATCTACCAAACTGACCTAATTAAAATGCTTTACACATTTACAAAACAACTCACTGTTTGGAGAATTTTATTCCGAATCGCCACTTGTTTTCGTAAAATTTAGAGCATCAGAAATTCAAAAAATCTACGCCTTTGCTTGCGCTTTCTTCTGCTTGGGTTTTGGAAGTGTTCCTTCACGAAAACCGTTATGAAAACGTCGGTTTACGTCTTTAAGATGACGGCATCGTCCAGTTCCAGGTGCGTGACGTCTCTTCGCCTTTTTCGACCAGTTGAACTGTCCAATCTTCGCAGATCGCTTTTTTTGGATATGATAGTTAGATCGGCCAGTTTTTCGACACAATGTATGCGTCTTATTATGGCGTTTTCCAAAACTGGAGGTACCTTTAGTCATCTTTTACGGCTAAGGTAAAAATTTTACCAAGAAAGCAACGCCGACGTTTTCAGAAAGGAAGATGCGGTCCACTGATCACAAACCACGTGAGAAAGAAATGTGGTTCCGTGCAAAATGCTTCGATAAAACGCAGAATATTTCTTTCACCATATCGTTACAAAATTCGGGTCCGCTTTATATACGTATTCGAGGCACGTTTTCAGTTGTGTAGGAATTCAATTTCTTGAAAAATAGCTCGACACAAATCGGAGACGGATTTTCTTTCATTTTTCGGAAGGTTAGTGATTTTGCATTAAAATTGGTTGTATATATTCTCCATTCTTGTCTATATCATATGTGTTTTACTGGTTTTGGATATAAATAAATGAATATCTTTTACCTGTTTATGTCTGTATGTGAAAGACTACTAAAAAAATCAAATTTATTTGGGCATGAAAAAGTATAAAAATGATGATAGATATAAAAATCATGCTTTATAAGACCGTTATTTATCATTCTTTTCATAATACAGAATTTGTTTCCATTGCTTTCAGTAAAATGTCTGTCAAAAACGCTTCTAAGAGAAAGTCTTTCAATGTAAAATTTTCAAACAAAAAGCCCAAACGATTCAGTCGTCTGGAAGATGATGAAATTTCCAGTGATTCTGAAGAAGAGAAAGAAGAAAATGAAAACTTGAAAGAAGATTCTGAATCAGATCTTGAGGAAACTGCTCAAGAGAAAAAAATTCGATTAACAAAGCAATACCTAGAAGTAAAAACAAAATATTCCATTTTTTCGTAGGTTCGAATTTGAAGCAACTCTCAGTAGGATCAGGATTTTCATATTTATCTTGAGGGGGGAGGCAATTAAACGTCTCAATCATAGCAACGGCCCCTCGCTTAGTTACTAGTCCCTGTTCTGCTGTTGGGTATGGGAATAGTTAGCCATTTCTCATTTGTTTTAGATACATGGATACTTGAAATTACCATCCCGTTTTTTAACACCAATAAGGTACCAAGTTACTGATTCCTTGCTAAGCATAATCCCATCCCATTATGAAAAAGCATTCATAAATAAAGGGATACAATATAATGTTACGTTCACAGGGGTGGACCATGGCCTGCATGCCTTATGTTGCACGTTCCTGATATAATGTTTCTGATAATCGACATTAAATCGTCTTTATTTCTTAGGAACTGAAAGAGCTTCAATCACAAGAAGATAATGAAGCAGCAGATGCTGTCGGAGACAAATTACAAGAAGATATTCTGGAAAAAGCTGGAAGACTACAAAAACAGGTTGCAGACAAATGTATCGTGCCAAAGGTTTCCGATATGGAAGTTTTACGAGGGCATAAGTTATCTGTGACATGCATCGCAGTATCGAGTGACGGAAAGTTTTTATTCTCTACCTCGAAAGATTGTTCCATTATTAAATGGGATGCCGTTGAGTTTAAAAAGATAAAAAAAGTCTCAGGGGGCCATCGAAGTGACCCTAAAATTACTCACACTGCCCATATTTTATGCCTTGCAATTTCAACTGATGGTGAATTTTTGGTTTCTGGTAGCATGGATAAAATGATACATGTGTGGAAGGCGGAAACAATGGAACACCTGCATCGTTTTCAAGGCCATCGAGGTGCCGTAAGCGGTGTTGCTTTTCGATTGAATTCACACCAACTTTTTTCAAGTTCGTTTGATCGCTGTGTTAAGGTCTGGGACCTTGATGCGATGGGTTATGTAGAGACGTTATTCGGACATCAGGACCTGGTCCAAGCATGTGACAGCCTGTCCAGGGAGAGATGTGCCACAGCTGGTGGACGGGATGGATCAATACGAATTTGGAAAATAGCTGAAGAATCGCAACTTGTCTATCACGGTCACAATGGATCCATAGACTGCCTAAAACTTATCAACGAAGAATATTTCATCTCTGGAGCGGATGATGGGTCAATTTGTCTATGGAGTGTAATGAAAAAGAAGCCGACTACTTGTGTAAAAAATGCACATCCGGATTCGAGTAGTAAAAGCCCTTGGATAACTGCCGTCACAGCTTTAATAAACTCTGATTTAGTGGCAACTGGCTCGTCTAACGGAGCAGTAAAAATCTGGAAATGCGGACCCAAATTTTTAACCATTGAACACCTTTTTGATATACCAGTTGTTGGATTTGTGAACAGTTTACAATTTTCACCGACTGGGAATAAGCTTTTTATAGGTGTGGGACAAGAACACAGACTGGGAAGATGGTGGCGTCTAAAAGAAGCAAGAAACTCTATCATAATTGTATCTTTATTTGAGGAAAAGGCATGAAATACATTAGCATTGCACACATTGTGGTGTTATTTATGTACAAGGTTTAGACTTCAAAAATCCCCAGCCAGATGCACGTTCGTTATAACGTTATAAACTATTTCAATAAATAGTTTACTAAACCTTATAATATAAGCCAGTCCATATATTATACGCAATATCTTCAGTCTAGTATAGAAAGCAGGGGACAGCTATTGAGGTGTTGGATCCCCCGCTTTTGAAATGCAAAAATAGCTATTTTTCGTAGCCACAATTAGACCCTCAAAGACTCTTGAATAGCCACGTTTTCCGGCCAGACCCGGTAAACAGAAATTTCTAAACGCCTCTGGCAGGGAATACTTGTCCTCGAGTCCAAAACTAGTTATTATTAAGAAGGCATCTCAGAAGAATAGCAAACAAATCTTATATTAACATCTGAATATAATTCTTGATTGACCCATAGAAGTCTATAACATACTTATAATTATAATAATCCCGCCGATCACATAAGACTTAAAGACTATATACTCAGTCATCACATATTTTAGCAAAGTAAAGGATACAAATCTGTTACTATTGGAACCTTGCACAGATCACAGCACTATTGGGGGCAGGTTTATTGGCAAGGATTTCTAATAAATATTGGCTTAAACTAGGCTTTATTAGAACCTTAAATGGAAGATCATCAATTTCACACCTACACTGTAGGTATTCTATACAGTGAACATCCTTTCCAAGGTTTATAATAGAAAGAAAATGGTTATAAGCTTTAATAATATGCCACACTTCATATCTTTTACATCAGTGTGAAAAACTATATACAAAAAATAATACAAGGAACCGTAAGGTTGTTTTTAAATAATAGGAGCGTCAATGGGCCTTATGCTTCAGTAATAAAAATTAGTCTCGAATTTCTAATTAAAAATAATGTCCCACTAATTACTATGTGCTACTATTTATAGAAAGGTGAAGTATAGTGAGTGATGCGCAGAATGATAAAGTCAGATCTTGATTGGGTATTTTAAGGTTTATCATCAGACAAAAATAAACTTTTGGGAAAGAGAATATGAATAAACATTCGGCATTATGACTGAAATTCACGAGCTATTTTTGAAATATTCTTCTTATTCAAAAACGTTTCCGGATGTATTTGATTTTGGCCATCCCTACTAGAAAAATCTCGCTAAAAACAAACTCAAGGAATATACAAATAAACTGAGACATGCATCCAGTGGATCAGAAAACCGCTATTCAATTCAACAAGCAATATGTTGAATTTCATCATTTTTTTACAAATTATTCATTAAAGCTCAGCCGCTTCTACTTTTTTTAGGAATCACATCTATGAAAAATACTACAATAATATATGGACAAAAATAGCAACATATTTTAAAGCCTATGAATGATTCAATTTCATTAACTGCTTGTTAGTAATGTGTGTCTTATTATCGACTCTTTCGACCTTATCACCAAGCCTTGTCAAAATCCTATCCTGTGATTCAATTTCTTCTCCTAAACCAATTCCAAGATCTTTGAGCCTTCGTAATCCCGAAGAAATTTGATCTGAAATAGAGATAACAAGGATATTTGGTGTTTACCAGTGTTAATAAGACTTGAGTCAGGTTGCATTCGTGTCACCATTTATCGTTAAAACTTATGAGTGACTTGAGTCATAAAATGAGACGACCACCCCGACTTATTAATTAATCAGATAATCCCTGATCTGACTTAACACGCCACTCAGGTTTAGGGAGCTGTAGTGTTGTTTAACAAAAATTTCTGATAGTAGCTTTGATAATAGGAATATTACTTTTTCACAGACTTTTTCCCAATAGTACTCAGTAAGTACTCAGACAAAGGTTAGCCTCAACCTCTATTACTAAGTTTTTTTGCTGTGTAATCATAATTTTCACGATATTTATACTCGCTACATCGTAATATTCAGTAATAATATGTCTCATTCTCCATACCCAAACTATATACCTGACATCAGTCATATGGAAGTCCTATCACTTCCTATTACTTTGATTATCATCGGGGCAGGGAAAGACGATAAGACTGCATAATCATATGGCGGACCTCGTCTGGGTATCAATCCAGGTATGGAGTTAGTTAAGCATTTATTTATTTCAGATGCATGGACTTGAGCAAACAAAATCATACTATATTCGAATCTTATTAACAGACATAAATAGGCAACAATAAATTCGAGACAAACCCAAGTTATCATCGACTTGTGCCATTCTCTCAGTCTTAGCTTGTTGTTGGCTATATCCTGCTCCATATCTTTCCCTGGAATCATCTTGTCTTGCCAATACTGGATGATCTTCTTCAGGTTGATATCCAGATACTTTGGAATTCACAACGGCCTTTCCTAACCTGGAAAAGAAGATTTAAATTTGAAAACCTAGTCAGGGAGATTTTGCTATGATAGCTGCTTTTCGTCCACAGATTTCTCCAACTATAGTAACAACATTTGTGTTCATTAGAAATATGATTTTATTAGAGAGAAGAGCTGGAGTCTAAATTATTTTTCTGGTGCCAGAGACAAATTTTTTGTCAAGCAGTCTTTTTCAAATGGCTCAAAGTTTGGAATGGAGTGTGAATATTTCCGATATCCTTTTACATTCAACATTATTTAAGAATAATTTAGGAATTATACATGGAAGTCTAATGGTTCATATATGGCTATGTTTGGCAAGAAAATAGGGTTTGACAGCAAAACAATTTTGTTTCACATGTCCTCATTTCACATCAATGACTCTCGGTCAGCTAAAATAGCCATGTGAAACAGCTTATTGTAAAGGTCACTTCGTACAATAACTTTACTCTGTTCCAAAAGGGGGAAATGAATCATATGATGATGTCTAAACTTTCTACACAGTGAAACATAGCATTCATGATCACAACACCAACTCATTATAGAAAATAACACCAACAATATGGTGACCATACATTTGAACCCACGTACATTTGAACCCATGTGTATATCCACGGGTTAGGGTTAGTGTGGGTTCAACTATCCGAAAAACAAAAAAAATTCCATAGGTGCAATAGCATACAGGTGCAATTGTCATGGGTTCAAATGTACGTGGGTTCAAATGTAATGGAACCCAACAATATATATAGGCCATATACGTAGGCCAAGCAAGAATAAGTTATGCTACAAGCACACACTACATCAAATTATAATTAACATTATATAACTATTGCAACTGAAACTATCAATATGATGATTGAATTATGATCATAATAAATAATTTCAGTAAATTAAACTAAGATTTCACTTCCTAATGAAGACTAATCCTAATCATAAATCTCTGTTAATAATAAATATGCTCAAAACCAATTACATTCTAGACTAACAGGAGTCCAATTAAATTATCTATTGAATTTACCTCGATAAAAACCAATTTGAAGCCATTTAAAAAAAATTCAGATATTTATAATTTGATACTTATGCATCAGAATTGCAAAGTAGGACAAATTATACGATGTATAAATAAATCAATTTTGAATATTCAAAAATGGTCATTAACATCCTTGAAATAGCATTGACTATGCCAATAAAAATATATGTCTCACTCAATCGCTAAAAAGAAAATTAAAAAGTGTCAGTTGTCAGTTGATCACGAATGATATTTCCAGCAGTATATACCATCACTCCTGCACCGCACAAAAACACTATGAAAACTGAACTGCTGTTCTTAGAATTTTATTAAAGAAAGAAATTTGAATATCAATGCCAATCTTTTAATAACATGTTATCGAGAGCGTTATATTTTAGTATCCTGTATCACACGAAAACACTTCTATGAAATCAATCTGTTTTACTTAGTCATATACCAAGGTGGGCCATATTTGACTAATACTAACCGTGAGTCTGGTTGTGAATCATCATATGTTGTGACTGGAGTTGGTGCAGGTTCCTTTCTGAACTTATTAACAAAAGCTCCCCATAAACTTTTTATACTGGCGATATGTCGATCGCTTTCTTTTAAATCTTGTTCCATTCGGTCAACCCGTTGTTCAGTGCGTTTTAAAGCTTCGCCTTGCCTTATGAGCTCCTGTAATATAAAGTTATATTAATAAGACATCTGGACATGGAAAATTGAATAATACTCCACTGTCAGGACTGAATGTTTAAGGATGTCCCTACTACTGGAAGTTGAAACTTTCCACTTGTGTACCTTATAGGCCACGTTTGCAATGATCCAAGTCTCAGGATCTGACTATTCCAAAGGTCTACCAATACAACAAAGCACCTGATCAATAAATATGGAGGACTATTCATTACAAACTAACATGATAAACAGTGCTTGGGAGACTTAGGACATTGACTAAACTTGAGTCCTCATTCATCGAATACTCGAAAGTGACCCAGAGTCGTACTCAAAATAATCGCCAGGCGAGTCTTAACTCAGTGATCGACTCGACATGAGACCATGACTCGGCTTGACTTTAGAGAATTAGGGAAACATGTAATAGGAAATTAGGTTGTACATTTATTTTAAATGTATATTTACCTCCCCAGTGGCTGCTCCCACTTGCTCTGATTCATAAATCATTCCTAATGATCTTTGGGTGCTTGCAACCATATCAACTTCTTTACGTTTGACAACTTGTTCAAGATAGTTTTTATCTGGATCAAAATCTTCTTCGTCATCATCTGCCCATCGATTTGGCGGACGTGACGACGGCTCCACGTCATCCAACCATGGATTTCCAGACATTTTGCAAAATTTTCGTAAAATAAAATTAGTAGACCTAGTATAGCAGTTTTCCAGAAATATAGTCTTGTTTTGTGATACAGTTAGCTTACAAATACGTTCGTCAAAATATATAATATTACCCTACCTTACTAAAGTCAGAAATTTATCTGTAAATGAAGACAAAGAATAGTAGTCCCGTAATTCTGTAATTTAGCAATTTTATCAAAAATCTGAAAATGGGCTGAAGTGATTTTTTTATAGGACCAATGTTTCTTTTGAAAGGAATCTTTGAAATACTGTAATAAGCCAGGTCAGTTGTATAGAGTTGTATAACAGTATAATGTCCGAATACAGGTATAGGTATGTATATGAATTAATTTCATATTTCTGTATTTTTGGGTGAGTGAACATATCATTCCTCTCACCTCTTTATGTTTTTATCAATCATTTTATTGTCTGTTATGACTGTATGATGATTACAGAGTCGAAATAAAGTTATACTCATTATTATAACAATAAGTTTACTTTCATCCCACTAGAAAAATGTACACATACACCAAAATATAACCACGAACACACAAAAGATAGGAAAAACTGGCAAGAATCTGAGTAAAAAATATTTAAATGACACATTCAGTCTCAGCCATTGCAAAAACAGAAATACCTAAAACACACTGGTTCCAGCCAAAGTGACTACAGCCGTACTCACTTTGGTTCCAGCACAACTCTGCAACTTGCATCAAACCTGTCCGATCCTTAGCAGATAAGCAGTTTGCTTAAAGCTAGATAATGCCCCACAACAACACAGAGTCATACCGGTACAGTACCATATAAACTTACCTACAGTCTACAGCTTATACCAAATTGAACTGCGGAAGGTTCGTATGTTTATACAGAACACTGGAATAAGGTAGACCCCCTTGCAGTATTTTGAGAAACAAAGGCCCGTTCGTGTGATCTGAACGAAACCGAACGCCAATTAATATATTCCAATTCTTACAGCGCGTGACTACGGTATTTTAATAGTTATAAATGGAATAAAAATCTACTATTAGTTTCCAGTTATTTGAGTAAGTAGCAATTCAAATAAAAATACTTCGTTACCGAGTAAAATCTGGCAAGTCTATATAAAACAAATGAATCATCACAACATGACGCTGACATGACAAGTCCGATTCAGAAATCGAATCCAGTTAAAGAAACTGCTATTTTATATCTAGGGTAATGAGAACTACTAAGCCATGAACATATTAATCGTGTCAATACTAACTAATGACGATTGGTAAATCCCCACCGACTGAACAACACTGGCAAACTTCCCGGCCATTCATATTTAATCACGTGATGTCTGGCCAGGGAGCTCTGGAAAGATATTTCCGCTATTTCGATGCAACGTCTTTATTTTTACGCCACAAATTGGTTGAAACAATCTCGATTTCGACTGGGTACAGATACTATTGGCCTCCATCACCACTGACGTTGCTGTTTTAATAAATACAGTCGGTGCTTCCTATACTACCAAAAAACAAATACGCAATGAATTGACGTTTGAGAAAGATCGAAAACATCCGTTTTTATTGCATACACTTCAAAGAAAAAATATTAGATTAACCACTTGTCGGTTAATGCGGCCCTGTGAATCCAGGTTTACCGCAATTACGTCATTTGTGATCAATGTACAAAAACATACAATGATGGAATAATGGACAAAAAGTGTCAAATGCCATTAGGATTTAAGAAGTACCACCAGGCAAATTTTGGATTAGATTTTTTATTTTATATTGTAGAAGAGGGAAGATGATAAACCATAATAGGAAATACCATGGCTCACCTAGAGCATATATTTGGACAGTGGCGAGATCAAAAACAGACTTTAATTTTGTGCATGAATATACCCCACTTCGATTAAATTCATGACACATTAAAAGAAATCGGCAATGCAATGGCAAGCATTTTCCTGAATATTTGAACTGTGAGCCAGCCATACGTCAAAACATGGTGGTCCCTCATTATTGTTGGCTGGCCCGCGCAAATTTTCCTAGGCATGTTTTTCCCACTGTACAAAACTTTTCATTCAAAAGTCCCTTTTAGCCATAATGCCATCACTGTAAAACAACAACCTGCACGAAAAGTTTCATTCTTTTCGCGCAAGTTATCCTCAGCAACCAGTTACTGTTGGATCAAGACCTGATCTTTTCGTAATATGAATTTTAACAAGTTCCTCTGCACAGGTTGGATGGATTCCCACTACACTTGATAGATGCTGATAAGTAGCCCCACATCTATAAAATATCAATAATAATTAGGAAGGTTTTTTATTCCTCATCTGAAAAGAGCGAGATACTGAAGTCGCAAGCCCTGGATTATTTTTTGGGGGAGAGGAGTAATATGCCACCTATCGCTTTGAACGAGGAACAGGTAAAAGCAGCCACTAATAATGACATCTTAACTAAGCTCTCCACAGACTTCGATGTCTAAATTATAAAAGCGTGAAATTTCATCAATCTCAGTTATTTCATTTGGAGGAATTTTTTTTAGTTAGGCAATTATTTCTTTTCATTAATGCTAGATAGTATGTCTTTTGCCCAGGTACTACAAAACACCAGTACACATGAACAAGATGTCTGTCTCACCTCATTGCAACAGCAAATCCCTGCATAACTTCACCAGCATTGGGACCAATTAAATGGATTCCTAAGATTTTCTGTTCATTATATCGCTCTGTTATTACTTTGATATAACATTGTGAACTATCTCTTTCAGGAATTGTATATTCCAATGGTTTGTAAAAAGCATGATAAATCTAAACAAAGGAATCAAAAGTTTATACACCATGTATTTGCAAGAATTTGTTGGTTTGACAAGTTATATGGTTTTGAACCTCATACCTAACCCAAAGTGTAGTGAAATAGGGACGCAGTGCAAAACAGGGCGACTTAGGTTCTCCTATTCGCTGCTCATCGAGTGCCTAATCCGAAGCGAAGGGCAGAAAATACCTTGTTCAAAAAGACATTTCTTTTTTCTACACTAAAGTCAGTATGTATTTCAGGATGTCAAATGAATTAAGTGTAGATAAACCAGAATATACACAAGCAATCAGAATTCAAACATTCAGAATTACAAACCAAGGAATACCAAGAAAAAGTGCTTCAAAAATCAACAAAGAAGATGCCCACCTCTAAATTTTCTTCACCATATTGTGCAATTGCATTTTCTTCGCTGAGACCCACAGTGCTATATTCTAATGGAGTAAATACTGTAGTAGGTATGACATGATAATGCATCAGCTCTTTCGAATTTAAAAATAGTCTTCTTGCTAATAGCTTGCCAGATTTAATCGCAACTGGTGTTAACTCCGGCCGATTCTGAAAAGAGATTGAATTGAACTTAATGGGATAAAGTTGCGCAATTGCTAGACTTTTAATTATGTAAAGAGTTAAAAATGTTGAATTCATGGACACAAACTGTGAGAACCAACTTAAATTTGATATTTTTTGAGTTTAGTAGGAAGTTCTGAATTTGAATATCACAATGAAAAGTTCGGCTCGGAATTTGAAATTTCGACCCGAACTCCATAACAACTCAAGTTGAAATGAAAACAATCTAAACCTTGACCGAATGAAAACGATATACACCCCATATTACCTCAGCTACATCACCAATTGCATAAACTCCCGAAGCTGTTGTTTTTTCTTCCTTATTTACAATAACTTTTCCCATATTGTCCGTTTCAATACCTGCACTTGATAGATTCAGTTCACTGGTAAGTGGATCTCTGCCTGAAAATTAAAAAGATTAGATAGAAATTTGTCCTTATTCAGGTGAGAGGAATGGGTGCTCCAGAAGTAAGCACACCAAAATGTCGCACAACCTGAATCCTAATCATTACACACATACTATGTTCAGGTTGTGCGCCAACTTGGCTAGCATACTTCTGGAGGTCCGAGGAATGTGCAATAGCATGACATAGTTACATAGCAAAACAGTCCTCTTGGCTACCAGTCATATCAGGATAAAGAGATTTTACCAGTTATTCGTTTCTGCTGCTTACACTTGACTTGATAACTGAGTATAATTTAGAAAACTAATATATTTTCGAAAGCTAAAATTATTATGATATGCATGCAATTGTTTTGTTACTGTAACAATCCAAACAGTAGTTTATGTTGTCAAGTATAAAACATACACATTCTAATCATACTAAAAAATGGCGCTCCAGAAGTGTGTGTACCAATATGGAGGTACCGTAACTAATTTTGTTCGCCTATTTTACATCAAGTTGTGTAAAGGGACTGAAACCTATGAGCTTGTGGTATATTCATTTGGCTAACACAGACAGTCCCTGAACTCGTATTAGAACTAATATAAGAAAAATATGAATAAAAGTATGGCCTCACTTTAACCTGGTACACATACTACGGGAATACCAAAAAAACTTACCAGTTGCTAATAACACAGTGTCAAAATTATTTGTAATCGTCTTTGTTCCATCTACAGATTGAAGTTCTACTTTCAAAGTATTATCAGTTAATTTTTCGACATGAGTTGGAATCATGCCATATTGAATATTCATACCACAGTCTGTCATGTTGTCTGTAACCAACTTTGCCATTTGCTAAAAATGAAAAGGTTATATAGAAACACAGATAGGTTTTATGAAGAAGTCTTCAATAATACCTTAGACATACAGAATGGAGGAATGGAACTAACAGAAGATGTCCATGGACTAAGGAAGAAATTGGCAGTGCCATTGACTCAACTTGATTCAACCTTTTTTAAACACTCTATGTGACCTGAGTCTTTTCAGTGGAAGCTTCGACTCGTCTAAGTTCCATAAAGACTTGGGCAACGACTCGACAATCTGAAGTGTAGTGACCCGACTTGAATTTTGATGGGATTTTGACTTAATTAGAGTTGCCTGTGACTAAGTTGTCTAAGAGTTCAGTAACTAGACACTCTGCTACCAGCTGGGTTACAATGTTTGAAAGCTAGCAAGTCAAACCAAAGACTGCGAATTCAACAGTGTGGTCATTGGTAAAAAACATAACTTGTTCTCTGCTTTATATGTAAGATACAGTATTCAACATATATGCATCGGTTGCCAAATTGCTGTTTCACAAAATATATACCCTGGGGGAAAAATATCACCTGATCAAAACCTCTCAATGGAATAGATCTGATTAATGATGTTGTATCAAATCCAAGTCCATGAAGAAATCCAGCACATTCCAGTCCAACATCTAAGACATTCACTGTTGAGGATCACATTAAAATCCAACAAGAATAACACTAGCGAGTAACGGTAATAGAAAAGTGGGTTCAACCCCACATATACATTGAAACTTTGATCTGTACAAATTTTTTGGTAGTACAACCGATTTTGATTACATTCAATACTTTCCACATACCAAGTTTAAACAAATGTTCAGAATCTGAATGTATTCAAAAATAATAAAAAACTTTTTTGTTCTTTTATGATATATAATCAGTTCATAAAAAATTTCATTCTGAAAAGAAGTTATCTTTAACGACATTTGGATTTCAATAAAAAAGATACAGCTTCCACCTACCACCAATCTGAAAACAGGAAAAAATTTTACAGGATGTTTTTATGAAGGCACATTAGGTAAGTAAGGCTTGATGAATGATTTATTCATGATAAGTGTAAGAGACACACTTAGGCTATGAATTGCATATTTATCACGAGGAAAATGAGAGCCGGTAAGACAATCATATGGCGAATCAAAGGCCTTGGTCTCCCGTCCGGTTATCAGTCCATGTCGTGTATGGGATGAGTTATTAGTTAGCCAGTTATTTGTTTTCGAAAGCAGGGACCTGATGGTGGAGGAAGCCGTAATAGCCCAGCTGTTACATGAACCCCCCTACGGCGGCGAGTGATCCTAACTATCCCTGCATGGGATTTGAACCTGCAAACAGACGCGATCAGAGGTGCAGTGTCGAGCGTATTTCTAACACTTAGCACGATGCGCCACATCTCAGAGGCACCTACAATAACACTACTTATTACCCAACTTTCAAAGTATGAAAGGATTGTTAGCCAAATTACAACCACAGAGAAGTTTACATTATCTCTTGCAGATTAGAGTTTAATTCAGCACCCAGGGGTAAGTTAAAGATTGCTGAGCTCCTGGTCAGTTACGACTTCTTCCACTGTTCGTGCATACCATGAATTGGATTGGTAATTACCAAATGAAAAGCTGTGATTTACCATATGATCAGGACGTCACATCAATTATAATAAATCAAATCTTAAATTGAACCTACGTTTTTCCAGGAGGTTTTTTCTTCCAAAACAAATCATCACTAGTGATACAGTGTTCCCTTGCACCTGGAAACTAAACAAATACCTAGTTGAATATCAAGATTTTTCATATATACAAAGTAGCATTATCACAAGCATAGCTGACCATTTCAATAATAAAGGTAGGGCTGTAGAGTGGTGGAAACTCATGCCTGAGCCATATAGAACCCTAACTGTTTCCTAGTTGATTGGTTGGCCGAGCAGTCTTGATTGTATATTATGCCGAGCATAGCACTGTACATAAATGCTAATTCACTAATTCGTAATTAAAAAGCAGATTTCACTGATTCTCACATTAGGATATCTTGGTCTTCCACCGACAGCAATGACAATATTATCACTTTGTAAATAGATCTTGTCTCCATTTTTCTTCGTACCTCTCACAGTGTTTGCGTCAACAAAGCTTCCATATGCATTGTAGTATTTCACTTTTCTGACAAAAATATAGGAAAGGATTTACATATTTATTCCGAGGGAGAAGAAAACCGAAAAAACAGCTTAATCATATGGCACACAGACTCTGGTCGGGTTACCAGTCAATGTCGGGTATGGGATTAGTTAGCCAATTATTTTTGTTTTCGGATTCATTCTTGACAATACTCTGCTACATGATCTGAAGCTAAAATGTCCAAAATAAAAGAAGATGTTAAAAATGTGGTCATTTGAAACGATTTGGATTTTAATGCGTTTGTATTTCTGTCCATGACTTTTCATAAAGCACATAAAATGGTCTCCATTACTAAAAAAGCAGTAGGCAAGTTGCGTTTTCTCAATAGTCAAGCAACTCTGAGATTATTACCTTTCATTTAATTGTACTTTATGTCCCCAATTTAATGATCTGACATGCATCTGCACCGCATGGCTCAGCTCTTCCCTGAAAAAATTATTGAGATTAGAATTTGCTTATTGCATTGCATGTCTATTTAAAAATATTAAATTCATTCTTTTTCATTTTCAAATAGCAAATGACTGGATAAAAACTTCCTGTCACATACTTAAATATATAAGATCGGATTTACAGGTTCCACACATTTATCCCGGAGAAAGAAAAACCAATAGGACTGCTTGATCATATGGCCACAGCCTCATGTCCGGTTACGAGTCCATGTCTGGTATGGAATTACGATAGTTATTCAAACCTGCGAACCTGGGTGCGGTGGCGAGCGTACTAATAACACTTAGCTTAGTTTTTATTAGCATGATCACAAGATTCAAATCTTGGTCAAAACAATCGCCCAATGTGCAATTATACCAAATCATGCAATTTCTGAATCATTCATAAATACATGCCGAATGGTTGGCACAACCACTCACACAAATATTATAAAATTTAATTAAAGAAAGGATGAAATCAAAGTAAAACATCGAAAAAAGAGTGAAGGTGACAATTCTAATTTACAATGTTTTTTGACTTTTAAATCCTATAACCAATATTCATACCAATTATTTGTTATATCTCCTGGAATATTCCAACCAAACTTTCTTGCGTCATGTATTGAATGACCTAGTAATGCAGCTTGATGCATCAATTTTTTCGGTATGCAACCGACATTCACACATGTGCCTCCAATGTCCCATTTTGTGCCTGAGATAGAAACAAAAAGTATTTAAATGGCCAGCTCTAAGACAGTCACAAACAAGCTTGGGATAACACTACACCTGGTTTAAATGTGAATGATAATAAATTATAAGGAATTATTTATCTATTGAATGTTAATATTCTATCCAATTCAAGAGTCCTGCTGCACACTGACACAAATGTGATTCTGTAACGTTTCGTCTGACCAGAGTCAAGACTTCCTCAGACAAGCAGTTAAAACAATGGCCAGAAATGAACAATCATACAGTTTAAATAAAGCCATTGCAATCTAAACAAATAATTTAGTTGAGTTATAGCACTTTTCTATTGAAACACAATTACTATGCCATGGAGGATAGATGACGATCAATAGATGCATATAAATGTCTTGTCTGGAGATTCCATGACTGACCATCTATATTGCAATAACAGCTTGAAAAACACAGAATACCAATTTGATACACAAATGTTACGTTACCAATTGGTGTGGGCTTTACAAAATCCAAAACAGCAACAGTTTTTCCAAGATCAGCCGCCTCTTTTCCACAAGCCAATCCACCTGATCCACCACCGATGACTATCAAGTCATATTGTTCTTTTTGTGCACCTACAAAAGATTTATGCAACATATGTTGATGACACAGCAATATAATTACAATTTATATGCTATTAATCAATTTTATTTTTAATCATTCTTACATAAAACAAAACAACAATAAACGAACAAATAAAATGCAGAGGATCTTGAGGACGAGCATGCAAAATAATAATTATTGTTCATTTATTTATGTATCACTATTACGAGACGAATAAACATACATACATAAAAAACAATAAAATCTACAGGAAACTGCGCATGTTGAAAGGATGCATGAGTCGAATTCATGTTCAGTAAAATAAAATGATTTCTTTAAAATGTATGTATGTATGTTTATTTATCTCAAAATGTAACAGTATCTGTATAATGAGTAAACAGTGTAAAAGTGGACATGTTATCAATATCAAGGTACATGTATGAATTTCGGCAATGTATAAAATGTGCAACAAATTTACTTAAGAATTGTATCTATGCAGAGGTGTTTGAATATGAATATATCAGTGCATACTTAGTTCATTATTAGGCCATCCTATCCTCTATGAATTTAAGAATTATATTCAATTCCCATCATACTGCAGACGGGAACATGGAATCACAAGATTAGGAATAATTACAAGATTCCAACAAATTTGCAATAAAATATTGCAATTCCTTAATTCTGTGTCATAAACCAATGTTGATATAGGCTGTTAACTAAAACATAATATTAAAGCTTACCCGAAGAAAACTTTCGCAAATGTCTCCACAGAAGTCTCCGGTAAGTCGGACAAAACCCCTCCAATCCTCGTAAAGTCAGCATCATAAACCCGTTTGTTGGCTGAGACAGAATTAAAAAATCCGCGAGATGGTACAACTGCGCATTCCTGCTATTTCAGTATTTTTCAATTCTTCAGATTGTTTGCGATTTGCTTTGTTTTCGTTTGTATTTGGAAAAAAGAATTTTCACGGAGTGGGAGTGGGCTAAACTGTTTTACAATTGGTAAAACGTTCAGGGAATCAAAAATACTGAAATCAAAATTAGCGCGTCATTGACCGCGACGTCACTCAAAACACTTCGCTTTGGTTTTCCGTTTGCCTTGTTGTTAAGCTTTTTACTAAATGGTAATTATGACGGATTATCATATTTTGTAGAGGACCAAATTTTCAATTTGGGCTCAATCAAGTTAACGATAATTTTTAGTTACCTTGTTAGTCATTAATTGAAGAATTAGGCATTACGTCTAAGAATTTAAGCTCGTTATACTTATAGCCTACAATCCAAGTGCTGTGCATTTTGACATGTTCAATTAAGTGGAATTCTCCGTTTAATACTGAATTTTAATGTGATCAATAGATTAAATGTATGGTTCCATTAATATTCATCAGATAATTAGCGGTATTATCCATTTAAATGCCTGACTGGGATACTGAAATGCATTTTGTGAACCTCGATCAAATTTTATCTTCGATAATGAAATGAGATGATTCATTACGGTACTGGTGCGCAATAGAAGATATAATGGTGATGCAGTATATTATATAAGTGTATCGCAACTTTCAGACCAGACAATTTGCTAGTTTCTACATCTGTAAATGGTAGACCTGGTACCACTTTCCTTTTAAATGCTGTAGATATGAGAGAAAATATAGCTATATAGTAAAAATAGTCAGATAGTAAGTTTATCAACTGTCATGTACAGTTTATCAACTGTATTAGCATGATAAAAGGGTATTAAGAAATTTCAGACCAGGGAATTCCAGAATAATTTAAATTGGATATATTTGATGATATTGTAAATCATTACAGTGTTAACCTTCCAAAGTGAATATTTTTGAACATAAATTGGCTTGTGCCGAGTTCCTTGTTTATCTTTACCAAAATTAGAACATACCGTATTTCATTGTCCGTTATTCAGTAATTGAAAATATTGTTCAAAATACAAGATCACTTAATTCTGGCCATCCATAGTTTTGAATTTTCTGTTTTTTTATCATAAAACCTAATAATTTTGTTTCAAACTAATCATTCTCGCATAAATCAATAGGGCCCAGTTCTCTCATTCCAAAATGTCTCGACTCCAATAAAACAAACACCTCAAAAGAGGCATCTGGCATGTTGGCAGATGCGCCATGCTTGCTAATCTGCAAAAACTCTTGGAGGCTTCGCTTAATTTTTTTTCTTAGGTAAATCAAATTATTTTTCCCCCAAGGAATCCAATTGACGTTTTTAGATTGTGCTTTCGTTTAGTTCATTGCGTAGTGCCAGTTTGCCGATATGGAGGGATAGATTGTCTCGTAAAGGAGTGGTTTGCACTCACTGCTATAATTGATGTCTTTCAATGTGGGTCTATCCCAGATTCAGAGAACTGTGTCATACTGTAAATCAATATCAGGGCAATTAGAGGCTGATATTATAGGAGCCTTCTTTTGAGTGAAGGTGTGAAACATAATTAAATGGTAATAAAGCATACAAGGTACTGAATATTTCTGCCTTGGCGATGTCTATTTCAAGGGTTGTCCAATGCTCTGAATTCATACTTGTCTTTCTGATGTTTTGATTGTATTAAATTAAGATTGATATTTTCATTTTTCTTTTTGGATATTATCGATATAGTATTTTTCTAAAAAAAAGGCAATGTCTGCCGCTACTGATGCCAATAACAGGCAGGATGCTTGGGACAATGAACAGAATAAAGAATATCAAAAACAAATTGAAACTTACATTGCTTGGGTTAACAGCCAGCTTAAAAAGAGAGCAGGGAATAAGCCTGTAACGAATTTAAAAACTGATTTCCGTGATGGAGTCGTTTTAGTTACACTAGTTGAAATTATTTCCGGAGAAAAATTGGATGGAGTTTATATTCCTGCGAAAAATCTTGAAGAAAAAAGACGAAATATTAATTCAGTATTAAAGTTTTTGACGAAGAAAAGTATCCGAATGCATCACATTACTGAGAAAGATGTAATTGATGGTAATGTCAAAAGTCTGATGAAATTAATTCTGACCTTGGCCGCACACTTTAAACCTGCTAGTGTCGGAAAAAAGAAAACGGTTAATGCAGCTGCAGCAGCAAATGCCAAAGTTGCACTGAGTGATATTCACAAAAATGTAAGCTCATCTGGAGGTTTCCGCCCTCGTTGGAAGAGCAGCACTCCTACCTCAGACTATAGAAGGAACAATAATAGCAGTTCCAGTTCATCCAGAACCGCATCAAACCGGTCAGATCTGCCAAAAACTGGTTCAGACGAGACAGATTCATTTTCATTGAATAAATTATCTTCTTCTGATGACGTTTGGGCATCGCCAAGTTTACCTCAGCGGTCCAGAAGTAGAGTTGGCAATGATTGCTTTGCGACAACAACGGTGCAGAATCTCTCTTCTATAAATAGTGAAGTTATACTGACATCTGGTGGAAGCAGGGATGCATCGAATGTTTCTGAGCAATTGACGGAACATTATAATGATTTAGAAAGTGATTTATCGAGCACTCGTGATTTAATATCAGTGTTACAAAATTTACTTTTAAATGGAGAGGAACCAGGCGATGGCGATAATGAGCAGAGTCTTCCTTTAGAAGCTTCTTCCCAAGACGAAGAAAACGTAATTCTAAGAAGTCGACTTGATTTGAGTCAACACGAAAATAATCGATTGAAAACCGAACTTACCGATGTACGACAAGAATGCAGGAGTACATCAGCAAACATATCAGCGCTGCGTAGTCGTACGCAACAACAAGAAAAAGAGCTCTTGTCAATGAAACAACAAATTTTGAAATTAAATTTGGCGAGTGATAATTTGAAACAAGAAAAAGATTATTTAGCAGCTCAAATAGAGGAAAATAAACGGGCAAAACAATCTCTATCAGATGAAGTGTCGGAAAAAAATATTACCATTAAGCATTTAAAAGATGAACTAACTTCAATGTCTACACAACTCAAAAAAATTGGAGACGAAAGTAAGAGTAAATTAACCTCTATGCAAAGGTTGGAATCACAAGTACAAGAGTTAAGTCAACAATTACGGGTTTTACAGCGTTATAAACAATCAAGTAAACCAGAACGAAATGGTAATGAAACGACTGTCATTTCAGAGTCTCTAAACAGCCTTCGTTCGAATTTAGCACCTCATGATTCACGACAACACATTATTGACACGCTTGAACAAGCAGTGATGTCATTAACGGAACGAGACCAGCGTAACAACAACCAGAATTATGGTCGTAAAAGTGAACTATCAGTGCCACGTTTATCTGCGAGTCATTCACCTAGAAATCGTAAAAAAGACATGGCGCAAAAAACTGCGTCAACGACGGTTATTTACTTCACAGAGAGAAACATGACGCCAGCCAGAGCTTCAATTTTTAAAAAAATTGGCGAAATAACTTTGCGAGATTTTAAAAGTGTAATTCAAGTACCTGCCGATAATTATAAATTCAATTTTAAAGCACTTGACCCAGAATTTGGGACAGTAAAAAAGGAAATTTTCAATGACAATGACATTGTCCCTGGTTGGGAGGGTAAAATTGTAGCATGGTTAGAAAGAGAATAGACGCTAGAACTCAGATTCACACAATTTTTATTCTTTCTGACCTTAGCCCAGTGTCTATTAAAGTATCCCAATTCAAAAACTGTATTTTAAAGTTACATTTTCCCAAATTAAATTTTTGTTGTATTATTTAGAGCCTATAATTCCGTTATTTATAGAAAAGCTATTTTCTGCAATAGTAGTCTCATTTGCTAGGTTAATGTATTAATTAGTCTTTATATAAATATCATTATACTGTAGGAGTCATTTGCTAGTCTTCATTAAACTGATCGTATATATATATGTATTCATATGATAAAACCAAAAATTGCTCAATATTGTTATGAAATAAGTACTAAATAACATATTGTTTAATAAGTGGAAAATGACAATAAATGCATTCAAATTAGATCATTTGAAAATACCGTTTTGTGAAATTAACTCATCATGTAGTGGAATCTTTAATTCAATTCATATAATTTGGGTTATATCATGACTTCAATGAAAAAAATGGCTTATTAGGAATAACCATTCTGTTATAGACATTCATATATTACTGGTTACTGTTATGACAATTTATATCATTCTTTATTGGTGCTGATGACAAAGTATTTTATTTTAAGTGTTTAAGTGTAATTTCATAGTTCCAAAGACATCGCCTACCTACAATATATACGGTATTTCAATGCATTGCCGCAGTATTATTAAATAAGCTTCTGTCACATTTTAAGGTTTTGTGAAAATCACACTTTTCTAATTTTCATATCTTTATAGCAGGGGTTCTTAACTAGGGGCCGCAGAGCAGTTGGAGGGGGGCCACAATGCTAGGGTCTTGAGGGCTAAGGGGCCACGAGCCATAAGCGGTTGGGAACCACTGCGTTCATAGCAAAATCTAAAATTGACATAAGGCACTAGAATGAATACAGCTTTGAAACTTATGCCGAAGGGGAGACCCTGGTCCATACTAACAGAAGATTAAAAAAGTCTGTTTCTGAAATGTGACATGAGCTACTATAATTTTACTGTGGTTACACAATATCAATTTTGTCTACACATTTTTACTTCGAGGGTATAATTATCTGCATACCTCTTTTGTATGAGCTCCAATTTCTGTTCTTACAGCATTTCCGTATGATGTAGTATAAGTAAATAGTTCCATTTAGGTACTGTAGTTCGTTTATCTTAAAAAATTTCTTCAGTATTTTGAAAATTTTAGCATAGTTGCCTTTTTGTATAAACTTTTTGCGAAGGTGTTATAGTTACCTAAATAATTGGTGTTGTGTAATTAGTATTGTGTACCTAAGTTGTTAAAATGACTTCATAAACTGTTTCATATATGCTGTTTAAAATGAGTCTCAGTAAGCATTTGAAAGGACCAGAATCATCTAGTTTTTTATATAAGGGGTTGGGCTTGGGGGTTCATGTTTTCCTACTTTCATAGTTGCCGGTATTGCAAAATATTCTGGAATCAGAATGAAAAGTAACTTTCGTACCAAAATATTATTTTTTGTATGTACATTTGGTTTATGTAATCCATGGCATTTCATGAATACATGACATTACTGTGTTTAAAAAATGAACCTATGACAGCTAGGTTTTTTGATTAACTTTTTATAGTGTTTGCAACTTCATTCATAATAAAGTTAATAAGGTTACTTAAAATACAGGGGTACTCATGCGGGAGTAAATTTAACTGCTTTGGGGGTTATTTTCATCAAGGGTAATTACTCATCCTATTGCATAGTGTTAATTTTATCCATATACTACAAGTTGTGGAAGTACATAACACCTAAATATTTCAGAGCATAATTGACCTAATTGAAATGTATACAATATTATCAGATTTGAATTGTATTGTTATATTGTAATGGTTATTCATATAAGTTTATTTAATAAACCACGCACTGTCCGTTCTATTAAATATTTAATGCATGATTTAATATTTATTAAATCCATTATTTAATTAACTCCTGTGTGAGATTTCAATTATGAAATCAAGAAATTGAGCTTTCCTTACTTTTCATCCCAAGAGAGAGAAAATTTGATTTTAGGAAACTTGAGCATATGGCAGGCAATATCTCTGATGTCTTTTACCAAATAGTGGATTTTATAAACTTATTTTTTAAGCTACGACTCCATTTAGAATACTAAAATTCATTCAAAATCATAATAATATACCAAACTTTTCATTTGATTGTTATGTATTAAATATGATTTATCCTCAAGAATTGGCGATTCCTAATTTTGGAATTTGGAACAAAAGTAAATTTGAGGTATAGACATATTCCATTTTGGACAGATTATTCAAAAACTGTCATTGCATTGTGTCTGCGATACACTCTATAAATTCCTCAGAATTCCTCAAATGCCTCTGTTTAATTTGAGGATGCTGATTCCTGAATCTCTAATTTATTTTGAACTTTTCTATTATCTTGAACTGTTTATTTTCATAATATTTCTGTATTATCTATTTAAACCCTATATGTCATACTTCCACTTTCTCTCCCGAATAAATATTATCTTAAATGATACCTATTTTCGAAATGATATATCTTTATTATTTAGCTCATTGTGTTAAAAAATTCTTTAATTTTAGCAGATACATTTTACCATGTAGAAAATTTTTTGTTGAAATTGCTAAAAAAAAATGGCGGACAGTCCTTCGCGGAGTAATTCCATGGAAGAAGATGAGGAAGTGTTTGAGATTACGGATTTTACAAATGTCTCGGATTGGGAGAAATTTATTGCTCAGATATCTGAAGCTATTTCTGATTGGCAATTGACTTGTATTGAACATGTCCGGCCGTTGAAGAAGAATGAATTAACTTTAGGAAGTTGGGAACAAGTTATCAGAGAAATAAGGTAATGGTTATTGATTTTTTACACTAGATAATTGGATTATAAATCTCTCTTCGAAACGGTTTCTAATCTTAATTCAGGGAATGTATTGGCTTTCATGGACTCTAACAACCTCAACAAGAATTAGAAAAATGAACACACACTTTGCATCGAATAAATCAATGTTAACATTAATAATCCTTTGTCAGATATTCAAAACTCAACTGCTCTATTGAAACATAATTAAATAATTCATGGTAGTAGGATTGAAATTAATATGCTGTACCCAACAATCGCACACATGTATTATGTGAATGGATACTTGAGATTCTTTGATTGACTCTCACATTACAATATAAGAAAGGTATTTTTCATTCTACTCATATAAGGGCTCTTTAGTTTACAATTTTGAATTTCTTTTGCTATTTCAGAAGCTAAAGGAATATCCTATTGAGCTTGAAGCTTTTTCAAATTATTGTTTGAAAGCTTATCAAAGTATTGTTTATAGTCTGTCATACTTTGGTAAATAACAAATTTTAGGCAAAAATAGGACCTGGCCTGACCTGAACCCAATTTGTTTGTAATAGTAATAATCAATAATACCATAATAGAGTACAAAATGGATCGATTAGGAATATATTCTGAGTTCCTGGTTTAAAACTATTCTAAGAGGGTCTTTGAATAGTATTTCATTCGATTTTACCTGTCCTAGACTTTACAGTTATACAAATTAATACAGTCCATAATCTGACAATACTAACATTTATTTACAGGTTTTCGAATGCTGTCTTCATGTTGACGTTATATCGACTGAAACAAACTGGTCGAAATGAAGATGAAGAAATCTACCATGAAGAATCTGAAACAACTCTAGAAGATGAGCTGTGTTTACCTGTGTATATGGACGATATGATGTCAACTAATAATGATTTTCCTCCCAGAGCTCATTGTCTTGTTCGATGGTATGTCACAATGTCTTGAACTAGATTTTGAGCCACAGAATATTTTTTTATTATAATTCGTTTGTGAAATACCAAATGTTTTTCAGCTATCTGGATTTTATGTCTTGAAACCTCTAATTGGGGTCATAAAACTTAGAGTTTACTGCCCAGTGTTGACAATCTCATTTTAAAATAAATTATTGAAACCCCGTAGCCTATTTCAAATTGCATGTCTCGCTAAATTTTGTGCCCAATATTATTTTTCTGCTCTGCTCATGCCATTCAAAACTCAATATTTCCCAATCTTGTTCTAAATTTAATCTTGTCAGGCAGCATAGCAGTAGACTAATGGGGTCGTAAAATTTCAGAGTTTACTGTTGAGTGTTGACAGTTTCATCTTAAAACCAAATTGAAATCAAATATTGCTAAATTTTATGCCCAATATTATTTATCTGCTCTGCTTGTGCCATTTAAAACTCAATATTTCCCATTTTAGGTATGGATTCCGATCTTTCCTTGTACTCAATTTAATCTCGTCGGGCAGCAACGCAGTGGACGGTTTGACAAGCGAATCAAAATGCAACTTGCTTCTCAGCTCAGCATGTATCGTATTATCAGATTCCGGATGTGAAGTCCCAATATTTATTCAGATTCAACAAAACTGGAGAAAAATGTTTACAGGTGAAGACAATATTTCTGGACCTATTTCTAAGTAGCTAGAAGTACTACGATTGAGGTTTTATGTGTTATCATATGCATGCACATTTAAGCATTGAAGAAAGATAAGTAGTTAGTCTCATAGAAACTCAATCATCGACACTAGATAATGAATTGAATATAATTTTTTTTTTTCAGGGAGATGTGTTGGTACTGGAATGCAGACTGAATTTGAGATGATTCATTTGAAGAAATCCCCTCCTCAATATCAGCATTTATCCGGTTTGCTTCATATTTTCAAGTCAAAAATAGGGCGGACTTTATCACCAGTGCAAATATCAGCACGGTTCACTTACGTATTATCAAATTGGGGCGAAAAGGGGGCGTGGCCACAGGAACAAGTAGACCCAGACATTGCTGCACAAACTTTCGATAAATTTCTATTTGGATGTTTGGACGACCCAATAGGTGATCTTCAACTTTCAGCCATGTGGCCGGCAATTAACGAAGGTCTGATTGTGGAAAACGACGTGCACTCTGACTTTAAACCAATCTCGGCACCGGTGTGGACAATAAGACTCCATTACACTGATAATCCAGAATGCCTTTTAAGCGGTTACATTAAAGAAATGTTGAAACTCAGAACATGCAAAGAAAGCTTTGGTAATTTAGTCACGACAGCACCGAAGTCGCAAGATGCAGAACAAGATATAAGTCAAGCGCTAAATAAAATGACAGACCCGTCTCATAAAGTTAAACAAATGGTTCCACTGATGCCTGAATTTACATCTGGTCTTTCGAAAATTGTGACATCACAAAGATCAATGTGGGCTCGGAGAATGCAGGTTTCATCTTATGCAACTCTCGGCCCGATTTCTCAATCAATGATTGAACTTATTATGGAATACTTGTTACCTGAGACTTCGTCAAATGAAGGTCAAGGGTCGTCACAAGGTGTCAGTAGTGAGGATGAAAAAGGTACTTTCGTACATGAATTGGAACATCAAATTAAATCTGCTCCGAAAGATAGCTTGACGTATCGCCTGGCGCTTTGTGTTACGGTGATTAATTTTTGTCACGGGGGAGTCGCAGCTATTGCTCAAGTTTGGCATGAATTTGTGCAAGAAATGCGATTTCGATTTGAGAACGGAGTTCTTTTGTCCGGAATTACTCCTGGGAATCCAGATTTACGATGTTGCCTTTTTCATCAAAAGTTGCAAATGCTTAATTGTTGCATCCAGCATAAAATCAATAGGGAGAAAAACCAGAATTCTGTGATTGACGATCTTCCACAAGAAGATGAAGATCCAGAGAATCTTGATAAAACTGAAAACAAAGATGTAACTTCTTCAAATGAAACTAATATGGAAAAGGGAGAGGATTCTCAGATTCAAGATAGTTCTCCTGAAATTTCATCTGCTCAAGATCTAATTTTATCAAATGAAGAGTCTCCTGAGCAGGAGGATGATAGTGATAAACATAAAGATCCAGGTCAACTTCCTAGAGAGGATTCTACAACCTCCATTGGTGCAGAATCTGCTCCTAGATCACCAGGATGGCAAGAGGAAGTGAGCTCTATTGATGATGATGAATTTTTTGAGTGTGATGAAGGGGGTTCGATACCAGATCCGGACGAGGTTGATAAAACTGTAGAGGAAACTACTTTGCAAGAACAAACAAACGAAGATATTGCCAGTATTGAACAAAACGTGAATGCTGATGATATAGAAATTGATGAAGTAAATTTATCTGGCGATAATTCCAGAAATAATGAATTTCTGAATGAAGAGAAATCAGATTTACAAGATAATATAACGGAAAAAGAAAAACCGATGGATTCTGAAAGAAATATCACTCAAATGGATAATGAAAAGCCTGAAAGTTCTAGACCTGAGAATAGCGCTGATAGTATTAAAGATTCCATTGCTAAAGAGAACACAAAGCCCATGGGAAGATCCAAGCGATTTGGTTCTGCCAGACTTTTAAATGTTGATGCATATTTGTACATCCCGGTCACACAAGAATCTGCACCTTTAACGGAAGATGCATTAGAAGAACAGACAAAGATCTTCTCCAGCTTAGGGGACTCTGCTGAAGGTGCTTTGCTCCGTAGAAAAATGCAATCGGCGTCGCTGCTTTCTGACATGGAGTCTTTCAAAGCTGCCAACCCCGGATGCGGACTTGGTGATTTTGTTAGATGGTATTCTCCGAGAGACTATGAAGAGAAGACTGATGCTAATGGCGTCACCAAAGGCGCTCTTTCAGAAAGGATGCAAATCCCTGGAAATTTATGGCAAACTATGTGGAATAGCGCTAAGCCCATACCAGCACGTCGACAAAAACGTCTTTTCGATGATACAAAAGAGGGTGAAAAAGTTTTGCATTTTTTATCGTCTTTGCAACCTAAAGATTTGGCTATTTTACTTCTACCGATTTGCTACCATGAAGCAATCTGTGTTCTCCAAAGCAAGAGTGATTCTAAGGTGTCGAGCGTACCTTCTCTCTGTAACCAAATCTTGACTCAATCGTCTAAATTATTCCAAACGCATTACAAAGATAAATGGGAGCAAATGGACGACATTTGGCAAAAAATACAGTTTTCAGAAACTCTCATTGAACGTGCGATGTCCCTAAAGCACAAATTCGCAAGTGTTAAAGACGCGGAAACATTCGTACGAAAACTGGTAGAACATCCAGAAGTATCTTTAGAAGGTGCAGCAAACGGTGACATCGGAAAACTCGTAAAGCAATATTTTCTCGACCAAAGTGCCGCTAGCTTGCCTCAATATTTACAAGAAGACGACCCTCCACAAGCCAGAATGCCTAGTCTGCCACCACCTAGTGGCAGAGAATATATTTTGCGGAGTACTGCTCCCCGACCTTCCAGTCAATCAAGACCACTGCCTCACAGGCTTTATGCTGTGCAACTCAAAAATGAATTTAGACTGGCTGGAGCGTTTTCCAGTGATACTGTATTTTTCTAATGTTATACCGTGGGTCTAACATTGTTTTATTTTGCACTTCACTAAATAATTTTAACATCAATTAATGGAATCTATAACTCTGTAAATGATTTCTAAAGCTTAGACCCAAATTTTGACTTGTCCAATCTTTTAAAAAAATAATTCTCGAAGTTAGGGGATCCCCCAAAACAGCGCTCTTACTCCATAATGACACCTTGTGTCCCATCACTACTAATTAATTAGTAACTCGCTAATTATACGACATAATTCATCCAAAATCAATAGGCTTCTGGTCCGACATATGATGAATGCACATGCAAAATCTGGAGCAGATTCAATGTCGCTTCCGTTAAATATCGCGTGTATCTAACAGACAGATAGAAGAGTTACTTACATATGTTAAGGTTTGATTGTCTGAATTTGGATATAACACACGCGTTGAATTTTTTGCTTTCTTGCGCAAAGGCTAGTGGTTGTCACTAATTTATATTTAATCCGTTGTGTACATTGGAGAACAAATTTTTTTTGTGGCCCAGATAGATGCCTGGAGTTGGTTCCCCCCGACAAATGCACACCCATGTTATGGCCTCACCAAGGACGGTTCGCGTTGAATTCTTAGTATTAAGAAAATCTATACTACTGGACAATTTAGTCGCAATCAATCAGTGTCAAAGCCAGAAGAAATCATATTTCAATGTTGCTAATTGATTCATCCAGGTATTCCAAGCAGAATTCTGTTTAGGCTATATTATTAGCATAAGTATGTGCAATCTTATGATTATTTGTCCGCTATAGTTTCAGAAATAAATATTTCAAAGCTATTTTGTTATTGTATGTAATTATTTGCTCTGGGAGGAATAGGTAATCCAGCTTTATCTGGGGCTTACCAGTAAAACAGTAATGGATACAGTGATCCCAGTGCATTTAAATTAAATCTTGGACAAAAATTAAACGAAAAATAAGTTTACGCCAGATATCAAAGGCATTTGCTGGAAAACAATTGCCTACTACCATAGAGTTAAGCACTGCAGAAATGGTTCTCTCGAAGTATGTGCACCGGAACGTAGTATGTGTACCAGGTGCAAATACTACGGGAGTCACTTGGATAGTCCCCGAACTCGTAATAGAACTAAAATTATGGCTCAACCTGGTACACATACTACGTTCCGATGTCTGTCATCTTGCTTCACATATTTCGGGAGCACCGCAGAGATTGCTATCGAAACATTTACAGTCTATACTGCCTGCTCAATACTAAGTTTTGATCCCAATGTTAGAGAGGAATGCTGCCCATAAATACGAACCTGCATGAAAGTTTTTCAAATACAAAAAGAAAAAGTTTCAGTTTGAATATTTATTGAAACAGTATCCAGAGCGCAAAAATTTTAATTTTTTTTCTTCATCAGAAAATCACATTTTCAAAACAGCAGTGGTCACCCACTTATCCAACGCAAAAAAAATGGTACGATAACAACGACAGCTTAGATTTTCCTTCGGACAAAGTGCTGGGTAAATGCTATATATATATATATATGCATTGAGTTGGCAATAAATAAATTCAGAGCCCCAGTGAATTCAATCAAAATTAGTATCACAATTACCTCCGTAGAAAATTCTATTTGTGCAAGATTCATTGCTGTATGAAAACAATGATGATCTGCAAGACATCATCATTCGTTCAGCATAGAAATATACATACCGCATATTGGATAGAGAAGTCATGGCTAATTAATTGACTGTGATATCATCACAGGACATGAATTCCGTGGTCTGTTATCATTTCTTGCACCATGGCATATCCTACCATAGATCAAAAGCGAAGAAATAATAAGAAGCTTGTATTTCCACACATGGAGTCGAACTGTACTAGAGACCAGTACAGCGGTCCCTAACCAGGGGCCTGTGAGCCTCCCACCCAAGAGAGCAACAAAACAGTGGGAGGGTGACTAGTACCCTAGTATCGTACCGCACCCTGACAACCAATCAAAACATATCACCCAACAGATTCATTACTTTGAAAAGGAAAATCGCTTTCCTCATCCGGGGCTGAGGAAGCAGTATAATATACAGCTCGTTTTTCCTTAAATAGACTTATTAAATTGGAACTATTTTTTTTCATAACCTCCGCTAATTTATCGGCTTTCAATTCCCGAATTAAAAATGTTGAGTCGTCTTCATCAAAAAATATAGCGTTACGATAACAATGAACTTTTGTGCAAATTGCAGTGGAACGTAATTCGAGTCCGATTTCGTGAATCAGTTTTCTTAAAAACTGTCCGCTTTCGGTTATGCATGTAATATCTGAAAAATAAATAATATTATTTAAATTATTGGGAGCTAGAGTAGAAAGATATACAGAATCTGAATTGCAGACTATCAATAATAATTGGATTGCTGGACTCCTCGTGGCCGTAGGGTGGTTCACATAACCGCTGGTATGTTACGGTTTCCTCCACCATCAAGTCCATCTTCCGAAAACAAATAACTGGCTAACTAATCCCGTACCCGACATGGACTGATAACCGGATGAAAGGCCGTGGTTCACCATATGTTTAAAGTCGTATTATCGGTTTTTCTATCCCCCAGGATAAATATGTGAATCCCATCCTATCCTAATATTCGAAAAAAAACTTTCGACTGAAACTTAAAAAGGATAAATCTGACTATACATTCCTAACAGACTAATAAGGGTACTCCTGAGTCCTGAAGTATGCGCACCAAGATGTCGCATAACCTGAACCCTAACCTGGTACACAACCTGAGTTCAGGTTATGTGCCATCTTGGTGCGCATACTTCAGGAGGTCTCAAATAAGTCTCCCATACAGCCTAAGTTTTGGAGGTCAAAATTTGTTTCCTCAGAGTTGAAGTCACTATGTTTGCCAACCTGGAGTTGGAAGGCTGTGACAAAACTTTGTTGAATCGGGTTGTTTAAAAATCTGAGTTTTGAGTCTGATGTAAATTTAGCCCTGATTTCTATAATTATCTATCTGACATGAATTGGAAATTAACCAACATATTAAATACAAACGAAATGCTGCGGGGTAGCCTAAATGAATTAATCCTTGAATTTTGGTTGGTTGGCCTCAACTCTCAAGAATTTAACTTGGAATATGTGGCTAAATATAGCAAAATTCATCTTAGCACTTACCTATAACAAAATCAGGTGGATTAAGTTTATGTAACTTAATATCCATTATCATTGGACCAGTGGGTGTCTGAGGTCTCAAAAGTCCTTTTGATGCCATTTCATAAGCAAGTTGAGAATCAAGATCTAGATTTGAACTCCTGAAAAATGTGGCAAAATTTAGGATGGGATTTCTAAATTAAATTTAAAAAAGGTAGATGGGGCAATGTACTAAACTATGCAATCGCAGCCCTGAATCGTAGATTCGAATCCCATGGGAAATAACACAAGAAGATAGATTACTCCTAATTGTCGCAGGATGATAATCACTGGTTGGTTGTGGCTTCCTCCGAAATCATGTCTAATTATTATCATAACTGAGATAGACCGGTAACCGGATGAGATTATGATCCTGACAGACCTCATGCTAGTGCGAATCATGGACTAAATTTTCCATTGTGTAAATCCATCACACAGTTTTTATTATTAACAATTTCATCTTTTTATTTGTTACACTGGGCGAGATAAAAAGCGTGGGTGTTCAGGAACAAAAAAAGTTTAAAAAACGCTGGACTAGACTAAACTGGAGACTTTCACTCACTTTATGAAAGCGTTCCTATAGCTGCCTTGAATCATACAAAGCAATCTTGTAATTTTAGTTTCAGAAATATGGTCCCATGTCGTCCGTTCAGTTACTTTTGCATCATTATGGAACTTTGTTGTTGCAAGTCCAAACTTTCCATATAGATAGTAAGATCTCGGAAAACGCAATCTCGATAAACTGTTTATCATTTCTTTTCCGGTAGTCTGAAGGCCGAATACTGAGAAAATAAAAATGTATGTCTATAAACAGGTCCACTAGCTCATATTAGAATAGGATTTACATTTTTATCCCGGGGGGGAGAAAGGAGGCTTATTCATATGGCAAACCGCTTGCACTCTTCCGGTTACCAGTCCATGTCAGGTATGGTATTAGTTAGCCAGTTATTTGTTTCAGTTGCATGGACTAGACGGTGGAGGAAGCCATAATCGACCAGCGGTTACACTAACACCGTGCGGACCAGCAATACGTTCATATATAATTATCCCCATGCCAAAGGATTTGAAACTGCGAACCGACACAGTGTAATCAAAAGTGCGTGGCCATCGCTTAACATAATGCAGCACACAGCAAATACTATGATATTAATAATAGGCCTGCTGGTCCTTGTCCACTTCTTACTTTCGATCTTTACATGGTCATTGCCACAGAAATGCTTGAACAAGAGAGTATCAAAATGATAGAAAAGAATAGCATAACCTTTCTACAAAAGTATATTTTTGACTTTTTTCGTGGAAAGAGATTACAGTATGTTATTCTTACGATACGATAATTTATATATTTCCAGGGAAAACAAGAAAACTAAATTGCACCTCAGAACCCTCAATATAAAATGTTGCATTGAAAAACGAGACTTACATTGAATACCAGAAGACAAAACATCTAACGTGTTTCCGAAAGTCAATTCAAAATCTTCATAACTATATCTTGGGCCTTGAACTGAAACAGGAATAAAAATAAAATCTAGAATTTGAAAAATTGCATTCAGTATAAATACCTTTGAAACACACTTTAAAATATATCAACTTGGCAGAATAATTTCAACCTGAATTGAAGGTGATAATTCTGTTTGTTTAATTAGACTTTGTTTCATTTAGATTTCAGTTTCGTTTACTATATTTGCTGGCTATAGTCTGCTTTAGTACAATATAATCAATAAAGAGTTATTGCAGCACAAGTACTTCACTGTAATAATGCGATCATTCTAATCAGTCATGCTTGAACAGATACCAAATTTCTATAAGTCTCACCTGAAGGATGATCAAACAAATCATCCACATTAGCTGGAACATAATTAAACATCGCTAAATTTCGTTCAGCAATTGTGCTCGATTTCGATCTCCTTTTTCCGTCTAGAAGTAGATTGTTTTCGCCTGGACGAGGCACAAATTTAACCATTGGTTTCTGAGGCCGTTGTTCATATGTTCCTAGATCTAAAAATGTAGATTTTTTTTATATAGATGTACACCAGAGCTTGGTATTCTACAGCTCTCTTAGTTTCAATCAATCAAATTTATTTGGTCACTCTGATAGAAACAAAACACAAAACAACAACAGACAAACAAAATACAGAGGACCTGGAGGACGAGCATAACTTGATAGAAAAGTTGAAAACGTACAAGTACGTGCCCGTCCACCAAAAACAATCAAAACACAATAAAACAAAAACTCGACATAAAATCGGGCAATACTTTTAAATTAATTTTAAAATGTGAGACGTGTATGTGTAACACAACAGTGCCTACAAAACTATGGAATAAAAAACACTCGCTGACGTAAGTTTATACAGAAGGTTTGGCTGATTTTTTTATCACTGTAACAAAATGTAATATTTTTATTACCAAGGTGTGGAGGATCAAGAGGGTTGATATTGCAGTATTGTGCAAAATCGAAAATAAAAATTTTTCTTCAGTATACTGAAACAGATTTGCAATGACTGAATGCGAGTGTAAAATAACCTCATATAACCTACAGGACTCTTTCCAGTAGTTTCGTACCCAACGTACTTCTAGTGGACGTAGCATAACAATTTTTTGATATGTCAATCCTAACCCCCATCTGACTACGCCATTCAAAAATTATGTCACTATGACATCACAATCACGTCATAGAGCTTGCCAAATATATGTACAATCGCCCGAAATGGCATTTGCGCCGGCGATGAAGAGCTGACTGACGTTATCAATCTCTCTCGTTGCAACGAGAAAACGAGAGAAATAACTGTTCGATTTCGGGTGCTCGTTTGCGCGTCTTGGATGGGAGTTCGTATAGTTTGAAGGGCTCTATTATGTCACTGTGACGCCGTGTTGACGTAATTTTTGGATGGTGTAGTCAGGTGAGGGTTAGGATTGATAGGTGAAAAAATTGTCATGCTACGCCCACTAGAAGTATGTTAGGTACGAAAGTACATGAGACCCCTCTTTCCTATAATCAGATAATTGAGGTGACTCCATACTGTCATAGGCTATTCAGCTAGCCCTGTAACCCTGTCTGACATCATACAGTCATACATGAAAACAAAAAGCACTTGTTAAAACTATAAAATATGAATTTTGTCACCTGAAACGATTTTTTGCAAAATGATATTTCCGAGGGTAGAACAGGTAACTCCAGCATGCTTGTGAACTGCAAAAACTCCTTTTAAATTGCGATACAAACTTGGCGCAGTAACAGGTACAGACATACTGTGAAGCCGCGAGTCTTTATCGTCAAAATGACGCTGACCTATAATATTTTTTCAAATAAAATCCAATGATAATAACTGAAATCGTATTTTAAACAGGTGCATACAACATTTATATTTTGCACTGCACTGCTTTCATATATCAGTATATACCGGTCACGGCACCCGCTCTCCCTTCTTGAACAACACTTTCTTTCGCCGTGCCAGGTGCATATGCAATCCGACGACTAATATTTTTTCGATACTTTCTTTTTCCGGTGAAAATGACCGTTTTTCGTTTGCCATTTACTCACAAAATTCCAATTTTCCAATATTTTTGTTCATAAAAACCTGATAATAACTGGCATTTTGAAAAACATAGCTTCACTCCGAATACTGGAATGAAGCATGTGCTTTATTTACTAGAAATTTCAATGGATTTTAAGCGTTTTTTATCACAGTGAGGTTGGATGATTCCCATTTTTTATCGTTTAATTAATTTCATGTTGATGTGAGAATTCTTTGTTGTTTTCTTGTTTATGGTGTTATTGTTATGAAAAAAAATCTCTTTTCTCTTCAACTAATGGACCAATTGCTTTGGAAGTTTCAGTGGTTAAAGATTATGTTTTTCGCTAGGAGGCCTTTACTTTTATATAATTCAAAATTTGCCTTTTTGCCAAATTCAAGGTAAAAATATTTTTATTTATTAATTGCATATTGAGGACGATACCATTTATTGAAATAAAAAAAAAGATCACTCCAGTCTTTATGATAGGTCTGCGTGGTAATTGTCGCATACCCCATCGCAGTGGTTCTTGCCATCACGATTCGGATACGACTCTCCCTAGCTTCTAAATCCATGTACATTGATTGTTTTGCGAGATTGTCTTTCCTTGAGATAAATATAAAAATACTACAGGTCACGAAAAGATTCTATAGGTCAGTGATGCGAACCAGTGACCTCTGGGTCACAAATGACCTTTCGTGCTTTTTCTGTGACCCGTCGTAGATTACCGCGATAAACGTACTAACACTTCCGTGATAGAAAAAATTTGTAATAATATCAGTCAGCTCTGATTCAATATGAGAATCAGTAAAATGCTACACTACCGCTATGCCACCACTGTCAACAACGTCGTGTGACGTAGGCTACAAGGGTAATGACTAATGAGCATATACATGTATTTTTCTACATAATAGTTCAATAGTGCGATATCTGGGTTATAATCACATCGAAATTGCGTGGTGTTTTGAATGCAACTGGATTATAGTGCGAATAAACAAATCTAATAGTATAAAAATATTCGATACCCTCATCACAAAATTATAAATTCGCACAGTATGTATTTATTACATTAGGGATGTCCTAAGATTTAGACGCGTTTTATGTAGTGAATTTAGATTTTACTAATTACAACTATATGCTTTTTTCATCGGGCAATAAATTACGCTCTTGGAAAAGAAGGTCGCCGATACCTATTAACGTCATGGTGCCCATGAAAGTAATTTTAAATCCGAATTCCAGAAATCGAATTGTAGCTCTCCACTCAACACACCTCACTCAAGCATTGTTTCAAGTGTCTAGTTAGCTTTCAGGCCAAATCCCGCTGTTGGGGTGACTTTTTAACTTCATTTACTCTTGCTAGTGTGTAGCAAAGTATATATTTATCATGAGTTATTACAATGCATATGAATACCCGACTATCAATTACAATGTGAGGAAAGAAATTAGTCGAATAGAATTAAGCGGGTCAAGTCGCGAACCTGACTACAGGGCAAACAACAAAGAAATCTTTGACGATGTAGAATCTGTATATGAAAATTCTGCCCCAACACCAGGTAAGGTTTCTTTTAGCCACAATGGTTGGGTAACAAACTCGTAAAACTGAAACAACAAGAAAGTGAATTTTGCCGGGATCGGTGCATTCCTTCAAATGAAAAAAACCTTCTCTAAAATTTCGTCAGAGATAAGAGTACGATTTTTAAGTTAGGAAGTACGAAATTGCGACTTCCGCCCCGAAAATTTAAAAATATGACTAAGACTATGCAACTTCAAACTATAACCCAAACAAGTATAGAATGCTAGGCTTTAAGTAGCCTATTTGCCGTCTATATACTTTCGACAACATTTTTTCTCGGGACGTTATTTTCTCAAATATCAGTGACTATGTCTTTCTTCTCGTGCACGGTCATGATTAAGTGGAATAGATTCAAACAATTTTCATATAAACAGTCAAACCAAAACCGTTACATTTTCTCACATTTTCGTTGTAACCTATTTGCAGTAGTCAAAACAAAAGATGAAGATAAGATTGACAAGGCGCCGAATTTTATATTGACAGTGATTTTTTCGATTCTATTCGTTCTATTATTTGGCGGAATTGCATCCATCACTTATTTTCTTGTGCAGGTAGGTGAGTAAACAATATACATGGAGTCATTAAAGTCTTAAAATTGCAAAGGGAATTTATCTGAATCTGAATCGATACCATGTATTGTTTTGGCCCTCGCTGATGTATCAAATGCGGGATTACTTAAACAATTACTGATTAAAAAACAATAAAACTGGTTAAGATATATTGAGGACTGACTTCATAACAAAATTGAAATTGTAAGGGAACTTTATGGTGTATAACCAAATACAGAACGCCTAAGTAATACAGGGTGTCTCAAAAGTAAGTATACACTCAGAGTTCAAAGACCTTATTTTGATTTGCTTCTCAGGTACTCATCATAGAGCGTTCATTTCTTCAGGAAACATAGTATGGATAACTAGTCAAACTACGTATTGTTTGCATTTTTCAACAACCCACAGAATGACAAGGAGATTAACCCAAAATATGAGGAGCAAAATTGCTGATTGGCAAAAGCATGTAAATCAGTAAGGCGAACTTAGCGCCTCTTTAACAGAGAATTTATAATTAATTCAGCTTTGAATGTTTTCCGCCGAGCGCCCGCTCCTTGGTCTCCCTGATGTTTGTGCATCAACTACAGATCCAGTTTCTATAAATTTCTGACGAATATCGTGATTCTTCGTCGTAAAAGTTCTGAATGCCTTACTGTTTTATATTCTTCTTGCCAAACAGCAATTTTTCACCTCATTTTTCAGGGTAATCTCCTTGCCTTTCGTGGGTTGTTGAAAAATGCAAGCAACATCTAAGTTTTACTACTTATCCATATTATGTTTTCTGAAGAAATGAACGCTTTATGATGAGTACCTGAAAATAAAATCCAAAGTGTATATATACTTACTTTACAGACACCCTGTATATATAATGTGCGTTTCGACTTGTGGGCTACTGTGGCCACCCATAGTAAATTTTGTGAGTTCCAAATTTATCAGCGTGACTTTAAGATAGCATTCTATGGTATGCTTTTAGTAGTTTTTTTGTGAATGTTTGCTCAAAGCACGGTCACGCGCTCTCACTCAGAAATGATGGATATGTGAATTATGAGCGAAGTAACGGGCGTAGAATTGTCAGGTGGTGAATGACATACAAAAGCCTACAATCGTCATTGCACATCATTCAAGAAAATTTCCGTATTTTTATTTCAGACGCGTGGAGAACTGAGTGAAGCTACTGGTGGTAAGACTTTCAAATTCTATTTGCTATAAGGTAGGCCCGCAGGGTGGTCCAAGGTTGCGAGATTGAAGGCCGCAAACAAATTTGAGCGAGGCCTTCGGGAAAACTCAAAAGTGATCAAAATTCTACCAGTTTACTTACTTTAAATATATTAAAGAATGAGAGTTTACCGTTCCAATCAGCCTATTGTTATGTTGGATGGGTGACGTTTTTTTGCTTTAAAAAGGTAGCTTACGTATTTTCGCAGTCGAAATTGAACTTTTGAAATTAGATTCTTTGAATGTCTGATTCTATACTAGAATGAAATAGCTTCATTATTCCTGTGTGAACGACCGTAGTCGAAGTTGATTATTTGAACTCTGAGCAGTAAACAGGAAACAAAATTTGCCATAAACCCGGAAATGGATGCATTTTTCAATTAGAGTTCTTTGTCAGGGTTAACTCCATCTACTATTTATTCTCCAAACAACCGTTTTTAAGTTGGAATAACCTTGCCTCAACAAATACTCTTTTAATTTCAGCCATACTGGAATTATCAAACAGTTTGAACGAATCGTTGTTGGTAGAGAAAAATATATCCACGCACTTGGACCGCAAAATTCATTTTTTATCGAACGAATTTAAACAATCTTCTAAAAAGCAGGAAACTATGCACCAAGAATGGCAGGGATCAGTGAACAACTTGTCTAACCGAATCACTTACAATATTTCTTACCTGCAACAGCAAATTGGTAAGAGTAATGAATAGAATTTTCTTTAAAAAAGAACATGCAAACGGCTTAATTATACAACAAAGAGCGATCTCTAATTAGGGTCGGATATGGGATCACTTGAGTTCACGCTTATACTTGATACGCTCATTTCAGTTTAAACGTTGATGGTCAAGCCTTTTGAATGAGACTTCCCACGTCTGAGTTACTTCTTAGCTTTGCCCGAGATCTTTCCTGAAACTTTATACAATCCCAAAAAAGAATTAATATTTGGAATAAAAATTTTGCGTCGAAATATACCTGTGATTACTAAATTGCTTATTCTATTTGACAGAGACTTTGAAACGCTTTGTTGGAGTCAGGATTGTCAGTGGAAGCAATCCCAAAGAAGGAAGAGTGGAAATATTACATGAAGGAAAGTGGGGAACGATTTGTCACCATGGATGGGGTATGGAAGATGCAAATGTAACGTGCAAAATGCTGGGATATGATGGGGCAAAAAGTAGTTACGGAAGCTCTATATTTGGTAAAGGTTCCGGAAAAATATGGCTTGATTATGTTAGTTGTACAGGAACCGAAGATTATATTGGAGAATGCAGCCATAGGGGATGGGGAGTGTTGCATCCGAGTACAGGTCATTGCATACCGCATAATGAAGATGCAGGCGTGGCTTGCTTGTAACGGTGTAAAACAATGAACAAAGAGCATTGAATGTTGTATCATGAACATGTCAAATTTGAACTAACACCTATTATATTTAACATTGTTATTATTCTTCATTTTTCGATCATATCTTTCCTCTTCCTCGGATCAATATAAAAATCCTAGCCTAACCCCCATTAAGTTCTATATCTTAATTTTTTAATATTTTGATGCGCAAGAGATTAAAATTAAAATAATACTTTGTAACGATCTTACAGTATTGGTTTTGTCATATTTGATCTATTTGGGGAAAGCTTAGAGAAGAACTTCTACGCTCCTTATCGGGGTATTTTACTATTTTATGGTATTTCAAGGATTTTGGACTTTTTTTCATATGCGAGCGGAGAAGAGAAAAGACATTAATAACATAGCGGACCACTACCCATCTTGCGATACATGTCGGGAATTATTATAATTTAATGTCTATATCGTACATTCCAATTGGATTTAAGTCGTGTGTTACGTACAGCTTTCAATATCGTCACGCTAATAACCGAATTGCGTAAGTCATTTTTGGCGATTTTGAGTTTTTTATAAAATAGGTATTTATGTAATGCTGCGCACCTGTCTGTTAACTCAGATTTTATTTTAAGAATTCCGAAACCCATAAAAATGGAGATTTAGTATGACATTCACATTTGTGCAATTGTTTCGTCATAATGAATTATCATTGTTACCGCAGGACTATTGTGACGCCACAAAGGCAAAATAACCTCGGTGAAGTATTTTCGAGTTTTTGCGTCTCGGATTCTAGCTTAGCGCGTATTAATTTGAATTTATACTACAGTATAGGAAGGCGTGCACTTGCGATATTCACTGTCCGAGTCGAATTCACCTTGGTTGGCTTTTATATTTGGTGCATTGCTGTTTTATTCTTTATATTTAATCTTAGTCTTATTTCGGTGGGTATGCAGAACGTGTTAGATTGATGAAATATATATTTTTAAACATAAAAAATAATGTAATTGAAACTGATTAGCTATTTTGGGGATTAGACATTGTAGATACTGAGAATTACATTCGTTTTTGGAATGTTTAGTTTTCAGGACTGGTGCATATAGTAAATTTGCAAAATTGCGTATGTCCCCAAGTCATAGACACATTTCTGCCTAAGTCACAGTGCGCCATTATGACGTCACTTAACTGCGTCATACAAATTAACTTAAATCCGGCTACGATCAAAAAATTGAACCATGGCAAATTATTGACTCTCAATGGCGTAACAATATCATTAGGATTAATCAATAATAATATGTGCTATGAAATATCAAGGCTGTAAATGGATAGGATATATATACGCATAAGTGTTTACTGCAAGATATGACTTTGTCGAAAATCAGTCTGAACTTACACCCTTGCATTTCTATACGGAAGACGATTAGAGGTCGAGTGAGGCTGTGGGTTCAATTAATCAAAAAGTAGAGGAAATCGGTACAGCACTGAATAGTGACAAGAACTGTAGCCTACTCGCTTATTTTCTTAAGTAAAATTGCGATTCCATGTGTAGCAGGCTGGTGAGTTCAGGTCGCTTTATTACTAGTCTATTCATATTATATCATTGCAATAGTTCAATCAACGGTGAGTTAATGTGAAAACGACAAAATGTGAACCGTTACAATGGAGCAGGCCACCAGATGCCGAGGTGTTTAATTATTCGAGAGAGAGTTTAATATTGGTTAAAGATTTTCAATCGTTATGCAATATCTGTCAGTTTTAGTGCCGCACAGGAGTCGATGAAATTTTTGTGTTGCACTTACGGTACTTATAATCAAAAAATTTGACCAATTTCTAAATGTTTATTTGTAAGTCTTGATTAGAGCTGGACATTTTCGAATATATGATGATTTCAGAATCGAATCAAATCTCGAATACTTGGTAGATATGTAGTTGTATTGACTACTTTATTGTAATGAGCCCTCCAGACAAATAACTTAGTGAAAAACGCCTAATCATACAGTTCGCTGACTGTTCACGAACAGAATAAAACATGTTTCATCAATAAGTCACTCGGAAAAAAGAGTCATATGTCAGAATTGCATTTTTAAATATTTTGTTAGAACTTAATTAAGGAATCAGTACTTTGCTTCAATAAACTTGATATTGAATGGTACTAACAATTTTTGCATTCATATGTATAGGATGTCGATAAAATCTTAAAACATTTTAAAATTGCAAAGTGAATTAACCAACACAACATATTGTTTTGGCCCTCACAGATATATTGAATGAATTAAAAATTCTTACAATTTACTTGTTAAAGACAACACAACAGGTTGAGAACTAACTTCATACCAAAATTGAAATTGTAAACGGACTTTATGAACACCCTGTATATTCAGTCAGTTTTTATAATCAGATGTATTTTTTCATACTATGTAGGACGTAGGTTGTTCTTTGATCTTATTATGGCTTTATATATGACTCCACGTGAAAACCCGGTATTTCTGAATGTAAGGGAAAGCGAGGCGTACCAAGAATGTGATTACAGAGAGTTTGGACCAAATGCTGAAAACCCAGGATATGATTCAGTTTATGAATCTGTGGATCCAAAAGCAGATTCCTCTTCAAGTTTTACTACGTCGGGCGGAAATGGTGCGTGCCAATTGGAACTTTGTTTAATATATATATATATATATACAGGATGATCGCTAGAAAAGCAGAAAATTTGAAAGTCGGATGAGATCACGAATAAAATGCGTATATATAGGTATAGGTTGAATTGAAACGATATCCCACAAGTTAACCTTTAAAACACTATACACGAGCTTGGACTTCTACGTTAAGACACTGCTCTGAAGTGCATGGACGACATTTTGAGCATTTATGAATGTAATATAACATAATAATTATGGCTTTAAAAAACTTTGTAAAAGTTATTCTTCATTTTTCCACATTATATTAGCCAAACAAATTAGCCATCTCGATAATACGTCAAATTCCGATATCGCCGTACAGTGTAGAGACAGGCACTGGAACGTTTAGCGTCCCAAATGTATAAAAACAAAGGGAAAGGAATAACTAAAGGCAATGAAAGAGATGTTTGGAAGTAATCTAATATTTCCTCTTATTTTTACCGGTTTTTCAATAAACTCCAGTAGTGCAAACAAGAATCACATCAAATAACGATAAGCCATCCAGCACACCAGTTACTACCGTGCTGTTTGCAATTTTGTTGACTGTATTATTCTTTGGACTCGGATGCGTGGTTTTCTTTCTAGCGCAGGTGACAATTTCATTTTCAGGAATATATATTATAGCAAATTTGTATGCAGTGTACTGAAATAGCATGTTAAAACATATCAGGTTTTCCGACCTATAATCTTAGGTGAATGCAATGTTACACATATCTGTTGGGTTTATTCACATAAACGCAAATATAAAATTTTGAATAAGCGAACTCGTAATATAATATTCTAGCAGAAACTTTCCGTTCATTCACAAAAATCTGTCACAAATATTAATTTTCAAAACTACATTTTATCTCAATCTTCTATCGCACAAGGCTTTTCGACAAAACTTAAAAATGCATTTTCAAATTTTTTTTTTTATCCCAGGATTCAGAAAAATTTAATCAAGCATTCCAAGGTGAGTTTTGGGCGCTCCTGGAGTATTCGTATCAAGATGACGCACAACCTGAAAAACCCAAACCTGGTGAACATACTATGTTTAGGTTATGCGCCATCTTGGTACGAATACTTCGAGAGCGCCGAGTTTTGTTCATCTCACTGGTCTTAAATATGATATATATGCAGATTTAATACTTGTTTCCCCAAAACTAAGACAGTGGGAATAGGGAATTTTAATTTTTTTTTGAAAAACAACATTATAGCTTATTCTTGGGGAAGTCTTTTATTTTCTATTATCACAAACACCTCTTTTTATCTCCGCAAATGCGGAAGTCGGGAAGGTCATAGGTTATGAATGTCGCTAATTGCTACAGCATCTTGTATTATATGCATGTGGATTCAGCGGTGCAGAAGCGCAGAAAAAACGATAAGTAGTCGTTCCAGGTTACCAAAATGATGGCAAAATTTACATAGTTGCCGGATTATGTTTCTACATTAACGAATGTTATAATCATATATCGCATCTCTCCAATCAGCTATCGACGATCAAAGTACTGAAATGAACAGATCATTTAGGAACCAGCGGGAGGATTTCAGTAACTCGAATCAGCTTATATCATCCACGTTAAATGAATCATTTGAGATGTCCGAAAATTTATTCTCGGAAATACAAAAAGTATCTAAGCAAACTTCTATGAACGAAAATTCTCTAAAGACGTTATTCAGGAAAGTTGCGCTCGATATTTCCATGTTGCAGAGGAAAATGGGTAAGAGCATTGATAACTCATACCATCGATGTACTGTGGGTAGATTAAAAAAGGTCTGGTATAGTAGATGGTGACCCTTATTACGTCAATATGACGTAATTTACGAATGATGCAGTCCAACAAAGGTCAGAAATGACTCTTTCAAAAAATGTTAGGCAATGTCCACTATGAGTACTTAGTATACCAGACCCGATTAAGGTGTCGGACCGAATCAGTCGCCTGAAATAGGTATATTTCATTTATGAACCCCAAAATCGATAAAACTCCATTTTAAGCTTTTGTTTTTATGTCATCTACGTATTCATACAACTAATTTATGTTTCAAAAAGTTTGAGAATACTAAGAATGACAGCCAACTCCATCTGAGTTCACTCGCACCGTGAAAAATAAAATGTGAACAACTTGTCGTGACGGAGTGAGGTGTGGCTCGTTGTTCATACAATACCTATTTGATCTAGATTCTAGAACTATGGTATGTTATAATTAACTTGTTCACATCCCTAGTCGCTTCTGGTGTCTTAAGAACAACACTAGACTATTCACTGTATGGTCGGTTTCACCGGTATGTTAGTCGTTGGTTTCACCTAAGTCATTTCTCAGAAATACTTAACCGATCGGAATGAGAATTTGAAAGTATGAGTTCCAATGAGCACATCATTCTTAAATATATTACCTCATAAGGGCCATTCCAAGCAAAAGTTGAATTCCATCAATTTTTCAAAAAGTGTAGTGAAAGTAATTTTTTTTTATTTTTGATATCAAAAGACATTGGAATTTTATTGGACTGCATTCATTTCATCGAACAATTTAAAATTTCACCAAGGGGTTTGATGGTTTATAACAAATGGCCTGAAATGTAGAAATTTTGGTATAATTGACATATTTTGTTATGATTCCTGACACAAAGTGTTTGATTGTGTGGTAGGCTACAGTTAATTCATATGGAATTGACGCACTGGATTTAAGGTAATAAAGTTTAAATGTTTGCAGTGCTGTAGGACATTTCTTCATTTAACGATTTATTACCAGAATTTTAAGAGATGATCGAGGCCGCTATTCCGAAGTGGAAAAATGTCCTGTGGTTTCACGTCCTGTAGTGTCACATACAATATGCACATTATTGGCATGGATTTGCAGTGTTACATTAAATAACTTGAGCAACACATCGAGGGGTAGTTCAGCTACTGCACCAGAAAATATTATACTATACCATCGCAAAAATTTACAGCACAACACAACGTACTGTTAGTGCATGGTGGATTTGCCGCCCTGTAGTGTCACGCTATATTTCACTATATTTTTTTATCTACTAAGTAAGTCTTGGGTGTTACTATTGTGCAATTTTTTACATATATTTTCAATAAAGCAACTGATTGGACAATGAAACAAAACATGTAGCTGAAAATGTGAAAATATATTGCATCCAACAACATGCAAAATTTCTGGAATTGTCCTGTAGTGTCACTTGGAATAGCCCATAATATCATTTGTAAAAATAAAAATGTTCAAAAAGTCGCCAACGTTATTTAAATTGATAGGCTAATTTGAATATGCTGTGTATAGCTGACATGGGCAAACTACGTCCCGCGGGCCAAATTCGGCCCGTTGGTTTGATTTAATCTGGCCCGTCTGATGTTGTCACAACCGAACTAAACCCAAATTAAGACGTTTTAGCTGAGAAAAACTCGAGGAATGTATTGAGATGCCGATCAAATTTAGTTTTGGTACGAGGCTTATTGTTTTCCACTTTTGCAACACTGTAACTATTGTTAATAAAATGTTACTTTTTACGATACACTTACATGGATTGCCAGTCCAAGTGGGCGGAATTTGTAGCCCCTGGACCAAAAACCGTGCCCACCTTTGGTGTATAGCATATTTTATCCGGGTTGTTCATAACCTCAGTGGCTTCCAGCGTCCATAAGCAGCATAAGACTGTACTCATCAATCATTCATCGTTTTCTTTTTTGCTAACAGGAACATCTCAGAAAGATTTAACCGACGTGATGGAGAACTTGGAAAAACAAGTTGCAAGGAACATATCTATCATACAACAGACGATGGGTGAGTTGCTCATGACACGTCATAATTGGATTTTAGAAATGAAAAAAAATGCAATGTTCAGACGCTTAGCATTCATACCTACCTCCCTGATGCGGCACAACACGAAAATCACTTTATATGTAAACCAAGCAGGATCGGATTCTGACGATGTGATGTAAAGTAAATGGACAATATATTAGTTCATTATGTCTGTGAAATATTTAGCTGGGTTGTTCATATCTTATGTCGCTACCAGTGCCATAAAGCAGGGGTGTGCGGCCCGCGGAGAATTGCCAATTTTGTATCGTCTGCGGCCCGCGAAACTAGTTTTTAATTCAGTTAAAGTAATTCCAGTCCCTTTGCGCCGCAAATCCTATACCCGAGTCCTATTTATTTATTATCACTGCCTATGACGTTACAATGCCCTAACAGCTAGCTTGTGCGAAGCAAACAATGTATACTATTATTCAATAACCAAAAAGTTTGTGCCTGCAACTTATGTTAAATAAAAGTGCGGTCCGCGGTTTCACCCAGTTATTTGTATCTGGCCCTTCTGCATTGAAGGTTGCACACTCTAAATTCCAGACTATTCACTGTATATTCCATTTCACGTAACAGGAACTTCACAGAAAGAATTAACCGACCTGATTGAGAACTTGGAAGAACAAGTTGCAATGAATATCTCTTTCATACAACAGATGATTGGTGAGTTACGTATGTTACGTCACAAGACGATTTTGTGACAATCGATCCGTCTCCGTGTTTTTAGTTTTTGAATAAATTTAGCCATTAAAAGACTTGAATTTTGGATCCGGTTAACTCAGAATTTCGCCTCCGCCGAATCTGGAAATGCACGTCGTTTCCTTTTACAATAAAATCATTTCAAACTCCCCACAGCTCTGACATTGAACTTTGTTTTTATCCCTATTTTCAGCATTTATGTAAAAAAAAAAAATTTTCCAGAAAAAGTGAAACGCAACGTTGGTATCAGGCTTATCGGTGGCAGCAATCCTAAAGAAGGAAGAGTGGAAATACTACATGAAGGAAAGTGGGGAACGATTTGTCACCACCGATGGGGTATGGAAGATGCAAATGTAACTTGCAAAATGCTGGGATATGATGGGGCAAAAAGTAGTTACACAAGCTCTCACTTTGGCAAAGGTTCCGGAAAAATATGGCTCGATTATGTTAGTTGTACAGGAACAGAAGATTATATTGGAGTATGCGGTCATCGGGGGTGGGGAGTGTTGCATCCGAGTACAAGTCATTGCACACCGCATCATGAAGATGCAGGCGTGGCTTGCTTGTAACGGTGTAAAACAACAAATAAAGAGCATCGTATCATAAAGATGTCAAACTCAAACGAACACATATTATTATTTAACCTTAATATTCTTTATTTTTTTTCATCCTATTTTTTCTCTCCCTCAGATAAATATGAAAATCCTACCCTGTCTCATATCCTCTTAAGTTCTATATCTTAATGTTTTAAAATTTCGATGTGTGAGAGATTAAAAATAAAATAATGTATTGCAACGATCTTACAGTATTGGTTTTGTCATATTTAATAGATTTGGGGAAAGCTGAGAGAAAAACTTCAACGCACCTTATCAGGTTATTCTATGTCATTTCAAGATCATAGTTAGAATTTTTTTTATATGCAAGCGGAGAAGAGAAAAGGGGTATACAGTATACAACGGACCACTGCCTATTTTGCGGTACGTGTCGGGAATTATAATAATTTATTATGTATGTCGTACATTACAATTGGATTTGAGTCGTGTGGCATGTACAGCTTTTGATATGGTGCACATCTCTACCTTGATGAAAATTAACACACAAAATGAGTGCATGCTGTCTTGTTTCGAGTAGGCCTATTCTTCGCATAAAATCTAACAATAATATTATGTGCTATGAAATACCAAGGCTGTAAAATGGACAGGTTATATACGCATTAGTGTTTACTGCAAGGTATGACTTTGTCGGAAATCAGCCTATAATCAAGAAATTGGCGAATTCCTAACTGTTTATTTGAGTCTTCATTCAAATTTCCTTTCCACCGTATATGTCTCCATTGCTATCTACTGTTTTTAATTGCTTCTATAGACCAGCCATTGGTTTTCAGTCACGCACTGCAGTCGATACAATTTCTGTATCGCAATTTGCTATAATCGTAGACATTTTCCAACTGTTTATATGAAAGTCCTGACTCGATTTCTTACGTCTTGTGTCAACCGATATCAACTAACAAATGACTACATAAAAAAATTATAATCGCGAAGGGCCTTTATATAGACAACCTGTATAATCGGTCAATTTTTGCATTCAGATGTATTTCTTCAATACCATGTAGGTTGTTTTCGGTCTTATTATGGCTTTAAATATGACTCTCCGTGAAAACCCGGTATTTCTGAATGTAAGGGAAAGTGAGGCGTACCAAGAGTAGGATTACAGAGAGTTTGGTTTGGACCGAATGCTGAAAAACCAGGTTATTTTTCCGTTTATGAATCTGTGGATCCAAAAGCAGTTTTCTCGTCAAGTTTTACTGCGTCGGGCGTAAATAGTGCATGTCAATTAAAAACTTATTTTTTAAATATATACGGGTGTACATAGTAGTATCTTTGCAATTTCAATTTTGTTATGAAGTCAGTTCTCAATATATCTTAACCAGGTTTGTTATTTTCAATCAATAATTGTCCAAGTAATTTTACTTCATTTAATACATCTGTGAGGGCCAAAACAATATATGGTATCGATAAATTCCCTGCAATTTAAAAAAAAATAAGACTTTATGGACATAGAAGTATACATAAGACTCTCTCTCTCTATTTCTCTAAGGTTCCGAGACTCTCTATATCAAGATCAAAGTTTTGAAAATTTAAATGCTTGATGAGTCACGACACGGCCCATTATTTACTTTTGTTCCGTGATTTTTTATATATATGTTTTTTTTCGATTCATTTTTCCACATTATATTAGCCAAAACAAATACGCCATCTCGATAATACGTCAAATTCCAATATCGCCGTACAGTGTAGAGACAGGCACTGGAACGTTTAGCGTCCCAAATGTATAAAAACAAAGGGAAAGGAATAACTAAAGGCAATGAAAGAGATGTTTGAAAGTAATCTAATACTTTCTTTTATTTACCGGTTATTGAAGAAACTCCAGTAGTGCAAACAAGAATCACATCAAATAACGATAAGCCATCCAGCACGCCAGTCACTATCGTGTCATTTGCAATATTGTTGGCTGTATTATTCATCGGACTCGGATGCGTGGTTTTCTTTCTAGCGCAGGTGACAATTTTCATTTTATATATATATATATATCAAAATTGTATGCGCATAACATGTTAAAACGTGTCAGATTTTCTGATGTATAAGTATATTCTCAGATATATAAAATGTTACACATATAAATATGTTGGGCCTGTTCACATACACGATAATATAAACGTTCTTGGCATCTGAATCGCGGTACTGTAGAACTATTGAAAAATGGAACGTGGGGAACAATCTGTGACGATCTCTGGGATATCAACGACACACATGTGATATGTAGAATGCTGGAATTTAATAACGCAATTGCAGCACCTATGTTCGCATACTACGGACAAGGAACGGGGCCGATTTTTATGGACGATGTCCGATGCACTGCTGGGATAGAATACAATATATGGACATGCCCGCATATGAATATCACGAAAATTGCGTCATAACGAGGATGCTGGTGTTGAATGCGTTTGAAAATGCATTGGGGCTAAACGTAACATATAATAAAGTAGAAACATTACAGTTATCGCTAAGTCATTTCCGCACAATTAACTGAATAAATATCCAGAATTCCTTTTTTTAGATATTTCAATGCTTTAAATTTTTTGTATTATATAAACGTCCACACCAAGACGGTAGAACGGTATGGGATTTTTTCCCAACAACGACACCAACAAGACTAACAACGATTCAGCAAAATGCTCAATAGAAAACCATGACGCCATGATTTATCCGTAATATTAACTCTGCAATCAACAATAAATATAAATTGTCTCACCCCCGCCTGGCAAGTGTTATCCTGAAAACTATGGAAAAATGCAAATGGTGTCACGGAATACTATTTATTCGACTTTTTCACGCCACTTATATTCTAAAGCAGGGATTATCAAACAGCGGGTCACAAGGAGGCAGTAGACAATTTTTTAATGGGATGTGAAGCTAACTAAAAATAAAAACATTTGTTAAATTTGATCTTGCCCGCCTTTTTTTTGGATATATACATTTTTTTGTTGTTTAGAAATTGCGATTTCATTCACGTATTTTCAACGTGTTTTCCAATAAAACATTTTTACGCCTTACTATCTATTTTCGTAGCTTATTGTTAGCTAGTTATTTTTTAGGTTGGGTGGGAGACTTGATAAATTCTAAAAAGGAGGCGCGGCTTGAAAACCACTATTTTACAGGGTATTAATGTTATCACAACTTGACTATAATACTGCAGTATAAAAATACATCATAAAAATATTATTGTATATGGTTGCAACTTATTTCCCCTGGTGGAAATGTAGGCGTGCTGAAGTATTTTAAGCACAAACTTCCGCCTTGTATAGTGTGTAGCATGACAACGTAAAGACAACTTAAAGTCAATAATAAAAACATAGTGGGTTGTATGAAATAATAAATAAACCTTGTTTAGAAATTGCAGATTTGAAATACATTGGCTTAGAATTAGAATGTTAATTAATAAACCGTAACCGAGATGTATTGAAACTAATACCCATTTGTTGTAAGATTTGTCTGTTTTGTTATTTCTTATATTTTCTTATATATATATATAAATTTGAAAGTGGAAATAATGAGCCTTGACAATCGCTGCGTCGGCCTATTCTTGTGACAGTCATGGTAGGCAATATTGATGAAGTCGTGAAACTTTTTAATTCTGCTTCGTTAAAAAACATCTACGTAGAATAGAATCCCACAAAGCGGCGGTTATTGAATTAGCTTAAAAATTGTGTGGAAAAGCAAAAACCTGCAATTACAGCCAGACACCAATTTGGTCAAAACCGGTCAGAACGTGAACTAAAAGTTTTAAACTAACCGAGTCAGTTGGATCGCCCCTAAATTGAAGTTACGATAATGGTTTTTTAAACTAGAAACCAGTGTTGGACTAGCCAAATTTAATTAACCGAAGTTTTATTTTAGAAAGTTGAGAACACAAACAGTTATTGAAGAATTATTTAATATAATTCTTAAACGAAGTAGCGCTATTACGCTGGAAAGTAGCGATGACAAGGGTTTCTGTAGCCTTTTGTTATTATTCTGAAGCAATCTTTTTGACATGCTTTGATGAAATATTTTTTGCATTTGTATATAAAGTTACACTGAATTAAACTACCTAGCTTACTTACTGAATATAAGTTTGAAATTATCAATGGCGTGCTCGGTAGAAACTGCGTACGTGACCTACGAGAATCCTTGCGCCACGATTGCAATACAAGATGGAACGTTGCCCGAGCCAGAAGACATTTATCACAACGTAGATACACGTATGTTTTAATAAGGGCTTTCTAGAAGTGTGTGTACCAATATGGAAGTAACTAATTATGTCGCCTACTTTACATCAAGTTGTGTAAAGGAACTGAAATCTATGGGTAGGGGGTATATTCACTTGGCTAACACAGACAGTCTCCGAACTCGTAATAAAAATAAATTAAGGAAAATCGGAATAAAATTATGGCCTAACCCTAATCTGGTACACACACTACGGGAGTACCTTAATCACTAGCAATTTTACCAATAATGTTTTGAGTAAATAATTTATCTGAGACAAATGGGCCGTTTCAAATTGTAACTGGGTGGGAATGACCTAATGTCGGCCATGATGGAAATGGTGTGATTAGTAGTAATCAGTATTTTAGTTTCCACCATACTGATGATGCACTTTCAATGAACAACGGAAAAAACAGGTGAAAGGAGGTGCGAAATACCAGATTGGTTAATTAACGAGCAGCGACACCATCGATTAAGTCTAACTGTAAATAAAACAAGGAAGACCATCATAGAAACATCATAAGCATTGCGTTAAAAATCCTTTTTGTAAGCAATAGCGATTAAGAAACATCAACGTGGAGTGCCCTTCTACCCCAATGCGTATATTAGGATAAGGATTTACATATTTATCGCGAAGGAGAGGAAAGTCGATACGACGGCATAATCATATGGCAAACCACGGCCTGTCGTCCGGTTACCAGTCCATGTCGGGTATGGGATTAGTTAGACAGTTATTTGTTTTCAGAAGCATGGACTTGATGGCAGAGGAAGCCGTAACCGGAGTCTAACAATCCTCTCGCACATAATTGAACCTCGCATGGGATGCGAACCCAAACAGAGTAATCAGAAGTGCAGTGGCGGGCGTTTTCCCAACGCTTAGAACGATGCGCTACACCTCCAAGCCCTAATTCCGTTTTTCGTTAAATGAGGTTCACGTGACTGTTTGCGCATTGGGTTACCAACCAACTCTCATTTTTTCATAGATCCACAAAACAACGATCCCGTGGTCACAATTCAAGGTGTGCCATCGTCGACAACGAAGAAAAAACAAGGAATTTCGAAACGAAATCTTGTGCTTGTCGGGATGTTTGCATTGTTACTGATATTAGCGATAGGCTCTCTTGTTCTAGTAATACAGGTAACTTAACATTATTGGACAGGAAATGTATCTATTAATTGTTTTGATAACTTGATTGCTTACAAGTACGCGAGAAAAATTCAATTTTAAATTGGTGAGAACCACAAAAAACGTTGCCGACCACTGGTATGTAAAATACTCATAACAAAAAGATGAGGAATTTGCCATTTTTAAATAACTAGAAATTGAAACTGTAAACGGACTTTACGGTGTATAAGTTGAATAACCAAACACAGGACCTCAATGTGCGCAATGTTTCGACTTATGGGCTACTGTGGCCACCCATAGAAAATTTTGCAAGTTTCATATCCTATTTATCAGCGTGACTTTAAGGTAGCATTCTATAATATGCTTTTAGGAAATTTTTTTGGCGCTCTAGAAGTATGTGTACCAAAATGGAGGTAACTAATTTTGTTCGCCTATTTTACACCAAGTTGTGTAAATGGACTGAAACCTATGGGCCGGGGGTAGGCTTGCACGTAATTGACAAAAATCAATTCCGTAATTACGGCCAAATCGATTACGTAATGACCCCGTAATTGCGATATTTTTTTCACACATTTAGACCTATCATAACAACCAATTTAATCCACTTCTATTCCGAATGGGACATCGAAGTTTGGTTTTCATATTCCCGGCAGTACTACACGCCGGCGACAGGTGTTAAAGACAAATATCAAGGAGTGAATTCAAAGTAATTTTATCTGATTTTTATCTTTCGTAATAGCTTTGATTTTTTTTATCCACTTTATCACCAAATTTTATGCGATCAATTCTATCATTACCAACACTGGTAATATATTTAAGAAACGATAGTTCACTTTTTTAAAATCGTATTAACGTATTAATACGACTTTCGTATTAAATAAAAATTCCGGGTTGCTAATTTATTAATCAACTACAAGCGTATTCTCTCGTTTGATTATACTTTCGCTTGCCTCGCGACGAAGACTTGTTATTTCACCGTTTTTTACAACATCCGACTTTACTACTTAGTTAGCATTTTATAATAATTATTGATGCCGACTTATTGACGATATTCCGAATTCCATGCTTCATTTCACATTAAATCATTTCGCGGCCTAAAAGGTATAACATTATTTGCGATAAATTTAGATCAAATATTAATTATTTGCGCATTATTTAAAATACCGTACTTATATGACATGCCTTCTCCGAAAATACAAAGTTATATCGCAAAACAAAGCATTTTGTGACATTTATTTTGCACTCATTAAAATATTAATTTATTTTTCTAACTCAAGTCGACAATCCTATTTGCCAAGATTGACACAAGTTTGGTCGAGTGCCGGTGGTGTTCGAGTCGACGATAAATCGAAATAAGTTGCCGCATTTGGTAAAGACAGGTAATCATATTTGGCCGACATATTGCGAGGCATTGTGAAAAACATATTGAGCAATGCCAAGTCCGGACAGATATATAACGATAAAATCGGTAACAGAACATCAAGATTTTGTAATAGAAAATGGATCTCGCGCAGAATAAACACGAGAAATCCCGTCGTATTGTTGTTTCTCTGCCGTCTCAATCGCTTTACCGATGCCGAAAAGACGTTGGTTGCGTTGGTTCATTACGCAATTCCTCTTCCGTCTTTATATTGCTGTTTGATAAGCGCGTCATTAATTATCACGGCATTTACAAATAGACCATGTTTTATAAGTTGATCTCTTACATTCTTTAGTCATTTCACCCGAAGAAGTTGAAACCAGGTGTGTTGACGTCCATCGGTCTCAACGCAATTCTATTCCTTATCTACGGTTAATATGTACATTGGCCATCCTATTTAAGTTGATAATAGGTTAGTAAATGACGCGGTATGCCTTCCCCATCTGCCTAACAAGAGAGAGAAAAACGGCTGCGAATACCGGAACTCTAACTTCTTTTACTTAAACTTTAATTTTTCACAATCGACGGAATTGACTGCTCTGGAGAGAGATCGTTTCAATCGCGAAAGCGCTCGACCAATAATTACGACTTTACGTAATTCGTAACTTCGCTTCCGTAACTCGAAATAATTCCGTAATTCCGTAAATTACGTGCAAGCCTAGCAGGGGGTATGTATATTCACTTGGCTAACACAGACATTCCCCGAACTCGTAATATATAGAACTGAAATAAAAAATAAAATTGGAATAAAATTATGGCCCAACCCTAAACTGGTACACACACTACGGCAGTACCTTTTTTGTTATGAATATTTGCTCAAATCAAGGTCACGCTCTCTAACTCAGAAATAAGGAGATGTGATTATGAGCGAAGTAACGGTCAGGTACTCAAGTGCCAATAACAACTGGCACTATCAAAAAGTCAAAGCGTACAATTGTGCATTAGTAAATAGTAATTGACGCACAATCACACACAAAACCCGAAAATCGTCATTGCACATCATTCACAAAAAAAAAATCCTATTTTTATTTCAGACATCTGGAGAACTAAGTGAGGCTACTGGAAGTAAGACTTTTAAATCCTATTTGTTATAAGTTAGGCTCTAGGGCAGTTGTTTGCAATCGGGGTTCCGCCGCACTCTGGGGTTCCGCCGATACATACAGTCTACCCATAAGGTTGAACACCACTGCTTTAGAGTCTAGACAAGCCGTGACATAGATAGGAAGCAGACATTGTAGATATAAAGACCAAACGAACCCAGCCCACAGTAATATGATTCTATATAATAGAATGAAAGAAGTCTAATATTTTTGTGTGAATTGCCGTAATTGAAGTTGATTATTTGAACTCTAAGCAGCAAGCAGGGTAAAAATTAGCCATGAATCCGGAAATGGATTCATTTTTTAATTAGAGTTCATAGTGAGTGTTAACCCCATCTACTCCATTCATTCTCCAAAGAATCGTTTCAAGGTTGAAATAATCTTGCCTTAACAAATCAACTCTCTTAATTTCAGTCATACTGGAATCATCAATCAGTTTGAACGAATCGTTGTTGTTAGAGGAAAATATATCCACGCACTTGGACCGCAAAATTCATTTTTTATCGAACGAATTTAAACAATCTTCTAAAAAGCAAGAAACTATGCACCAAGAATGGCAGGGATCAGTGAAAAACTTGTCTGACCGAATCACTTACAATATTTCTTACCTGCAACAGCAAATTGGTAAAAATAATGAATAGAATTTTCTTAAAAAAAAACATGCAAACGGCTCAATTTTAGAACAAAGAGCGATCTCTAATTAGGGTCGGATATGGGATCACTTGAGTTCACGCTTATACTTGATACGCTCATTTCAGTTTAAACGTTGATGGTCAAGCCTTTTGAATGAGACTTCCCACGTCTGAGTTACTTCTTAGCTTTGCCCGAGATCTTTCCTGAAACTTTATACAATACCAAAAAAGAATTAATATTTGGAATAAAAATTTTGCGTCGAAATATACCTGTGATTACTAAAATGCTTATTCTATTTGACAGAGACTTTGAAACGCTTTGTTGGTGTCAGGCTTGTCGGTGGCAGCAATCCCAAAGAAGGAAGAGTGGAAATATTACATGAAGGAAAGTGGGGAACGATTTGTCACCATAGTTGGGATATAAAGGATGCAAATGTAACGTGCAAAATGCTGGGATATGATGGGGCAAAGAAAGCTTACAAAAGCTCTCACTTTGGCAAAGGTTCGGGAAAAATATAGCTTGATTATTTTAGTTGTAGAGGAACCGAAGATAATATCGGACAGTGCAACCATAAAGGATGGGGGTTTTTATATCCGTTTACAAGTCATTGCATACCGCATAATGAAGACGCAGGCGTGGCTTGCTTGTAACGGTGTAAAACAATGAACAAAGAGCATTGAATGTTGTATCATGAACATGTCAAATTTGAACTAACACCTATTATATTTAACATTGTTATTATTCTTCATTTTTCGATCATATCTTTCCTCTTCTTCGGATCAATATGAAAATCCTAGCCTAACCCCCATTAAGTTCTATATCTTAATGTTTTAATATTTTGATGCGTAAGAGATTAAAATTAAAATAATACTTTGTAACGATCTTACAGTATTGGTTTTGTCATATTTGATCTATTTGGGGAAAGCTTAGAGAAGAACTTCTACGCTCCTTATCGGGGTATTTTACTATTTTATGGTATTTCAAGGATTTTGGACTTTTTTTCATATGCAAGCGGAGAAGAGAAAACCCATTATTAACATAGCGGACTACCCATCTTGCGATACATGTCGGGAATTATTATAATTTAATGTCTATATCGTACATTCCAATTAGATTTAAGTCGTGTGTTACGTACAGCTTTCAATATCGTCACGCTAATAACCGAATTGCGTAAGTCATTTTTGGCGATTTTGAGTTTTTTATAAAATAGGTCTTTATGTAATGCTGCGCACCTGTCTGTTAACTCAGATTTTATTTTAAGAATTCCGAAACCCATAAAAATGGAGATTTAGTATGACATTCACATTTGTGCAATTGTTTCGTCATAATGAATTATCATTGTTACCGCAGGACTGTTGTGACGCCACAAAGGCAAAATAACCTCGGTGAAGTATTTTCGAGTTTTTGCGTCTCGGATTCTAGCTTAGCGCGTATTAATTTGAATTTAAACTACAGTATAGGAAGGCGTGCACTTGCGATATTCACTGTCCGAGTCCAATTCACCTTGGTTGGCTTTTATATTTGGTGCATTGCTGTTTTATTCTTTATATTTAATCTTAGTCTTATTTCGGTGGGTGTGCAGAACGTGTTATATTGATGAAATATATATTTTTAAACATACAAAATAATGTAATTGAAACTGATTAGCTATTTTGGGGATTAGACATTGTAGATACTGAGAATTACATTCGTTTTTGGAACGTTTAGTTTTCAGGACTGGTGCATATAGTAAATTTGCAAAATTGCGTATGTCCCCAAGTCATAGACACATTTCTGCCTAAGTCACAGTGAGCCATTATGACGTCCCTTAACTACGTCAGACAAATTAACTTAAATCCGGCCACGATCAAAAAATTGAACCATGGCAAATTATTGACTCTCAATGGCGTAACAATATCATTAGGATTAATCAAGAATAATATGTGCTATGAAATATCAAGGCTGTAAATGGATAGGATATATATACGCATAAGTGTTTACTGCAAGATATGACTTTGTCGAAAATCAGTCTGAACTTACACCCTTGCATTTCTATACGGAAGACGATTAGAGGTCGAGTGAGGCTGTGGATTCAATTAATCAAAAAGCAGAGGAAATCGGTACAGCACTGAATAGTGACAAGAACTGTAGCCCACTCGCTTATTTTCTTAAGTAAAATTGCGATTTCATGTGTAGCAGGCTGGTGAGTTCAGGTCGCTTTATTACTAGTCTATTCATATTATATCATTGCAATAGTTCAATCAACGGTGAGTTAATGTGAAAACGACAAAATGTGAACCGTTACAATGGAGCATGCCACCGGATGCCGAGGTGTTTAATTATTCGAGAGAGAGTTTAATATTGGTTAAAGATTTTCAATCGTTATGCAATATCTGTCAGTTTTAGTGCCGCACAGGAGTCGATGAAATTTTTGTGTTGCAGTTACGGTACTTATACTCAAAAAATTTGACAAATTTCTAAATGTTTATTTGTAAGTCTTGATTAGAGCTGGACATTTTCGAATATATGATGATTTCAGAATCGAATCAAATCTCGAATACTTGGTAGATATGTAGTTGTATTGACTATTTTATTGTAATGAGCCCTCCAGACAAATAACTTAGTGAAAAACGCCTAATCATACAGTTCGCTGACTGTTCACGAACAGAATAAAACATGTTTCATCAATAAGTCACTCGGAAAAAAGAGTCATATGTCAGAATTGCATTTTTAAATATTTTGTTAGAACTTAATTAAGGAATCAGTACTTTGCTTCAATAAACTTGATATTGAATGGTACTAACAATTTTTGCATTCATATGTATAGGATGTCGATAAAATCTTAAAACATTTTAAAATTGCAAAGTGAATTAACCAATACAACATATTGTTTTGGCCCTCACAGATATATTGAATGAATTAAAAATACTTACAATTTACTCGTTAAAGACAACACAACAGGTTGAGAACTAACTTCATACCAAAATTGAAATTGTAAACGGACTTTATGAACACCCTGTATATTCAGTCAGATGTATTTTTTTCATACTATGTAGGTTGTTCTTTGATCTTATTATGGCTTTATATATGACTCCAGATGAAAACCCAGTATTTCTGAATGTAAGGGAAAGTGAGGCGTACCAAGAATGTGATTACAGAGAGTTTGGACCAAATGCTGAAAACTCAGGATATGATTCAGTTTATGAATCTGTGGATCCAAAAGCAGATTCCTCTTCAAGTTTTACTACGTCGGACGGAAATGGTGCGTGATAATTGAATTTTTTTTAAAATTTATATATACAGCTAGAAAATCAGGAAAACTTTGAA